ACGGTAATACGTCTGCGCCTTGCCGGCCAGGTGTTGTCCTAAGACATCCACCTTGATGTCTTCCGACCACGTGAATCCACACGCACGCTCGGCAAAACCAACTTGACGCACAAATTCCTTGCCCCATCCGAGGAAACCACTACCAAGGCCATGGTATAGTTCCTTCCCATCAAAAGGTTGTAGTGCAAGCTTCCGATGTTGCGCGTCTGGCATCCCCACAACCTGTTGTCCCAGGTTGGCATGCATCACGTTCGGCATACCCGCGCCGGGGTAATAGCCTGGCATCCCTGCCATAAAATGCGCAGGTTCCGGCGCTTGTCCCATGTTGCGGTCTGCTTCAACATGGCCTGCTCGATGATTTGCATCATCAGCTTCGTAGTGTCGCCTGGCTCCAAAGTACGTAGCCGGCGACACGTCGTTCGGTGACCTCTTCCGGGGAGGGGTAAGTTCCAAAGCCTGGATGTTTATCCCTCCACCCGCTCCCAGAGCCGAACCAAAGACGCTTGACTCCGCAGAGTCCTTCCGGTGTCCACCGGCATGCTCCTTCTGAGAGACCTCCATCCGATTCAGCCGATCAGATAGGTCTCCGAGCATGGCAAGCACCTTGCCCAGTGCCGCATCAGGCACTGCCGACTTTTCTTCGAGGTGGTCGTCGTTAACCCGATTAGGGTCGCCGACTGCCACGTTAGGCATAGCCTGTTTGGGCTTGCCCACAACACGTTCCGTTGGGCTCATAACCTGTAAGATTGTAGTGAAGTAGTGGTGCACTTGTGCACGTAGAGGTAGAAGTAAAAGTGAATGTATTAGAATGTTATCTTCGTTCGCTAACACTATAATACAACATGCACTGCAACTTGACCATAACATGTTTGCGTCCGTCTTCTACGTCGTCGTCATGTCGCTCAACGGTCATGTCGCCACCTCGTCCCATCACCTGGTCCGATCTTATCGTAACGCCTGTCACGACACCTGTCACCATCGTAGCCCTGTCTCACCATCTGTCACCATCGTAACCTTGTCTCACCATCTGTCACCATCGTAGCCTCGTCTCACCACATGTTAAGATATGTGTGACTTTGACCAATCAGGTGTCACCGTCACATGTTATACCTGTTGAACCTGTAACATAACAATGACTGACAAGACGTTTCTAAACAGGCATTTCTAACATATTCGGCCTGTGGGTTTGTCTCGAGTAGCACCCCCCCAAAGACCCGCTATCGAAAGCGGTGTCTTCCACCTAACGGTTCGGAAGCAAAGCAAAGACAAGGTGGTTTACATCCCTGAGACAACCAAGGAAAAGGCCAGGGACGACAAGCTCCCGGAAGAATTTAGTTATAAGTCCACTTTCGACTAGGTCGATCAAGTGGCCACCTACCGGCCCACCGAGTGAAGCATATCCACTAAGACCCCCCCCCCAAGTCTACCTCTTTCAAGGCAGACATCTACATCCTCACCCAACTTCTCCGATGAGTGCAACCCGCCAGCCGACGGGTACAAAAGGTAAAAGATGGTCCATACGCGGCATCGGGGTACCCCTACGAAAGTCGGCAGTCCAGCACAATGAGTAGTTTGGGGTGTCATCACTCAGTTCCACAAACCCACTACACGACAAATGTGCCAGCGACGCTACGTTGATGACATACTTAAGCGTTTTGACATGAGGACTGCAAAGATATGATAAACCCGAAGAATATTATTTCTCTTCTCATTTCAAGTAACGCAACATTTAGGGTCGAGACTCTATACCGTGAAGCAGTGGGTGCTCTCATGCACTTGGTGACCGCGACACAACCGGACATTGCGTTTGATGTAGGTTACGTATTGCATTATCGAATGATTAGATGCAGGCATGCACCGTGTGATTGCAAGCAGATAGTGTAAGCAACTATATATACAAACTTCGTTCTTCTGCACAAGTAGTTTTAGCAGTAGTCGTATCTACTAGCAGGTACAATTGACATCTCACTAAAACCTTTGAGGGTTCAAAAATTGTGGAAAGATTTCGGACGATGATTCGAATGGACACAAAATGCTCGATGATCACAGCCAGTTAGCAATCAGAGATAAATTCTGGGACATCAAGATCTAGAAGCATTCCAATAGAATTCAAAGAAGACATGTACAAGCTACGACTCTTCATGTCAAAAATTCTAACGGAATGTGACCAGCTTTGTTTTGTATAGGTTATTGTATTATTATTATAGCATTGAAATTGGTATCTATTATCAAAGTACACGAATAAAGCAGCGTAGAAGACGACGATCGTTTTCTGACATTTTAGTAACTGTGATTGCTGAGGAGCACATTGACGTGCATGTACGTCCTGTGTGAAGTTTGGACAGTACGTCCTGTGTGACGTTTGGACAGTACGTCCTGTGTGAGGTTTAGACAGTAGGTCCAACGGTTCAAAGAGATGGGTTGCATCTTTTTATGAACGAGCCGACTCTATATTTCCATTGCCAAGGCCAATGGCTACTTCTTGTAAGCAAACACTTCACCCAAAACCTCTTGTTGTTTGAGCCTTCTAATGATGTTCACGCAAATCGAGCTGTCTCTGGTCTGAGCAAAGGTTTGTCCATGTCGAGCAGCCGGCGTTGACAATCCATAGCTTGGACAAAAGTATATAATATATTACTATGAACCCATCTTCACCAGCGATGGTGAAGATGGGGTCAACGCTGCACATCCGTAGCCAGTTTGTAAGGGCAGGATGGGCACCAGCCGTCGGCCTGGACCCTACCGTAGGGTCCCTACCCGGATCGGCGTTGCCCACAATGTAGCAGCGGCGAGCATAACACTGGCCTTGGCAATCAAGCCGTCGCGCCCCAACCGTCACGCCACAGCACCACCCATTCTGTCAGGTCGCCCTTGGCTTTATCTCTATCAGCGGCTAGATTCAAGGTGCCTGGGCGCTAGAAACCACTTCATGTTGTCCTCTTGACCATCCGAAAAACAGGCGCAGTAGTTAGGTGACGTCTGAACAATCACAGTCTTTTTCTTGCCAGTGCATGCTCGACGTATACGTTTGTGTACGTGACCTCCTTGTTCAGAATCGCCAATGCTTATAGCCTGTATATTATAATACATCTTGCCTTCCGAAATATTAAAAGCCCAACACCACAAAAAAATAATGAATTGGTCGATTTTTTTAAGTTCAAGGAAACGCTATGGTACGGCATTTTGTACGTCATTATAATGCGGCTTTGTTCTTTTGTTATTCTAAAACAGGAATGGATTGATCTCTGATGCTGAAGTATAAGTAGTTGACTCGAACGACGTGGTAATAGCTAAGATATTGCGGTGGAATCGAAACGTATTTTGCTGGTAGCGACTTTGGTTTCTTGACAGTTGCACCGTAGAAATGGGTGCTTGGAATACGCTTTCATTGCTGAACAGCGATGCAAGCGCCGCAGTCAAGTTTGTGATCAAGTGATTGTGACATCAGATGATTTGAACTGTTTCTGGCTGGAGGGGAACTGAACCATTTAGTAGCAAGAATCTGTTGGAATTAAGGACAACACCGTGCATTCTGATCACCTTGTGACTAGTGTCACTGGGAGTATAAATGTAGCTTTTGACAAGCTCGTAACACAATCTAATGACTCTGTTTGCATTATGGTGTGAATGTCCAGGCGGACCGGGGTCCCGCCATTCTCTTAATGGTACAGCAATTTTAAATATCACCGAGACTTGAGTTTTTATGTCGCGAAAGAGAACACCAGTAGAAAAAATTCTCACATCCTTTTCTGACGACGGCAACCCAGAGACAATGCCCAGGAAGCAGGATGCAAACTAATGTGCATCAGGACGCTTTCAGCACTAAAGAACTTTGCAAACAAAACGTGATGGCACATGCTTCGAGAACGCGACTTGCAGCGACTGAGCAGTGAAAGCAATTCTGCTCGGATGGCTCGTAGGAAGCAACCCATCTTAACCATACAGCGACCGGCTTTTTCTCAAACCAATGACTACGAGGCATTCGCTCGAGCCATGTGGACATGTCAGATTGAGTGTCTCGTCTTCCTTTCATCGACTACTTAAGTCGCCGGTATAGCGCATGTACAGGTGTATCCCCAAAGGTACAGCTCTGGGTAACTTTCCTATAGCGAAGACGGGCGTCGTCATGTGCGCAAGAGGACCTGAGACACGATGATTTCATGTAGTGAATGGCAGTTATACATTTGCTATAGTCCTTTTGCACAGGACCCCATTCGCACCGAAGAGCTGCCTTAGAGTAACGCAAAATCTTGTTTAACTATCTTCAAACACCGAAAGCATCTGGATACCGATGCCGTTGTAATTCAAGTGAAAGCTTACCACGCTCATGGCTTAGTCCGCCAGTAGACTCTCACGTGACATTCATTGTATCTAGTTTGCCATTACATGAACTTCTATTGCTGGTAATCACAAGAGCCTACCATATAGAGTAAAGAGGTATATTAGAACCGTTACTATAATAAAGTCTAAGGTCGCAATTGAGTCTTTATAAATCATTTATCTTGTAACCGCAGACCATTCCCGCTGCAATGTCAAAGTGTATAGTGTACATTTATAACAACTGTGATATCTTCCTATTGTTACAGTGTAGTGATTGCAAATTGGCATTCTAGTGGTAGAGACTTCCGGTTCGTGACCGCAAATCGGACTTTTTGTCCAATCGAGACGGTTCAGCGTCGCTTCGCGAAAGGCAACAAGACGATTTGCAAGTCTCTGACTCTTTTTCCGGCTGTTGTGAGTAGCGCTTTTTAAGCCCTCTCTCGTCACTCCCCAAGTTTTCATCGGAGGAAAGCGAAAGAGGTATTAATTCAACCGACTGGAACAAGAAAAAACGAGTTTTTTTAGTTCTTCGGTATTTTCGATAGAAAAAACAAGTGAAAAATACGAACGCCATTTGATTTCGCTTTTGAACTTGTAAACGCGGATTAGTCAACTAATCGGATCAGACGCCGACTAATCGAGAGAGAAGTCGAAGCAACAGGGTCCGTCAGATTCAAATGATGTGGCTCAAGCTCGCAACAGTTAGTACGATGGTGGTTATACAGGCTGTGACAGGGGATGGCACGTTCTTTTTTATATTTTGACAAGAAGTGAAAACGAATTACCGTACTGACTCGAAAATTAATTGCACGTTTTGTCAATGTAGACTGCACGTTCACCGTAAGTGTCTTGGATGTCCCCGGTGTGCGGTGTGTGTCAGCGGCGCCCTGTTCAGGAACATACTATGCATCAGGTCTATCTCAAGGTGTGGGTGCATGCCCCACTGGCGCAAGCTGCGCGCTGCTGCCATTAACGCCCATTATGACGTGTGCTGCTTCGGGACGGGCGGACCTTGTCTACGTGAATGCGGACGGTACACTGACCAAGGACGGCAAATCTGTGACTCTATTAGGCGCGCCGTCAGCTACGGTAGAGCCTACGATGACGCCTGCTACTACTAGTGTTACCAGTACAACGAACAGTGCTACGGATACCAGCAGTACGACGAAAAGCGCTACGGACAGCAGCACCACAGACAACAGCTTTACAAAGAACAAGGATAAGAGCACTACCAGCAACAGTCTTAAGGGCAGCAATGTGAGTTCTGAATCAGACTCTCCGACCAAGAACTCTGACGGCAACAATGGCAACGATGCAGACGCCAGTATCAAGCCACTCAACAACAGTCCTATCAACACGACGAGTGTTAACAAGGTCACGTCTAGCTCGATAGATCCTAACTCTGGATCGGACGGCCCTACGAGAACTGTTGACAGCAGCTCTGACAAAAACGATCAGACATTTAATCCGGGGACCATTCTGAGCGACGGTCCCGTTACGTCCAATTCATCTAGACAAGGTGGACTTGGCCTCGGCGCCATTATCGCCATCGTCGTGGGCTGTTTGGCGGTCGTAGCTATAGCTGCCGGCGCGCGGCTGCTGAAGAAGGGCAAAGACGGCCAATCGGCAACACCCGGGGCTACAGGCGGACTTGAGGCCTATAATAACGTTGGCGGCGGAGGTGGTGGCATGACTCCCAAGGAGAACGTGCTACTGCTCTAAGTTATGGCCGACGGAAGAAGCCATCTTCCGAGATGACAGGAGAATACAGTGACTGGAGAATTTTTTGAACACAGGCAAGCGTTGGTTGCGTGAACCTAGTGAATACGATTACCTGGAACGGTACCGGTACAAGCAAGCGAACAAGGGAGGAGGGTAAGAGGTAAGAGGAGGAAGAGAGTGGGGTGGTGTTGGGTGTTTCGTGTCGTCGTGCATGGACGTATGGAGGCGGAGAGAATTGATAGCACGTGTAAATAGTAGGCTCTCTGCTCTTCCGCTTTCGGGTCTATACGATCCTATACGCAACGTCGTTTTAGTAAACTGCACGCGATCTCAGCAGGTATCATTTTCGTTCTTGTTTTTTTGTATTTGTTGTCATTGTAATGTTCGCCTGTCAGCAAACACGACAGACACGATTTGTGTGAAAGATAGATGCATAAGCCTTATGACTCCCTGTCTGCCAACAAAAAACGGCAGACACGAAACCATGAGTGATGTCGCAACTTGGTACATGAATTTAACCTTATAGCTACTCCAGCTTTACGCCGCCTTCGCCTTGGTTTCTGCTTGTGACGCTGCCTTGGCTTCCTTTAAAGTGAACAGTTTGGCTTCGGGCTCGACAACGCCAAAGGTAGCGTAGAGTCGACCAACTCGGTAGAACGCCTTGAGGATTGGCTCGTCACTCTTACGCACGAGCTCGGGGAAAGCCTGCTGGAAGGCTTTGGTAGCACGGTTGAGCTTGTAGTGCGGGATGATAGGGAAAAGGTGGTGGATCTGGTGTGTGCCAATGTTATGGCTCAGATTGTCGATGAGAGTGCCATAGGAACGATCGACAGACGATAAATTACCCTTGACATAGGTCCAGTCCGAGTCTCCGTACCATGGAGTTTCTTCATCATTGTGGTGCAGGAAGGTGGTAATCACAAGCATAGTGCTAAACACAAAGATTGGCGCGTAGTAATAAAGTGCCATCGTCTTGAAGCCCAATTGAAAGCTTAAATAGATGGAAAATACTGCTACGGCTAATTGTGTACCGATTGAAATGATCACAGCCGACACCTGACGTACATATAGAGGTTCAAATGGATTGAAATGATTGATCTTACGAGGTGGAAAACCTTCCACCAAGTATGCAAACCATGCAGCACCGAGCATTAGGATCAGATTGCGTGACATGGGGTGGTCATCAGCTTTACGTTGTGGGTAGAAAATTTCATCACGGTCAATATTTCCAGTATTCTTGTGGTGGTGACGGTGTGAAAGTTTCCACGATTCAAAAGGTGTGAGGATGAGGGAGTGGATAAAAGTCCCGACCACAAAGTTCAGCAAATGGTAACGGGAGAAAGCACCATGACCAGCATCGTGGCCTACAGTGAAGAAGCCCCAGAAAACAATGCCTTGTAGGAGGATATAAGCCATGCAGAGGGTGGTGTCTAGAATCCAAAAGCTTTCAACGAGAGGAAGAGCTCGGACGTAATGAAGGCCAAAAGCCAAAGACACGGCGATTACGAGACTACGCACAGTGTAGTAAAGCGAGAGAGACACGGAGGCTTCAAAGCAGTCACTGGGTAATGATCGCTTGATCTCCGTAAGGGTCGGGAACTCATACGGTTGTTTTGTCGCCATCTTCTACGGATTATTTGGGAATGAGATAGTCATAAGATGTGTGGCTACGAAAGTATCTTGAGTCCGATAAGATCCCATACTTTGTGCAAGGTAAACACGATGATGAATGTCAGAACGAGTGATGTCATAGCAATCAGATATACACGCACGTCGCACGGATACAAAAAGCTTATTATATTGAGCCATATTAACGAAAGGGCAATACTACCTCGTGCTGCAAAATATCTTCGGCTAGAGGCCGCTGCAGCGCGTCAGGGTGCATCATATTGGCAATCAGGTGTTGTAGCGAGTTCGAGTATTGTCTGTAGCAAATGACGTCAGAAATGAATGGTTGCAACTAGTTAGACTGTTTCACAAACATACCGGAACATCACAAGGTCGCCGTCACGAATCTTCTGCCATTCTTCACCGCCACTGGCCAGCGTCGTCCCTAGCGCGAGCTCATAGATCGTGGCTCCCAAAGCAAAGATATCACCGGCGCGTAAATTGTTTCTGTTGCCTTCGAGCAGTTCCCTTTAATAAAGACATGAACGCTAGGTTAGGTTTGTTATCGTTCTCCATATGCTGCACACAGCACTTACCGACTAAGATACCGATTGTCGCCCTCCCTAATCTCCATACTGCCGTCCAAGTGAGCAACAGTTCCCAAGTCGCCGAGCTACATACAGAAAAGTAGACATATTAGCGCAATGCCCGAACAAGTAACAACAAATGAAACAAACCTTGTAGACTTCATCTGGACCAACTAGGACATTTTGCAACTTGACGTCCATGTGAACCATCTTCTTATTGTGCATGTCAAATAAAGCCTGGCGTTTACAAATGTTGTTATCTTGACTGCCACTCATTGCACATTGTAAGCAGCCTTACCTGAGCAAGATGGCATAAGAGCTTGCACAGCGTCTCCTCTGGAACCTTCTGTGGTGCGCACTTTTTAACAAAGCTAGCCAATGAGCACCCCTCTAGATATTCAAGCTGGATGTACAGCAAGTCGTCTTCTATCCAAGCGTCAAAATATCGCACTACGTGGTTGCTACTGCTTAGTGCTGCAAGTGCCTGTACTTCCCGTAAAGCTCGTTCACTGCCGACATCCACGACAAAAGCAAAAGATTAATTTACATTCAAACAGAGATATAACTTCCACCTCTCGCCGTAACGTACGTGTCAGCCTTGCCACGAAAATGACGTTTGCTCTTCTTCACAGCGTACACCCAACCATCAATCTTTTTTATACACTTGTACACCTTTGAAAACGACCCTGATCCAATCAACTACAATAAGATACCACATGTTAATCGCCTGTTCTTGCTCGTATTATTGCAACCATGCAACCGATGTACCCCAAGCTCCGAGAAATCTGATAAATACTTGGCAACAGGTGATCCATTTGTCGCTCCCACCCATGTTGGCGGAAAAGACCTTCGTTTACGTCTGGAGATCTTTTTCTTTCCTGACTCCGTCATCGACTCCGGTGCAAATGGGTTCACATAACTCTCCGCCGACAAGAACGAACCAGCAGTATCACACCCGTTGGCTCTTTCTCTCTTGGCATTTATTACCACGTTTACACTTGTTTTCTGTGGTGATTCCATGTCGATGGACGTCTGACTTGACGGCCGTCCTTTTCTTACATGTCGTACATCCATATGTGTCATGTCCTGGGTGAGATTTTGTACCGGTTCTTCTTGAATCAACTCAACTTGACTATTTAATCTCGGTCTTTTCTTTAATGGCGATGGTGTTGTTGGATTTGATAAGGGAATAACTGGTTGATCTCGAGGTGTAAGGAAGTCCATTTCATCTTGACTATACTGATGCATTGGTGTATAACAACTTTGATTCGTTAATGGTACACCAAAGCGCACAGGTGTATGCATTGGCTCCAAGTCTGGTTCACTTCGTTGACTACTGGAACAAGCAGTAAAGTCGATTTTCTTGGGCTTTGGACGACGTCCTGAGTCACTATTTTGACTAATACATTGTAGTAATGGCTCTTCACTACTCTCTTCATCCATCATATCGTAATTAATACGTTTCTGTATCGGTTCGTCGTCGTATTTTTTAATGGCTGGAATAGTGTTAAAACTGCTGTTTTTAGCTGAAGCTTCAAGGGATCGTCGTGTTTTACGTAATTTAGTACTTCGGACTGTTGGTTGCGAAAAAAACTCGTGGATTGAACGTTGTTTCTTGGCTTTACTATGAGACGAGCCACTGGAAGAGCCACTGGTCGTTGCTCTCGTTTTACTTCGCAGCATGAGACCGAGTTAGTAGAAAAATTCTTGTAATTTTTGAAAATGTAGTTTCCCGCCTTTTTTACGAGGTTGGGTGAAACCTTTTATCCCATTTTTAGGGGTGGTTTTACGGGTTATTTGTAACAAATTGCTTTTTTTGCAATACTTTCTTGCTTTGTAGCCTTCATTATTCGTTTTTGGTAGTACCTTTGCATTTTGCAAAAGCTTTAATGACAATAATACAATTGAAAAAATGTTTAAACAAGAGCTTGTCCAATTTTTAGTGTCACCTTTTCACTATGATACCCATCAAATGTCTTCTTTATGGTGGCCATCGTAAATGCGAACACTAGTCGATGCAACTACATGTCTTCCATTTCCTGGCGCACAAGTTACAGAACTGGTGGCCGTTCAAGCAGGTCATGTGATTGCATCCCTCTGATTTTTGCACCCCCACGCCACAACCAGGACACTGCACAGCATGATTCTGCTTCACCACCTTGGCATACTCGCGATCCGACTGTAGATCCAGCGAATGCCAAGGCTTGGCCTTTAGAAAGTGCTCATAGATCTCAAAATCGGTAGCACCCAAAGCCTCTAGCACATAGTCGGTTGGGAACTCTCGCTTACAACAGTGAGCAGGTACCATGGAGCGATCCCGAACACCCATACGACACCGCGTCGCAATACATTTTGTACAGTACAGATGGCCACATACTAACGTACGGCAAGTGCTCTTGTCTTCAAGGGATGCCAAGCAGCATGTGCAATTTGGTGGTGGTTTGGACTCCTCATCTTCGCCCATGACTTCGTCATCGTCATTGTCAGTATCCAGCTCAGCGGCATTAGGATGCAACAACTTGCGCTCCTCCTGAGCATACAAACTCATCGCAACTGCTTCATCTAAGATAGACTGCTCTGCACGACGAATTTCTTCGCGGTACACTTCCAACGCGTAAACATCAGCAAGTTGAGCTTCGACACTGACCTCATCGACTTCATCGACAAAGTCAATGGTATCAGAGTTAAGGTAGACAACGTGCTCGAATTGATCTGCAGAAGCAAACTCGCGCACGTTTGGAATACATTCCATGGCTCCACCTGATAGTCGCTGAATACCACAGGAAAAATTGGAAAGTGGTTCGAGACAAAAGTCCTAGAGTCAGAGATATCCTTCGTCCGTTAGATGTTGTCGACTTTTCCCAGCCTGCAGACCGTTAACTGCAGCAACTAATTGGTTTTACACGCAGGTTTGAGTCAATTAAATTATCTTGGATGAGGATTTGCTCGAAATATGCAGCATTATTGCATGAATCAGCGAGCAACATGAGACAACGTCCACCGGTACCGGTAGCTATCCAAACCTTTTTGGGACGGGTATACTATACTAAGCTTATTCGGCACGTATTCTCGCCCTTTAAGCGCGAGTTGGCGGGGCAGATAATTATTTAGGTGCCATCTCGCTCATGATATGCTATCTCCGCACTCATTCTAATGCCATCGGTCTTAGTATCAGATTGTAACCATTTACCAGTTGAGATAGGCTTCGGGACTTCGCCAAATATGCTCAACTGGAATAAGCGAAGAAAAAATAGGAAGACTCGTCTTAGTTACTTTGCCTGAAAAGGGTAAATCGCTTATTCAGAAAAAGTAAAGGTAAAAAGGTGAAGAGAACGCTTAGAACAACGCGCCAACAGTTAGAGACCTATCCATGAAATGAAGATTTATGTTTTAATTGCCAGCAGAACAAGGTTACTACGGGAACTACAGTGTTCCATTTCAATGAAAACATTCATCATACCCTAGCGTTCAACACTTCTCATAAAAAGTCAATGAATACCTCATAAAAGCCTTCAAGTGTTGCATCATATCATGTGGTCGTCCTCTACGCATGTGGCACAAAGCGTCACCAACGTCAGCACTAGACTCAGATCAGCCAACCTGACGAATTGAATCAGACGCCAACCCCCAATGTTAGACCATACTTATAACTTCAAAGTACGTGATAGCCCGGTAGTGTGCTAAAAATTGCTGCACGTAATGCGCACCTACCGGTCTTTGTAACATTTGGAGTCCTGTATTGCCAGTGGCAAGACCCATATTATCTGATCGCTTGGATTTCTTCTGTAGACTTTCTTCCTGCTGACAGTGTGCCAGACACGCAGCGCTCTGTCGCTTTACAGTCGATCTTTGACAGCCCCTACACCACTCATGGTTCCAGCACAAACAGTCTGAATGATCGCGTGGATGTCATCGTCGTACCCGAAATCGGCACATGCTCTCGCAACGTCAGTCCCGCCTTCTTGAACGTCATAAGTAGATCATCCTCGTACGTGACCGTGCCGAAGTCAATCGTTGTGAGGAACTTAAGCAGTGGTTTGACAATCTCCATGAGCCTCGAGTGACGTGTTTGGATGGTTTGCGTCACATAGATGCGTCCAGTCTTCTGCTTCAACATGCCCATACAATGCCGCAGAGCTTTTGCTGAGTCAGGCATGAGCATGAGCGACGAGCTGAAGTACACAGCGTCGTATGGACCTTGCTGGAAGTCGTAGATCGAAGCATGGTGCACTTGAACGAGACTCGTCAGCTGCTTCTCCTTTACCAGGTTCTGACATCGTACCACATAGTCCTTATCATAGTCCACCCCATCCACTTCAATTTGCTTGAGCTTGAGCTGCTGTCGATTGTTAATCAGAGCCAGACCCGTCCCGATACCCACGTCCAGAAGTTTGCTGCCGTGTGGCAAGCGCTTCAGCACTTCCGCGTACCAACCAGTCGTCAACTTAGCGATAATTGCATCGTATATACGATCACGAGTCATACGCACAAGTCCATAGAGAGCAAAGGCCCCTACAGCCTTCACAGCCAAAGGCATTAGCGATATCGTCATCACAATCTAAACTTTATTAGTGACCCGGCGTTGTCATCAGTCCATGACATCTTTTCCACCAATGATCATCTGATAAACGTTTCAGCCAATTACCGGGATGAAATGTGTTTCGAATCTAGCCCCATCTGTCAGGTTTAATTACAAATGACTACTTTATCAACAAGTTGAAGTGCACACTCTGCAACCTTCAGCCTCGAGCCCGCATTGAACCTGCGACCATCACTCTTGCAGTCATGACCCTGATCCCGTCCAGTATCTACGGGCCGAAGAGCTTCCGCGAATGCTGGGGTGACTACCGCACGGAGGCCGACCTGGAGGACCCTTCTCTGCCACTTTATCGCTTCCAGCGTGACCTGCCGCGTCTGCCTGTGCCTCCACTGGCCGACACCGTTGCTTTATACTTAGAGACACTGCAGCCGCTCGTGTCACCAGCTGAGATCGCTCACTCCAATGAACTGGCCGCCGTCTTTTTGAGACCTGGTGGTATTGGTGAGGAACTGCAGCGTCGTCTTGTGTCGAGAGCTATGGACCGCAATGACTCGAGCTTCCTCTCGGAGTGGTGGAACACCTTAGGATATCTACAAGTACGTGATCCTGTCGTGTTTAACGTAAGTTATTTCTTCCACTTTGCAGACAGTGTGCATGCGGCTCAACGCTCTAATGTAGGACGAGCAGCAGCACTCTTAAGGGGATCCGTTCTCTTTGCTCGCCAAGTGGCAGATGGATCACTGGAGCCGGAACAAATAGGCCTAAAGAAGACACCCGTCTGTGCAACAGCCTACAAGTACATGTTTAATGCTTGTCGTATTCCACGACGTAAACAAGACTCGTACAGGATCTATGACCCGAAGACGCACACTTATGCAGTGATTATGCGTCACAACAAGTTTTTTAAGCTGGAGCTTCTTGACCCGCGTACACGGGATCCTTTGGGCTTTGAGGCACTGTGCTTCCAATTGGCTAGAATATTAGATGTTGCAGGTGCTAAGGAGTCGGCATTGGGAGCACTTACTTCTCAGAATCGGGACGTCTGGGCGGATGCTCGTAGAGAATTGATCCGAGCTTCTCCGAAGAACGAGGAGTCATTGCGTGCCATTGAGAGCTCGCTGCTGATTGTCAACATGGATGATGAAGCACCAGTGTCGCGTACGGAGGTAGCACGTGGTCTTTGGCACGGCAATGGACGCAACCGCTTCTTTGACAAGTGTGTACAGATTGTGGTCTTCGAGAATGGCAAAGCTGGACTTCTTGGTGAGCACTCGATGCTCGATGGCATGCCCATGGCACGCTATGCGGACTATTTATTGTCACGCCTGCATCATGGTCAGATTGACTTGGGTCGCCGCGGACAGACAACTGCACAATTAGAAGGGTCACTGGATGCCCCGAAGCAGATCACGTTTCGCTTTACGGCTCAGACGCTCCGCGATATCGCTGAAGCAGAAAAATGTTTTGATCAGACGGTGATCGACCACGAAGTCTTCGTTCAGGCCTTTTACGGCTACGGTGCTCGCTCCATTAAAGGATTCCGTTGCAGTCCGGATGCTTTTGTTCAGCTCGCTATACAGCTTGCCTACAAGAAGCTGTTCGAGAAAAATGCGGCCACGTATGAGGCTTCGCAGACACGAATCTTTTTGCACGGCCGCACGGAAACTACGCGTAGTTGCTCAGCAGCTAGTGCCAAGTTTACTGATGTGATGATGGACGCGTCAGGTGTCGTTACCACTGAAGAAAAGAAGAAATATCTGCTAGCTGCTGCGAATGGGCACGTTGCGTACATGCGTAAGGCTGGCGCCGGTCGCGGCGTGGACCGCCACATCTTGGGCCTGAAGTTGTTGGTTCAGCCTGGTGAGAGCGTGCCGTTCTTTGAGGATCCAGTTATGGCGAAAGCTAGTCGCTGGCTCATTTCCACAAGTCACCTGACTAACGAACTGTTTGATGGCTGGGGCTGGGGTGAGGTTGTACCCGAAGGCTTGGGTATCGCCTATAGCGTTAAGAACCATTCCATCCAGTTCAACATTGCATGCCGTCAGCACGGTAGCTGGGGAGCTCGAATGGGCCACCTTCTTGAAGAGAGCCTACTCGAAATGCAGCTGCTCTTCGATCAACCCAAGGAAATTGGTGCCAAGCTGTAGGCGTGAAGTCAAAGAGCAAGAAAAGTTGCACGAAATGGTTTGGAAGGCGAGAGGAAGAAACTAGGCACGAATCAGACCATAACATGCAAACCATTACACTGTACAACTTTCGAAAGTTGCAAACCAAATGAGGCGCTCTTCCCTCTTACACTTACTCCCCAAGAATTTCTCGTAATTCAGCCTCCGGAATCAGTGAGCAGTGGCAGGATCCCCAAAGGCTCAGGCACGTGAAGCAAAATTGATGACCATTGGGGCACGCCATGTGCACACATCCAAAGTCACGCTGCACACCAATACCACAACCTGGACATTGTTTAGCTCCTACGGCCTTCACCGTTTTCGTGTATTCAGCATCAGACTCCAGGTCCGATATCTTCCACTCTCTCTCCATCGCGAGCTTTTGGTACTTGGCGTAGTCTCCGGGTCTAGTCAGTGCTTCACGCACATAGTCGTCAGGAAGCTCTTTCTTGCAGCAACGAAGCGGTACAAGTGCGCGGTCGCCCAATGCTAGACGACACATGCACAAAATGCACGACTGGCAGTAATAGTGGCCACATGGCGCGACCCTCATTGCACCCTTGTCGACCTGCACAGTGCAGCTGACGCAGCTAACACCCGACTTGCGACGGGTCACCTTAAACGACACAGTTTTCTTCCTTTGGTTCAGAGTAATTCGCTTGGCACACATTAACACGTCGCCGAAACAATGCGCTTGAAAGCGCTCGTGGACGTTTTCAAATGGGTACAAAAAGCTGATAGTAGCGATAAAGCTCAGCCACACGAGACGAGTGCCTCTTTGCCTTGTCGCTGCAGTATTTACTGCCCGTTAGGTTGGAGATTGTTTCCGCAAAAAACCTCGTCCCAGCCAATCTTTTCAAGGCATCACCTCACAACAGAAGAATCGTGTAGCAACCTTGGCCACCCTCGTCATCGCATGCAATAGTGCCAACGCCAACATCAGCAATCCAAACGACGTTACGTACACTGGTAATGGATGTTGCCTTGTAAGTGCTTCCAAATGGATCGGGACTCGCTTATCGCCATTTAAAAATCCAAGCACGCCCAGCACACAGACAAGAGCCAGCATTTGGCCAGTACCCACCAATACCTTGAAACATCCGAAATATACCGTTGCAAGTACCGACCTCGTCGATATCGTGCCCAACGATCGCTCAAATCTCGGACAAGGCTGAAAAACTCGACCACCTCTTGGCCGCACTTGAATTGGCAGCAAAGGTAGCAATTCACTACTACTCTCGGTAGTCCCCCACTCAGCTAAGTCCATGTCAATGGAATCAGATGCTGATGCAGCCAATGAATTGTAGATAAATACATCCGTACAACACAAATAGAAGACGAGGTGTAATAATTCGCTAAAGACTATAACTCCATAGCCACAGAGGGGCATCGTCACAACACTCAAGACCGTCCCGATCAACACCATTAGAGCTGCAATTACGCTCAGAGCAGCGCTGCATCCATTAAACAATAGCATGCGCATGATTTTACTGGCTAAAACACACGGCCGTACGAGGTTAGACCCGATAGGATGGCGTCCAACCCTCATGCGACGTCGAGAACGGTGGCTCATGGACGATCTTGTTGGTATTTGTATCGATCTTTGCATACATTTAGATCAAACACCGGTATTTGTATCGATCTTCCGTTACATTTTGAGCCAAATACCGGTATATGAAGCATATGTAACTTAGGAGGTTTTCTTTTCTGGACACATTTTGACACGGTAATTATGGGTGACTCGCAGAATTGGTCATCGTTTGAGGAGCCCGAGACGCCCAAGCGTTTTGATGGCGTGGAAAAACAGATGGATGCAGTGAAGAAAGTGGAAGATAATGATAAGAATACTGGCAAAGGAATGAGTGCGTTGATGGAGCCTATGACGCTGCGTCATCTGCGCAATCGCCTCATCTTTGGTAGTTTGGTGGGCTTTGTCACGGGCGCCACGTTCGGTGGCAGTATGTATTCATACAGTGTATTTAATATCAAGGGTTGTAGTGTAGTCATTTTGTAATTGGATACTTAATGCAAATGTGCTGGTTGATTATATAGTTGATGGAGCTAAATTATACATGAAGCAGAATGAGAAGTTGGCACCTGCTGCTTTGAGTACCATTGCCCGTGGAGCGGCTATAACGGGAGGAGCTTTTTCTGGGTACGACGTGCGATACATTCTCTTCTATTGGTACCTTTTTGATTGATGAGAGAGGTTGTTGCTGTAGGTTTTTCTTCTTGTATTGCGGTATCAAAACTGCGTTGGCGACGCAGGGGAAGGATGATTTAACTAGTGCTGGTATTTCTACGTTAGTTGCTGGCATACCGTTCGTGCGGTCTACGGTAATGCGGCAGAATCTGCCGTATGCTGTCATGCTGGTGGCGCTCGACCACTTTCATGAGGAGCTCAACGAGTACCGTAAATAAAGCGGGAGCTGTTGGGCAGTTCAAATCGTAATTGAAAATGTTGTTTGTGTTGTGCGTTGTCTGGAAGTTTAATCATGTTCTTGGCAAGTCTTTGTAGCAGTGCTACAGATTGTACAGAGTGGATGCTTTCGATGCAAACCGTGGTCAACTTTAGCGCAAATTTACGACTGTTGACGAACCATGAAAGCCACGCGACAGGTCACGGCCAGGCTAAAGCTAGATGTCACCATTATGATGCTAGTCGTCACGAATATGATGCTAGTTCGTACCGGTAGGCTGAGCCCTGTACGACAGCTTGCATATTATTGGATTAGCATTCTTTACGGATTTTGAACGCTGTATCGGCCTCGGATCCCCAGAGTTTGAAGTTTTATCACTGAAACAATCTTAATGGTTTTACATTAGTTGATGCACAAGTAGCCTGTATAAATGGCTACAAGATCATTGATGCTGAGGTACACATTGTGCATCAAAGTTGTACTGTTGAAGTGCTTGCTATTTGGGATCAAGTAGCATTGAAACAATCAGTCGTATGTGTTTTTACTTGCTTCTGTCACTGGCGGCTTTCAATTGATTTTACGGCGTTCCCTCGACATTGCTTGCCATTCATAGCAATGCACAACGGGTCCAATCTTCCAATTGAATCGAATAATTTGCACAAGTATGTTTACACGCACGACACCTAGTTCAAAAAAACTCTTGCCGAACAGGACACGGTACTAGCTTTGCGCTTGGGATCCGTCTATCTACGTACTCTTGCAGTTCTTGCCAGCCACAGCCTTCTTTTATTCTTCCTGTAAAAGTAACGGAACTTATGGCATTTGCAGGCTCGTACACGTGACTGGATCTCGTCGGAGTTGAATAAATGACCAGGGTTGACGTTGTTTATCTGATGACATGGGGTCGGTAGCCACCCTGATAAGGACTTCGAGCTGGCAAGTATATGATGCGTCGTTCACTTTTAGGGGCACACCGAAGCAATATCATGGCTAGTTACAACCATTAGTTTTGAAGTTGTTATTACTGTTGTACTTCTTGTTGCAGCCACCATGACATGACCAAGACGGGCTATTCAGCATATCCTATAATGCAAGACATGGCGAGGTATCCACATTCACAAGGATTAGGAATCGTGAACCCGTAAGTTTTTGCACACATTTCAGGTCTCAGTGTAACGTCAGGGCCTTACATCGGCTGATTTGACGTCGGTAAGCGCGCGACTGGTGGTCATGTGATACATGACATCTCGTCTCTTGTCTTTGTCCTAAGTCAAGACGCCCATCATTTGTACGCCATCGAGAATCAATGCGATCGTATAGAACGATAAGTGTTGCCTGAGGCTAAGTCATGCATGGTAATGGCATGGCACCTTTCTGGAAAAGCCATCATTCCAAATACCTTTGCCATACCTCTACTCAGCTACTTGATTTCACTACGCTGTGCCTGCACATCACTACCGTCCACCTTTGAGCACTGCCTTCATTCAAGGCAAAAGCGTACTACTATTTCGTTGTAACGTACTTGGTATTGCTCTGACTTGCACTGGCCTGTTCCGCTGACCACTAGCGTCGGATCAAATACCGAATACTCAAAGATGGCGCTGTCCCAATGGCTTGTAGCGTGGCGCATTGTACATTGGGTTTGCCTCGGATTGGCCATTGTCGCCGCGCTCTACCTGCTTCTGCACTCGCTGACGTTCCACCGTTTAAAGCGACGCATGGCCGACCTGCTACTCAGCGGCATCGCGTTGGCCGATTTGAGCTTCGTGGGCTTGGAGACGTGCAAGGAGCTGATGCACACGTCCTACTTCGCACGCTACCGGCAGGAGGACGAAGCAGATGAAGATACTAATTATTCGACGGTGGACTTTGTGTTGATGCTCTTGAGCCGCTTTAGCTTTTTCATGTCCATGTATTGGATCACCAACCTGTCGCTACTCTTGAGGCTGGGCAGTTTCGAAGCTCTCCACGTCAAGAAGAGTTTGCTCCTGTCGTCATTGGCTTCGATGGTCTATGGCTGCCTGCAGGCCGCCCTCCCAATCTTGAATGGACAGGATGGAAATCATTCGACACTGGCGTACACAGTGAAAGCTGTGCTCCTATTCCTGATGCAGATGACACCGTTGCTGCTGATACTGACAAATCTTCGTGGTGTGAGGAGGTCTCGTCTTAGCGCGTCAGCTCAGGGACGGAATGTCATTCGAAGACTTACAGCTTATTGCGTCTGTGCTGCGGCGTTTACGCTGCCGTACGCACTGGTGCTCATCTTCTCCCGAGACCCTGTCGCGGTCGGGGCGGTTGCTGAAACGCTCAACTACTTGGTTCCTATAGCAAATGCGTTGCTGTTCGGTACAAGTCTAAGCTGTTGCTGTGCTGTAGCAATAGAGAGAACGACAGTGCCGAATCTGGAAAAGGTGCAAGTCCACGATACTCCATCGTCGTCATTAGTTGTTTCTGCAGAAGTGCTGACTGACGGATGTGGAACTCCTCGTGGTACAGCAGGTAGTGTGTATGGCATCAGAGATGAGTTGCTAGCTGGAGGTCTTATTACTGAAATGGAGACGGAAGGACCAGCTGTGAAAATTGGCGAGGGATCCAGTGCAGAAGTATACAAGGTGCAATGGGTGGGTATCACCGTCGCGCTCAAATGCTTGCTCTTACAGGCTCGAAGTAGCTCAGAAGCAGGTCTATACATGACACACCTGGCTGAGCTGCGCTCCGAATTTCTCGATGAGGCTGTGCTCGCTGCGCAGCTTCGACATCCGAACATCACACTTTTCATCAAAATGGGCACCTATAAAGGCAGCTTGTGCCTCGTCAAGTAAGCATTGTAAAGGATCTACATACAGATTACTGTGCTGCCTGCTAATATCTGCTTGTGATGTTTTGTGTTGCCAGCGAATATTGCGCGCGTGGGTCACTTCGAGATGTTCTTCGTGCGAATCCCCTTCTAGATTGGCATACAAAAGTGCGTCTAGCCTTTGAGGCAGCTAAAGGTTTGGCTTTCATGCATAACCGCGAGCCAATTTACTTGCATCGAGACCTCAAGGCTTCCAACATCCTCGTGACGATTGACTGGACAGCCAAGATTGCAGATTTCGGAATCGCCCGGATTGCTACGGACTTTACAGTGAAGAAACAACACTCATCACAACAAAATTCAATGCAGTCTCTTGCATCTCTACGATCGATCGATGACAGCATTGTCATGATGGATACAGCAGCGTCCGGGTTGATGACGACTTTTGCTGGTACATGGCGTTGGAATGCTCCAGAAATCATGAACAATCCCAATGCATGCCGCTTCAATCGTGAAACGGACATGTACAGCTTTGGTGTGGCTTTATGGGAGATTCTAACAAACGGAGCCGTACCGTTCGGTGACGTAGATTTCGACCATCAGGTGCGGCAGCTCGTAGCAGCAGGCGAGCGACCATTACTACCTCCTGCTTCTTTACGTCGTGCACCTCCTAAGTTTATCGAAGTTATGCGAGCATGTTGGCATCAACGGCCGGAAAAACGACCGAGTGCCCAAGATGTAATGTTCCATCTTGGATCATTGTCCTACACGCTATCAAATAGCTCTGAGAGTTCTACATCGTCCCAGAACACAACACGTTATGTCTTTAGTGATACCTATTATCAAGCGATAGACTCGATTCAAAGTTGTCCAGGATTATGGTAAGTAAAGTATTCCACTGTGATGTCTGTAATTTAAAGTAGCTACTATATTGTTAACAAAAGTGGAAAGTATCAATAAGCGTTTTAATTCAATCGTTATTTAGGATGTTTGAATTGTTATAGTACTCCTCAACAAGAATATCGATATAATTTCTTGGATAAATTTTACTTAAAATTGATCTTGGATATTTTTTAAAATTAAAATTAATATCATGGTCAGGCCGCTTAATAAGGAATGGAAGCTCTTTGGACACAAGTATCGTGTAGCCGGTGCCAAGTGCGCCAAAGTCGACTGTAAGGCATGTCAGACACAGGTTTCTGCCGCTATTAATCGTTTGCAGTCTCATATACGCGTGTGTCCGGCTCGCTCAGGTCCGATGACGTGTCCTCGTGATTCCAGCAGCAATACGGACAATTGTTCTAATACGGAGTTATCGGACGCTCTTCCGACGTCTTTAGAGCTTGCACAATATTCATTAGAGGACCCTATTACTAGTAATCTAAGTACAGAAGAGACAGACGTAACAAGTGACGCTCCACCAGCAAAAAAACGGCGTCAATCGCCTTCGAAAACACGTGATCGGCCGCGAAGACATGACGTCGCTATCGCAACGAACGATGAGACTTTCATGGGTCAATGACGTTATAGAAGAAACTGAAAAGACCGTGCAACCAGCAGCCACTTCTGTGCTTCATAAACGTCGACTGGAGATCGAGGAGAAGCGACTGCATCTTGAAATCAAACGAGATCAGCGTGAAGAGCGTCGAGAACGGCTGGAGCTGGAGATATTAAAGACACAAGCTAGAAAGGAAACATTGTTGATGGAAAAAGAAGGATATGAGGCAAGGGTGCTTCTTGCATTGTCACGTAAGCAATTGTTTGACCAGGGAGTAGATAAAGACGAGGTCGACCGGATCCTGCCGATTTTGAGCTTCCAGACTAGTTTTGACAACAGTATGTCTGCTACGACTGAGATAGCTACTCTAAACACGACCATGATCGAAACGTCTAGTACTTCAAGTAGTTCGGAGAAAGATGTGACGTCGGAAGTCAATGATCCGGAGGCTCTTTGACAAATTGAATGATGTGGCTAATGCAGCGGTGGTATGACCGAGATACTCCTACATGTATGACACTCAATGATACGTTCTTTGATTGCGGAGTGACTACAAACGCTTAATCATGGAGACTCAAGCTGGTTGAATTACGTGAAAGCAAGGAGAATCTGGAAGACGAATGGCGTTTAATAGCCCTTAAGAACTGTAGACGCAATATCTCTTGCTTGATGAAGAGATTGTTGGATAAATTTGACAGTCGAGTGTACTGTAAGGACCTTCATGACTCAGGTCCTGTCAATACTTGGTCAGTTTTCGAATCGACACCACCATAAGCAGTACTGTGTGGTTAGAAAGCTGCGCCCCCCCCTTCCATCAGCCCCACCTGTCACGTGGCAGTTTCTCAACGACCATGTCATAACTGGGTCTCTTTACTTGAAAAATATCTACACGACAAAGCAAGTTTCAATTGTGCACTTCGACAGAGCGCATGCGAATGACGATCGAACGTCTGGACGAGATTCTTGCGACGAACAATGATATTTCGCTCGGCAATTGGATGGCAGATGCACGAAAACTTGCACAAGATGCTGAACCTGTCAAGTCGACTGCTTCAATCAGAACGAAGCATGCAACCAGGTGGTGAAGATAAGTCGTGGAGACCGTCCACGACTATGCAGACAAAGCGTGGACTTGTCTACTACTTGCCTCGTCGGCAGATATGGTTCACTGAGGTCTGTGAGTCTTATACCCAAGGACGCAAATATTGACGAAACAAGCCTCGTATCGCATTTGCGCTCAAGTAGCAGCTCAACCACGAATAATATCCGACCATGACCACTAGTGACACAATCACCGTCTCCAAACGCATCTTTGAAGGGTTCTTGTACAGTCATAAGCATTCGGACTCTGTAGCAATGTAAATGTGATTGTAGACGGCAAGCAAATGCTTTATACAATCTGCACAATCCAATGCAACCGTCAGCACTAAAGCCTTGCTTTACTACTCAATGGCGATGGTCTCCGTCAAATCTTGCAGTGCAGTATGAGACGAGCCATCATCGTTATCGATAGCGGTATCTTCAATCATACCCGCATCCTTAGCAAAGCACACACAGAATGCACGCACCTCAATCGCCTGTCCACGCGAAGTTGCTAGAGCATTGTAATGATGGTGGTCACTGCGACCTCTCCAATCGTCCTCCAGGCTGTGACAAATTGATCTATGTCTTCCAGGTACTGGGCTTACAGCTTTGCAGTGACTTGCGTCGAGATGCGTAATACGCTACAGTTTGCGCAGTGCTCAAGCCAATCCAGTAGGTGAGTAGGATGTTGCAGTGTACTCTCCCAATGACTGATAAGCCAGGACCAGATTGCCTGAGCACGGGGACATCTCCAAAAGAGATACTCCTGGGTCTCCTTTTGGCCTACACATTCCAGGGCTGAACCTCGTGATTTACTTGGACACCTGATCGATTATTTTATGTGTGTGTTCCACACCATTTTGTGAATTTGGTATAGTTTTAAGTATGGAGCAGCCTGTGGATAAGGAGACAGCTAAGGCTCAGTTTCGCTCGTCACGTCTGTCTTGGAGCAATCAAGCTGAACACGTATGTCATGCAACAAGTATAAGAAACGGATGTAAAGCTACTGACTGTTTGTATGCTTGTAGAAATTGAAACAAGAGCTGAGCGACATTGCGATCGCCAAATGCCACAGCGTCGCAGAAAAATTTGCCGAATGTGCTAAAGCCAATGGTCTCCTGGTTGTCTTCAAGTGCCAGGACCATAATAAGGCTCTAAACGCCTGTCTGCATCAGTATACAAACGACGAACAGTTTGAGATTTACCGCCAGAAGCGCGAGAAGACCATGTCTGGAGAGGAGAAGACCATGTCTGGAGAGGTGAAGACCAGTTCCATGTAGACGACGCAGTCTAAAATGCTCTTGTACGGACAGTGCAATGTTTGCAGTGCCACTCTTACAAGTATGAGTAAACCTCCGTGCATTTTTATATGAGATTATAATCTCTTCGTGCGACGGCTAAGAGCTTTGGCACTTATTGCTTGCGCTGTCGCAGTTTACTAGTCGGAGTGGCGTCCACAGGGAAGGTAGCAAGTACTTCCTTGGCCGTGGCCATTGCCTCCTTGATGATGACCTTGCACGCGGCATTCAGATCCGTATGCGAGTGAATGGCAGTCACTGACACGCGTAGACTCGGCAGGGGCTCGTGCGTCTGACGGGTTTTGTAACGAGGCGAGCAGATTGCCACGCCCTTGGCAAGGCACTTTTGCATGACTGAGTCGCACACCTTGCGCTGCAGAGAGCGCTGGTTCTCCTCGCTGCCAACACGGGCCACAACCTCAGGCAGCAGACGCAAATGTAGAATCGGAGAGACAGTAGCCTTAGAGACGCTGTAGACACCCTGCACGCCCGTTGACAGAGCATTGTGCGCGAGTTTGGCATTGTCACGTAGCTTGGTGAAAAGCTCTGGCTCGTTCTTCATAAGTCGGATAGCCTCGGAGCAACAAGCAGATGTAAACGGTGGAGCCGAGGCAGAAAACACATAGCCAGCGCTGTTAATCCGCTGGTAGTCGACAACTTCTTGTGAGCCCGTGCTGAAACCACCTACACTCGCGGTAGAACCAGCGAGGGAGCTGCAGATGATGGCCACCTCCGACACGTCCATGCCATAATGCTCCGTAAGTCCACGGCCTGATTTGCCCAACACACCAAAAGAAAAGCTCTCGTCCAAGAAAAGGCGAAAAAAGTACTTATTGCACATTTCAACCACCTTGGGCAAGTCAACCATGTCACCGTGGTTGCGGAATAGCGCTTCCGTCACAACGTAACGACGCTGGCAGTCTGAGCCGCGATTCTTCCTCTTGTCCTCGTCACGCACATTCTTGAGCACGCGCTCCAGGTCTTCCAGATTGTTGTGCTTGTAGTAGTGCACTGTGCAACGTGCCAAATTGGCGCCCACCAGGATCGAGTCATTGCACCCTTCATCCATGACAATGAGGTCACCACGCTTAGCAAAGGCCGGCAGTACCGATGATGTCGTGGCTTCCGTGTCTGAAAAAGTAATCGAGTCGGTCGTTCCCATCATCTGTGCTATATCCTTCTCCAGGATCTCGTGTGCGTCGATTGTTCCGTAGAAGCCACGAGGTCCACAGGAGCCACAACCGTACTTGGTGAGTGTCTTAATAGCGACTTCCTTGAGCTCTGGGCGTGAGCCCAGACCGAGAAAGTCAAAGGTAGCCAAATTCAGCAAAGGCTTGGCAAAGCCCTGTAGCTTTATGTGCGTATCGGGTGTGGCCTCCACGACACCAATGGGCTTGGACTTGTATGTTTCCATAACGTCATTGGGCGGAATAATAGGATCAGGAGTCCATTCCTCACACAAGTCGTCAATCTCGCGCTCCGAGAGCTTGGGAGCCGTGCTTTTGGGCTTGTCACGTTTAAAGAAAGTGATGTAAATGACAAAGACGATAAGAAACGTCTCAATAATCACGTGTTCTGGGCTGCGCTCGTAAATGGATCGAATGTACTTGTAATAAGAGCTTGGAGTCTTGACAAAAGCCGCCTTGATCTTGGCAATATCCAGACTCAGCAGTGCCTAGTCAGTAGACAGCATTAGTCAGTAATCATTCCAGTTGTAGACAATGGGGATACAATACACCACATAGAAATGATACATACCTCGGCAAAAGGCTGTCCAATTGTTGCCCACCATTCACTCATATTAACTTATACACTAGCACGTGCACGAAAGGGAGAAAGGAAAGAAGAGGGATAAAGAAGCTCTGCTTTAGGAAGGCGACCAGTGGCGTTTCGCACAGTCTACGACGTGATTCGCTAGAATAAATTCTTTATTTCAACGAATCCGGTTTAGCCAAAGCAAAATGGGTATAAATACGAAGAGGCGAGGTCCCATTTTGGTTTTATTTTTAGGTTCATCCGTTTTAGCTGAAAAGGAATAACCTTTACCATTTTCATTTATATTATGGAGTTACGTAACCGTGTCACTGGCATTACGAAGAAGGCTGCACGCGGTCTTGACGTGGCTCTTGGTCCAACAATCTACAATGGGGAGCGTTACTCCAAGATGAGTGAGCGGATTAAACGACAACATATGAAGCCGTGCGAGGTCGCGGAAGCTAATACGCAGCGGGTACGTTGTCTACTGTAATTGTCTATTGTCTTTTAGTCGTGACAGGACCAATTGTTTTTGCGTCGTTTTGTGTCATGTGATAGATCATGCGCGCCCAGGTGATTGCGTTTGTGGTAGCGCTTGTCTTTGTCTTGTCGTTGGTGTCTACAATGATGTACCAAGCTCACGTCCGTCGCTCCAACCGCATGCCTTTCGACGTGTAACTACCATTTCATACTGTTATTATCTAGGGCTGTTTATCGCGTTGTAACTCGGAGCGCAACAGATAAAGCCGTTGGCATTGACGTTCTCGACCGTCAACGTACTGACTCGAACGTTTCAATAGATCAGAATTGTTTCTCATTGTTTTGCTACGTATTGAGGCAGCTAGCTGGTCAAACAGAACTTATGCTTTTGTCTGATCCCTTGTTTGTAAGAAAACACTTTAAACTGGTAACAAATGTTCACACAACTCTTTATAAATATTAAAGATGGCGGCAGCAGCTTTTACCGAGCAGCTTTTGTCTTTTCTAGCCACATTTGCCTACCCAACGGAGAGATTTACTCACCGGCAGCTATTGGAATTCCGATGTCCAAATAGAAGCAAAACCCTTTTTAAACTAAAGGCTTCGCGGTTTTCGTCTTCCTTCGTCTCAAGCCCGAAATCTTAGTCAGTCGCGAGTACAATTTGCGCACAAAAGTCTGACGGAGATCGCGCAGCTCTTTGTCCACGACAGCAAGCTGACGGTCTTCAATAACCGCGAATGAGGACGAGATCCCGAGCTCATTCGCATCTGTACACGAACAGCCACAACTCAACAAACTCGAGGGACGTCCCGCCTCAGACACGAAGCTAGAGATATGGTCGTCGTCAGGCTGAGTCTCATGCCACAAACGCTTCGATTCGCGAATGTCCGTGTCTTTACTCTGAGAAGCAACGCCACTCTGACGCAGAGCCTGATGCCCCGATTGCCATGACGAGGGGCAATGCTCTACATTATTGCCAGCATCATCACAGCCAGCAAACTCGGTATCGGTACTAGCTGTACTACCGCGGCAGCGGCTATGAACCGAGACTCGACTGTGCGTGGTACAGCGCCGTGCCTCGGACGCATTCGAGGACACCGAGCGCTGCAAAGCTTGCTCTGAAAGTGAAGCCGCCGTTACAACAAACGCAAGCTCGTCAATGCTTGGGCTTGGCGCTGTTGGTCTCAATAGAAGCGGCATTACCAATTTAATTCTTGAGTAAGTTTGACTTGTGTAAGGGGCGGAAAATCGTGTAGTGGACGCTTTTATTTGAAGTGCGATGGGCTTATGGGGATAGGGGAACAGGCTGGCTTTAAATAAGTATTTAAATGTCGCCGTGCGTATCGAGTGGGCTGTCGAGTGACAGCACACAAACGTCAACAAACGGCTGTCAAAGAACGAACGGTTCGTAGTGCAAACGTATGAAGTCGAAAACTGTAGAGTAGTTTCAGTTGTTCCGCATCAGGTACCACCTGGTCAAAGCATGTTCGAATCATCTGTAGAATAGCTCGTAGTCTTATCAAGGCAGTTCAACAACAAGGCGATTGCCACGAAACAGAGCTATGCACACACTATGTACACGCTGTTGTATGGCCTTGATGAGCTTTTCAAAGTCGCATTTCTAACTCTCACAAAATCCCATCAATCCATCCATCGAATCGATTACCTCATGTTAAAACGGAAATATCGCGATGGGCATTGCATTGGCCTGGGTTGTCGGACTACCCAAATAATGGCCCGTACCACATTTTGATTGGTCAGACTACTTTAACAATTGACACTTTTTTTAATCATTTTGCAAAATGTTGGGAATTTTCGTGGAAAATGGGCAAGCGTGTTGCATAAAATGTCGTTGTCATCTTTAAATGTCACGCGTGTCTAAATGAAATCCGCACTCAGACAACCACCTTAGAATTGAAATAATACACTCGTGTACTTGCCGTCCTGTGATGGTAAAAAACAAGCTCAACGTGCGAGTTGGCTGGTGGGCGTGGATCAGTGTTATGTAAAGCAGATGTAGCAAATAATACAATGCGTCGTGAATATGGCCGCAAAGGCCTCCTCCACTTGCGCTACTCAGATCGCCATTTCATTTTCTGTAGAGTATCCATTTTTATCGACCCCTAGTGTCGTACAGTCGTCAAGCAGCTGGTAAGAAATAAAAACGCCTTGATCGTACAGTCAACAGAGATTAATTTTCATGACACGATAAGCTTCTACGGCAATACATTGTTATGTATGTATCAGGACAGCGTCCTATCATCAAGTCACTCAGTCATTCCAGCTGTCATTATATACTGTCATATAAAGGACATTGCCATTGGCTAGAATTAACGAGTAGAATTCACGTTAATTTACCATCGGTTGAAGATGAATTGCACTGCCTCTTTATCAATTCAACATTGAATCGTACAAATGTAGCCATAATAAGATTTTCTGATTCTCCCTCAAGTATCATTCCGCATTTTGTCGACAAGAATGCGGTTGCTTGACTCTTTCGTTCTTTTAGCGATCTCGTTCCTCGTTCTTGTCGATGCTCGTTGTGATCCAAGTAAATGGATACCTCCTCTTGATGGTGTATACAACACTACAAGTCACATTGTTCCGACGAAACTAAATGTTCATCTAATTGCGCATTCTCATGATGATCCGGGATGGGTAATGGGAATTGATCAATATTATATGGAAAAAGTACAGTATATCTTAGATACAGCTGTTGAAGAACTTGTACGAAATCCGGATCGTCAATTTATGTTTGTGGAACAATCATTCTTTCAACGTTGGTGGAAAGAACAAAGTTTAAATGTACAAAAGATTGTGAAACAACTTGTTAAAGAAGGACGGTTGGATTTGACAGTTAATGGAGGTTGGTGTATGCATGATGAAGCTACACCACATTATATTGCAATGATGGATCAAACAGCATATGGTCATCAGTTACTTATGGATGAATTTGGAATTAGTCCACGAATTGGATGGCAAATTGATCCATTTGGTCATTCAGCTACCCAAGGTTCACTTTTATCACAAGGTATAGGCTTTGATGCTCTATACTTTGCTCGTATCGATTACCAAGACTATGACAATCGTAAGAGAAACAAGGAACTTGAATTTATCTGGCGTCCAAGTAAATCACGAGGCAAAAGATCGCAGGTGTTTACAGGAGAAATTATTGATCATTATTGTCCTCCAGAGAAATTTGATTTTGGGAAGAATAAGAATCAGATTCAAGACGATACAGAACTACATGACTATGATGTGTGTGATGAAGTGGAGCAGTTTGTTAATAATGCCAAGATGCGTGGTGGATTATCCAAAGGCAACCACGTTTTTATCCCCATGGGTTGTGACTTTCAGTATGATAATTCACGTCGTTGGTTTAAAAATATGGACAAAATTATTCATTATGTAAACCAGGATGCACGTGTGAATGTGCTATACTCGAATCTCTCATACTACACGGACATGAAGCGCGCAGAAGGACTTACGTGGAGCGTCAAAACTGATGACTTTTTTCCATATGGGTCAGCGCAAGATGACTATTGGTCAGGCTTTTTTACCAGTCGGCCAACTCTGAAACGTTTTGCTCGAGTGGCCAATATACTGTTGCAGCAAGTCCGACAGCTAGATGCAATCTACCAGAGTCATCACTCAAGCACGTTGGTGGCACTGCAGCGTGCTGTGGGTCTTGTGCAACACCATGATGGTCTATCGGGAACGGAAAAGCAAAGTGTTGCTGACGATTACGCGCTTCGGCTGAATGACGGGATCATTCAGGCCGAAAAAGAGATGAATGAGGTGCTTTTTGTGATCGGTGAGAAGGAGTTGTACCATTTGTGCTTGCTAGCCAACACGAGCGTGTGTGACGTATCGACACAGAACACAGAGTTTGAGGTACTGGTGCATAACGCACTGGCGCGTACGACCGTTCAGACAGTGTCGATTCCAATCACGCACAAGTCAGCGGAGGTAAAAGTTCTGTCGGGCAACGCAAGTGTCCGTGCACAAAGTGTGTTTGTAGCTCTGCCGGTTCATCCTGAGACGCAAGTGGCTCCCTACTCGCTCGTTTTTAGTGCTGAACTGAAGCCTCTAAGCACAACTCGGTTCTTCGTAAAGCAGAAAGGCGTGGACTATAGCACTGCCATGAACGAGAACATTGACGAGCACAAGGAGAGACATGAAAATGCTGGAGCTGACGGCCTTGACGAGTATACTGAGAACGATGACGTGGTAGTCCTGGAGAACCAGATGATGCGAGCAGAGATCAGCAAAATGACGGGATCCATTACAAAACTAGCCAACAAGAAGAAGAACATTCAGATTCCGCTGTCGTTAGAGGTAAGGTACTACCAGGCGTTCCAAGACCACGGTCCGAAATCTGGCGCGTATGTGTTCCGTCCGGACTCGAACAAGACGTACCCGGTGACTGTCAAGAGTGAAGCGATGCCTACCTTGGTATCAGATGTAACGATGATTGAGCTGCAAACCACGAGTCTCGCCGCTGATGGTGGCCTCGCCAGTGTGCCGCGCGTGGCTTTCAAGATCGGCAACTGGGTTACGCTCGAGTACCGCATGAACGACGATGACGAGTTCCTGGAGATCGAGTGGACGGTCGGACCAGTCCCGATCGACGACAAGAAAGGCAAGGAGGTCATCGTGCGCTTTGATGCCGGCAACAGCATCGCGTCAGCTAGTACGCTGTACACGGACTCGAATGGCCTCGAGTTCATGAAACGTGTGCGCAACCACCGCGACACGTGGAATCTGACTCTGCATGACAATCAGGAAGAAGTGGCGGCAAACTACTTCCCGATCACTACGGGCGCCTATATCAAAGACAGCGAGCGCCAGCTGAACGTGGTTACGGACCGCGCGCAAGGAGCGGCGAGTTTGGCAGACGGACAGGTGGAAGTGATGGTTCATCGACGCCTGCTTGTGGACGACAATAAGGGAGTAGACGAACCCTTGAACGAGAAAGAGTCTGTGTACAACACGGCCACGAAGACGTACACTACTAAGGGACTGGTGGTGCGTGGTAACTTTTTCATCAACGTGGACTCGGCCGAGGACGGAATGCGCAGCATTCGGTCAAAGATGGAGTCGCAGTTCTTCCGTCCGCTGACAGCGTACCGCAAACCCGTTATGTCCAAAGAGAAGGCGAAGGTGCCGTGGTTGACTGTGGGCGAGTTCCCTCTGAACGTAGGTCTGACAACGGTGCAGGAGTTGTCGAAGCAGTGTCTGATGGTGCGTCTGTCGCACTTGTATGCGGTGGACGAGCACTCGAGTCTGTCACAGCCTGTGACGGTGGACTTCTCTTCGTTGTTCTCGGTGAAGAACTCTGTGGTGTCAGAGGTGACGGAACTGGTGCTGACTGGCACGAAAGAGCTGTCGCTCGAGAACAAAGGACGTGCGATGGAGTGGAAGACGACGGACGATGCGCACGGTTGGTCTCCTCGGTCTCTTCCTGTGAAGGGTACGTCGGTTGTACTACAGGCGATCGAGGTGCGTGCGTTCCGTGTGTGCTTTGCTAAGGATGCGAGTATGATGGAAGATACCGCTATCGATAACGATGATGACTTGTTTGGTACTGCACTGCAAGATTTGGCGGAGATCATTGCCATTGAGTAACTGCCACAGCTAGAATCGTCGAGTTGTTTAAGAAACTACATTGAATAAGCGTGTGCAAACAAATACGATTTGGCTTATGGCAACCTGGAGAGCTCTATCCCTACAGCTCTACGCAACTCCATGAAAAACAATGAACATGACAGTGACAACGGACAGGAATGCAAGACCGATGCCAACGAAGTGACAAACGATCTGATACTTCGCTTGGTGGAGGTATTGTTGGATGGCAGCCTGCAACTTGTCACTCGCGACGATATTTCCGTCTTCCTGGCAAAAGCCCACGAATTGCAATCGATTTGCGCTCAGAAAGCGCCACCAACAAACTCCTGCAGCTTTGATGATCATCCTTACCACGAAGCGATTTGCCACAAAGACCACCACTAGAAGCCACCACGATGCAAACGAGAAGTATACAGCCTTTTCAGTCGCGCATGCGAGATTGTGCTGTAGTTGGCCAACGACTTCATCTCTTCCCATAGGGTGGGATCCTTCTGCTGGAAAGCACAAGTCAAATGCAGTGGATGATGCTAAGAATGGCGCGTTTGCACTCATTTGCTCCGTTGTTGAGAGTGGGGTCATTAGTGCCGAGTTATTGCTGAAACTTGTCATCAAGCACTGACTTGAAAGAGAAGCATCAGCTGCAGAAGCTGCTTCACCATTGATGCTACAGTCTTGAAGCATGCGAACCAAGGTGCTCATCGTTGTTGTACAGTCACTGAAATCGTCCAGTGCAATAGACTGATTCTTCCACACGATAGCCGTGTCTAATGTCAGTGCCGCATAGTCATTACGGATGGAATCGTTGATAATGGTGGCGTACTTTCGAATTTCATCAAGTGGATCAACGACGCGCTCGCTGGTGTTGCCACTGTTCTCAAAAAATGCACGGGTGATACTTTGTATAGTAGTTGGTGAAAAGCTGGCCGGTGCATCGAAACTTTGGCACTGCGCATTGTGATCTTTCTTCCACATGAACAAGCCTACTGTGATCGCTGAAGCAGCGCAAAAAAGAAGGAGAAATGTCACCAGTACGCGCAGCAGTTCTGAGGCTTTTTTCACAAGTGTGAAGCATACTGCAGAAATGCTATGCTGGCAAAGGAAAACTTCACATACACTTCCAATCGTGTCGACCGTGGTAATGCCCCGGATATCCACCATTGGCATGTCAGAATAGGACTCGGTAATGAGCCCAACTGCAAGATCTGCAGCTAGTACGATGAGACGGCCAACGTCTACGTAGAAAACCACTTGGGTGACCAGAGTACTAACGTCAACCAACGAAGCACGCAGCACGGCAGTGTCGATGTCAAACTTGTCTTCCTTTGACGGTGATAGTTCGGTGTTTTTGGAACTCTCGTCACGTGAAGCAATAGCCAACTTTTGATGCTCTTTCTCCAAACTTGAGTTCGATGTTCTATCTAGCAGAAGATATTTGCGCTGAATGGAGCTCTCAGGTCTGACACTTTGGCGTTGGTTAGCTGTGAGCTCGGCTACTAGTTGGTCCCCCAGTCGCTGCCACGGTGTAAATCCTTCGGCAACCAGCTTTTTGACCATAGTTTGCCATTGTTCACGCAAAATATTGAAGGAGGTGGAAACTTCCTGCTGGGCCTGATCCAAGCTAGTCCTGACAGCGGCACTAGTACGATTGATCTGCTGTGCCGTTGACTCGGCTGCATACACAAGCTCCTGCTGCAGCTGTGTTGCCTGCTGTACGGTGGCGTTGAACTGTTTTTCCAGCAGCTCCCAAGTCGAATCTATAGTGTCCAGGACGTCCGTAAAACCGTCGTGCAATCCCGCTAGAACCTCGAGTGCTTTGTGAAGTGTTTGACCAGTTTTTCGTATAGCCCCAAGACTGGCAGTTGATGTTAAAGCCAACGGATTTGAAAGCTTCGATGAGGCTACTTTGCCCAAGCGACCAAGACGAGAGGCTGACTGATGGCTATCATCGTTTCCAGATAGAATCGGCGCTAGTGAGCTCAATTGCTGGGATACCAGTGTGTTCGTTCCTCCGATGGTTTTGTCAATGCTTGCCTTGACAGTGTCGATGGCATTCCACATTTCAACGAGTTGGCTTTCAACTTTCGTTGCCTGCTCGGATGCGGTGTTGTTCGCCTCCGAGACAACTTGCGTTGTCAATAATGCACGAACCGCAAGTACGAGTGACCGCGAGGAAGACAAATCATCAGTTTTAGGCATGTTTTCGTAAAATTTGTCGGTGAAGCAGCCAAGCGTCGAGTTTGCTTTGGACATTTTCACCTGTTCCGTCAATGTTGTCAAGAAAGTATGGGAGCCTGTCAGAGAGGCAAGCGTGTGAGAAAACCAACAAGCTACGAAGTTAAGAAGTTACGAAGTCCACGATCAAACTTACACGTCATAGTCGTCTTTCTCTGAGAAGCAAGGACTTTGTCATTAGCGTCAATGATTTTCTGGACGCGTTTGCTATCGGCTTCAAACTGTAATTTTGCACCGGCCAAATACTCGAGCGAGCTCCTATTTACACATTGAGTCATGGTGTTTAACATGTAACTTGTAGCAGCATACTCTGCTCTCGCAGTTGTTAACTCGTTGTGAACACCGAGCACGTCAAGTGTCCACGTGGTGACTATCGAGGACACATAGATACCCCCGGTGAAAGTACATATGATGAAAAGCACAATGAAATAGAAGCGTGGATAGTTGTCAAACCATTTTCTCTTGGGCTCATCAAGAGACGCTAAAGGAGACGGCAAGCAAGCGTATCTTGCATTCTTATCTTCAAAAGTCGTCACGTCAGACCCGTTTGGACAAGAAGACGACAACGAATTGAAAGGATGCACTTTCATACTCAAACGAGGCAACACCTTACGAGGCAGCATCTTGCACCAAGACAGTCAACAAAGAAATGTAGGTGGCATTTAGCCAGAATTGCTACGAGACATTGATAGTGACGAAATAAGAGACTATGGAGAGTACAACAACCTATCTTTGATGTTGTCTTAGTGATCTATCAATCAGTTAAGCGAGTACTCATTAGAAATGGATTAACTAGGTTGTCGTTTCATTAGGTTGACTACTACAGTACAGCCTTCAAACGACGCGCATGTCAAATTTTAATCCTTGTACTCAGTCTCTTCATACGAAAATATATATAAATGGGAGCGCTCAGACATCCAAGGAAAATTGGAGCCTCAAGCAGCAAGTCAGGTGGCAACCTGACCGCTATCAGCAAAACACTGCGAATGTTTAAGGGATATGTTTCTTCATCAACGCGCTCCATAATCATATATACAGATACACATGCACTATTGTGTTGACAAACACAGTTACAAACGTAACAATTTCTTTTTCTTTGGGTGTCGTGGAGAACACAACATGAGTAATCCCCGTCGGGTTAGCTCGAAGTAGCGACGGCACGACATCCGTCATATGCCACTGAGCCAATTGCATAACTTTTAGTATGACCATCAGTCCTCAAGAATCCGCCGAAAGCTCCAATCCGCCAAAGCGAACCATCTTCGCAAAGCTTCATCGTCGAGGGAGTCTGCGCTTTGACGCTGGCACTCTCTGCCCTGGTGTCCGGGGAATTTCCCCAAGTCGCCTTCAATTCAGCACATAAAGCACTAAAGAGAAGACCCACTTGACTTCGCAATTCTAAATCGTGTTCTGATCAAGATGCACGAGCAGCTCTGACGGTTTCAGAGCTCTGTGCACCATTCATCTACTGTGACTTCGGATTGGCTACAAAATAATAATTTAGTGAATATTTTAGCGAATCCAGTTGTAGCTAAAGGTTCCCGCCAAAATGAATGGACAGAAATCGTCTGGCTGGAAATGAGGAGACGTATTTCCTTATACATTTGCAATCCGATTACCACCTGCTGCTGCCGAAGGCTCTACATTTGTGAATGTCTCATGCTCTTAATCGTCGTGCATATGTAATGTGCGTGCTAGCTTCCTTTACGTTTATAGTCAAAATATGCTAAACCAGCACTCCCTCATAAACTTGCATTAACTACTGGCATCGTCTTATATACACCATTCGCATGAAAAATTGTCTCCGCAAATGCGTCAGCTTGGCTCGACGATGATGATTGTATTTACTGTAACTTTGTTGCGAAAACGGCCACTCCTTCACTGCGCCCGTCATCAGACACATGTTTGGTGAAATCAGTAGTTTGTCCAACTCAAATTGTCCCATATATTTGGCGGTAGTCAAAAAGTATTCATGTTTCAAACCTTACATGTATACTGTAGAAACGTATGTAACCCATTAATTATACCCCACTACTATACATACATAAAATGTTCCTAAGCTTTTATATTCCTGTCTAATTTAATCCCAGCATTATTCGTGTAAAACGGAGCACATCACTGTACCCACTTTCAATAAAAAAAGGATCTTTTCCCTCAGTCCCTCATTCTCTAATTTACCCCGTAAAGCACACATTTCTTCCTCCAAATACTCCCTCATGGCGGATCTTTCGGATATTGGACTCTACGGTCTTGCCGTGATGGGTCAAAATTTTGCCCTAAACATGGCTTCCCATGGTTTTAAAGTGTCTGTAAGCAATCGTTCACCTGATAAAGTCGATGCGACTGTCCAACGGGCTAAAGACGAAGGCAATTTGCCTCTTGTGGGATACAAAGATCTAAAGGAATTTGTTGCATCTCTTGCACGTCCTCGTAAGGTTATTATCCTTGTGGTTGCTGGTAAACCTGTTGATTTAACGATTGCCGCTCTCTCGGCCTTCATGGAGCCCGGTGATATTCTCGTGGATGGGGGTAATGAATGGTTTCCGAATAGTATACGTCGTGCCAGTGAATTAGAGCCAAAGGGGATTCATTTTGTTGGGATGGGAGTATCTGGTGGAGAAGAAGGAGCACGGAATGGACCATCACTCATGCCTGGAGGCCCAAAAGAAGCATTTGATGCACTTGAACCAATTCTAATCAAGTGTGCAGCTCAAGTTGATGATGGCGCGTGTACGACATATTTGGGTCCAATTGGCTCGGGAAATTATGTTAAAATGGTACATAATGGAATTGAGTATGGAGACATGCAATTAATTGCTGAAGCTTATGATATTCTCAAAATTGCGGGAGGATTGACCAATGACGAGTTGGCAAGTGTCTTTGATGAGTGGAATAAAAGTGAATTAGAATCGTTTCTCATTGAAATTACAGCTCAAATCTTTGCCAAGAAGGACGATCTGGAAGAAGAAGGATATGTTGTGGACAAGATTCTGGACAAGACGGGGATGAAGGGTACGGGACGGTGGACAGTACAGGAAGCAGCTGAACGGTCTATTGCTGCTCCTACAATTACTGCGTCATTGGATGCTCGCTACTTGAGCGCTCGTAAGGACGAACGTGTCTTTGCTTCCAAGATCCTATCGGGTCCGTCGGAGATCCCGGCCGTTGACAAGCAACAGCTCATTGACGATGTCCGTCAAGCTCTTTATGCTTCCAAGATCTGCTCGTACGCACAAGGTCTGAACCTTATTCGTGAGGCTGGTACGCAAATGGGTTGGAACGTCAGTTTGGGCGAATGTGCTCGCATCTGGAAGGGTGGCTGTATCATTCGTGCCAAGTTCCTTGACCGCATCAAAGCGGCCTATTCCAAGGATGCGTCGCTCATCTCGCTGCTGGTGGACCCGGACTTTGCCGCTGAACTGCAGGCTCGCCAGTATTCGTGGCGTCGCGTCGTGTCGCTCGCTGTGGCTAGTGGCATCCCGACGCCCTCGTTCTCGGGCTCTCTTAACTACTACGACACGTTCCGTCGTGAGCGTCTGCCGGCCAACCTGACCCAGGCCCAACGTGACTTTTTCGGTGGTCACACCTACGAGCGCACGGACCGCGAGGGACTGTTCCACTGCGCCTGGTCTGCTGCCCACCATAGCATTGGTGACGTGCAGGAGCGCATTCGTGGCAACCTCTAAGCGGGAGAAGCAGCTCATACGTATCTGTGCAGCGTCACAAATTCTGCCCATTTGCAGGCTTCGTGAGTTTGATATGATCGGAATGCCAGCTCGATTCTTTTAAACTTTCTTTTTGCTCAGCTTCTTGCTGTTGCTTGTTACATGGATTGACGATCTACATGCGAGAAAGAGCAGGTAAGCGTGCAAGCACTTCAGTCTCGCTGGTTGTGCCAGGGTGCACGCCAGGAGGCAGCTTGCGGAACTTGGACACACGCTGAGCAAGTTGCTCCAGCTCGCCATCCCTTGCATACTGCGATGTCAAGCTCAGCAGCGAGACTACTCGCTTGCTTACGTTGGGCTTGCCCTTGCCGTTGCTGGAATAGCGGCGACTGGAAAGGACACGCCAGCGTTCCAGCAATGCCAAAGCATTCTGCAACGTCTCGCGCGAGCACGACTCGTAGAAGCTGATGAGTTTCTCATGGTACATCGTCTCCGCGAGCCATTGCAGGCGCTTGAGCAAGTCCTCCGTCGTCACTTCACCTTGCGGGCGTAAAGCGAATAGACTCGTAACAGCAACCCAGTAGCTGTCAATGAAAGGCGACACGAGAGTGCTCAGCAACGACAGCATCACGCCGTCAGCTCCTTCCACGCATGGTGGTGACGAAGAGGAAGTGGCCACAGGAACAAGCACATTGCGGGACTCCAGCTGTGCAAGCGCCCTCGCGAGGTGAGCACGGTCAGCCTCGGGATTGTCCTTGCGAACAAACTCCATCGCGAGCATTTCATGCAGGAACGATGCGCCATTGAGCAGCTCCTGACGGTCCACGCCTGTTTCATCCGCGCTGCTCGACACACTATTGCTATCACAAGAGGGCAAGTTGAACCCATCTAAAGCATGATACGCACAAGCCAGCACACCTTCAAGGTTGAACCAGTGCATTAACTTGTTGCGGTAATACCCTAGGCCGATCATGTTGGGGTATTGCTCGCGCTACACAAGACATCAGAGTGAGAATGCATCCAACATCACCGTTACAATACCAACACTTACGCTGGTGATAGCAGGCTCGACAAGGTCTTTACGTCGCATTGTAACAAGTTCGTGAAGTAATTCGAGCGCGCGGTCTACAACAGCAGTAGGTGAGCGGCCCTGGGTGCCCACCACACGACCACCCCGACGCAAAATTTCCAGTCTCAACTGATCCGCCTGGCGTACGAGTTCCTGCTTGGATATTCCGTGACGGTACACCAACAGGATAGTGGCTACCACATGTGACATCGCACACGTCGCATTCTCAATCAATGCGTCCGTAATTGCATACCCCAAGTCTTCGACGATAGTAGACGTCGGTATAAACGTCTCTTGCTCCTCAGCGCTTGCAAGCTTTGCGTCAATATATTTCTTCACGTCCAAAGGCATACCAAATTGCACCGAGATAGAGCCAAATTTCTTGCGCACTACTGGCATTGCTTTAAACAGAGCTGTGATCGACTGTTGACCAAAACATTGAGAAAGTCTGAGCACTCAACATGACTGATGCAGCACAAAGATAAAGATACAAAAACATACCTCGCGAATTTTGCCCTCGCCCAGTAGCTCGTTCTGGTGCAGCAAGACTTCCAATGGCTTCTCATAGTCGATAGTTACAGGAACGATGTAAAGCTGCAAGCACAAAGCTTAGATATAAGTACCTTTGAGCTTCATACCAGAAAAAAAGGAGAAACTTACACGCTTGACTTTCTCCGATAGGTAGCAATCAACGACAGTACTAAGGATGCCAAATTTCGGATGTAGTTGTTTGCCACTGCGGCTACGGGAACCCTCAATAAAGAACTCAATCGTATGTCCCTTCGATATCAGATATTGCGTGTAGGCACGGAATACTGCCGAGTACAAGGGATCATCAGAGAAAGACCGGCGAATAAAGTATGCTCCAGATTCGCGCAGTAACTTAGTGAGACTGCCCATGTGCAGAAAATCTTCTCCAGCAGCAACGTAAGGAACAGGGATATTGTAGGCAAAAAACACGTAGCTCATGAGCAAGAAGTCAACGTATGATCGGTGAGTAGGCACAAGCACTACACTTCCACGGCGGTCGGCCAGAAGGTCACGAATTCGGGTGAGACCCGTCTCGTCCACGTGGATCTGGTCATACATGTTGCGGCACACCTTTCGAAGCAACCAGCCAAACTTGCGCACTGCCTTGTAGTCCAATTGTGCAGCCATTGTACTAAGCATGCTTGCAGCTCGACGTTCTACGTCGTCTATATTCATCCCTTGTGCCACAGCGCACTCTTTTATCGCAGTGCGAACGATTTCCGACTCCAATACGCTGTTACGGAGGCCACCGATGGACTCGACATGGAGCCTAGGAACGTGTGATGCCTCGTGATTCATACCTTCCTCCCAACCGGTAAGCCCCATTACGCGACCGAGCAGCCCAGATTTGGTGTATCCAGGCTTGCGACTCGATGTGAATGCCCAGGCCACATCGGAGAGCAGTCCAGGAAATGAGATCGCGTGGTGATCGGGATCCCATTCTAGTATACGTCCAGTGTTCAGTGCAAGCTGTGTCTGATTGACTCCCTCAATATCCACGTCAATGACATCCTCGTGCAGCATATACTTTTTCAGCCCTACACAGTAATTTACGACGTAACGTTCCCAGGCAATTTCGTGTGAATCGATCCAAAAGTCTTTTGTCGCCCAGGGTCGGAGCGTTTTCTCAGCAGCATCTGCATCAAATATCCACTGGCTTTCCGTGAATGGCTTGAACAACTCCACGAGGTTCCGCGCATGCCACGTTAGCTGCCATAGCTTTGCCGCACTCTTTATATGCCCTGGATGGCCACTCTTGTTGGCAATTGTCGAATACACGGACGACGGTAGCGCATACGTAAGAAACCATTGAATTTGAAAGCTCTGGTGAGTTGGAATCATCGAAAACTTGGCCGGAAAAAGGCCGCGTGCTGGAGGATTTTTTCGAAAGTATTCTGGCACAAGTACGGCAGGCACACGCCAGCGTAGCGGATTTTGCCGTGGATCCGACGTGCCGCAATGCACAACCATAGGCGTATTCCCTGTCACACCGTTGACCAACGGACATGGCATTTCTTGTGATGACTGCAGCTTTTCATGTTCGTGAATCTTTGCGCAGATTGAGAGTAACATACTGTTCACCACCAAATCTACAGGAACAATATCTGCAACATTTCTTGGGTCGCCCGGTAGCATCGTCAACACGCCCATTCCAGCAGCCAAGAAGATAGCTCCAGCAGCAGCAATTTGATCAATCCAGCCAGGCATAGGCTCCTTCCAGCTTGCACCTATAATCGTTGGGCGATGAATCACTAGTGGAAAGTTGGGCACGATTTCTTTTACCAAGAGGTGCTCTGTCATTGACTTGGTGAGTGTATATGTGTTTGGATACGTCCCCATGAGGTTCACCCTGAGCCGTTCCAATTCACTTGGCGATGCCGTCGTAACTGCTTTCACTGCATCATGTGCGTCAAAATCCAGCGGATATAATTTCTCCAAAATCCTCGTCTCACGTAGATTACTATTCACGTAAGCCGTTGACACGTGCAAATGGCACCGAATCCTAGCACAGCTCTGCACAAATCGTGCAACGTGCAATGCACCAAGACAATTCATCTCAACCGCCACTTCAAGTGGCTCATTAAATTGTACCGTAGCTGCCGAATGGATAGAAATTTGCACACAAGCACGCAATAATCGTGCATCTTCAGCACTGAGTCCCAAATCCGGTGTCGCAATATCTCCAGCAATGGCGTGCAATTTTTTGGCTGCAAAAGCTTCAAAATCCTCTGGACGTTCAGCTCGTAAACGATTAAAGACGCGACTTTGAATGATCTCGTTCTGTAGACGTTCAGCTGGTGCCACACCTTTGCGAGAACGAATTAATACAAAAATCTACATGTAATTTATAGTATAACAAAGTAAGAATGAGCGTATGAATCACGATATTAAAATGTCGAAAGTAATACTTTGGCGATATCAGGGGTGCATCGTAATAGCTTCTCAATAAGCGTCTGTAGTGTAGAAAACAAAGAAATATACAATCAGAAAAGAGAGAGAAAGAGAAGATGGTCGTATAGAATTGTAGTGAAGGATTTACCTTGGCTAGAAAGCCTGTACCACCCGTGATGAAGAGGCTCTGACCCGTGTAGACGTGCTCCATTGTAATATTTTTAACTGAATAGTACTCATACAATGGGTTCAGTGATTTTGATTCGCTATTTTGTATTTTCGCGAATAGAAAATGACTTTAAGATATGAATCGACGCACGCCATGCCTACTGAGTAGTACAGCTTATAAAGGACCACTAAAAAGTACTACTTTTTCATCTTTTTTCCTTTACTTAATAATTCTACATTCTTCAGATCGAATTTAATCGAAAAGCTGAGAAAACCAATAGCGCTTTACGAATCAAGCAAGAAGGACTTACCTCATAATTGCTAGTACTTGTGTTGTGTAAAGCCACTAAGTGTAGATTTAGTAATACTATGTAATGTACCAAATTGACTTTCATAATGGTAAACATTAAGCCAATTGGTGTCGCAAGTGGCAACTGCAAGTAGCAGTAACTAGTTGTTAGATTCGACAAGGTTCATTGATGGACGGACATCTACAATAGAAATTGTCAGATGTTAAAGCCGCAAAGAAACGATCGGGACAGCGTGACCATGTATCCAAAAATATATGGGATTCGCCCTGAATTCAGCCTTTGCAGCCCTCACATTGGTCCCCCCATTCCTACTTATGCATGACAAGCTGTCTATACCTTCCGTGCACTCCAGATGATACAAATATTCAGGTCGGTCGTATGTGTTTGTTTACCAGCATGCGACTCCTGTGGCGTTCACAGGTTTCCACTTTACTAGAAATATTGAAAAGAGATAGTAGCTTATACAGCAAACGGTCTCCTTGAATTAGCGGTCTCCATTGAGGATACAACACCAGTAGGACGGACATATCTGAATGACCCACGATCAAATGGATATACGCGCTAGCAACATCGAGTCTAGTTGATCTTACCTATAGACTACAACAGCAGCATTACCGCCGTATTATTTATTATACAGCTGTTGAGACGATGACGCTCGTACGATAGTCCCGCGTATTCGTTAGCCAATGTTCATCCCACCACACTCAACAAGGCGAAGGTAATGCCATAGGTTTTACTCTTTGGCACTTTGGAGGTTGTTGTTTTGACGACAATCCTGGAGAAGACACACGAATTGGTTTCAACAAGACTCCAGTATTTGATTTGACTTGTGTTCAACACAGCTGCTTCATCGAAACTATGCCTCGCATCGCCACAGTCGCGCTTCTAGCGGTATCCGCCATTACAATTTTGTGGGCTCCCACCACTTCGGGTTTCTGGACTGGTAGTCAAGGACGCGTGGCATGGGATCACAATTGCGATTTCTACGGACACGACTACCGATCGATGAAGGCCATCCCCGCTGTTTGTGGCGACGTGTGTGCTAACGATGCAGCTTGCACCCACTGGTCTTGGAACAACTACAAAGGTGGCACTTGCTGGTTCAAGACAGGAGATCGATCAACCAAGATTGCCAAATGGGGTACTAACTGCGGCTACGTGCTTGGTCGTAGCGTGCAAGGACAAGAAGGTAAAGGTCAAGCTGGAAAGACCAATAGTGGTCTTTCCCCGTCCGAGATGGGCGAGATGCTTGGACGTATTAACGCATACCGATCGCAGCATGGCCTTGCAGCACTCACAATCGACAACCAGTTGGTATCGGCGGCCTTACTGCATTCACAGGACCAGGCCAACAATTGCAGAATGACCCACGGTGGTTCAAATGGATCAAAAGTCGGTGACCGCATCAGCGCACAGGGCTACCAATTTGCTACGGCTGCAGAAAATGTGGCAGCTGGTCAAGAGACTGTGGATAACGTTATGACTTCGTGGTGGAACTCACCGGGCCACCGGGCCAATCTCCTCAACAAAGACGTGAAAAATGTTGGGTTTGGAAAGGTGGTGAACAACGGTTGTGGCAATTTTGCAACTTATTGGACGCAGGACTTTGGCCAACTACAATGAAGTGGATGTATATGAACTTGTCCATGACGTATGACTCAATGGAAAGTCAAATTGTCGTGGCCATCGATCGTGCTTCGATCACGTTACTATAGACGTAGTGCATAAGTGAGTGAGTGTAAGTAGCAGTAAGAACATCACTAGTCCATTCTTGTCCAACACAATGACAATCTAGACAAATATATGTTGCATGAGAATCTTTAAACTACTTTCATGAAACGGTGGTAACGAGTGAAGACGAGTGACATCGATAGTAAAAATACTTTAACACACCGAATCCAGCTGGATGTGATTGATTATAAGAAGTTGAAGTCAACTACACCTTATCATGTTGACAAGAAGCAGAACGTTGATTTCTAGTTTACACTTGATACTAACAAGGCATAGCATTGCATCAAGTCAAGTGTAGTGGAATGAAGTCATGTCTTATCGGTAACATGGGTATCAACTGCTGTAAAATGTTTACCAACTGCCAAGCTCAGTGCGCAAGACACTTATAGATTCACCTTATCCGCAGCCTCATATTGTGCTTTAGCACGATATAACGTACAATAGACAACGGTATAGCGCGGCAGAGGTATACAACCGCTGTTTTAAATGGAAACGATGCCATTGCATCGATTCTCTCTTGGGTTTTTTCAAAGACGTGCTTCACGTGCAATAAATAGCACAAGACTGTAGCTTCAGGACACACTTTTCAATTCTCGTGCTCCCGATCAATATCTTGACTGCCTAAAACATCCTTACGGTTACAATGCCTCAACGTGATAATCTAGTGCTTCTTGCTGCTGGTGCCGTCGCTGCAGTCTGCGTCATGCCAACCACAACAGGCATCCAGCTCGGCAGCAATACAAACATATTGTGGGAAAACAATTGCAACTTCACCGGGAAGGATTGCCGATCGATGAAAGCCATACCACAGGTATGCGGCGACGTCTGTGCTTACGACTCGACATGCACGGACTGGATCTGGAACAACTACAACGACGGCACTTGCTGGTTGAAACATGGCGCATTATTCGCCGAGTCTGTCAAATGGGCTACGAAATGCAGCAACGCCGTCTCGGTCAACGTGAAGGAACAAGCCCATACCCAAGTTTCAGCAGGAGCCCACGTCTCATCAGGAGCCCAAGTTTCAGCAGGAGCCCAAGCTTCAGCAGGAGTCCACGTCTCATCAGGAGCCCAAGTTCCAGCAAAAGCTCCAGTCCAAGCAGGAGCCCAAGTTCCAGCAGGAGCCCAAGTTCCAAGTGGAATCCCCAGTCCAAGCGGAAGGCCAAGTCCAAGTGGAAGCTCCAGTCCAAGCAGGAGTTCCAGTCCAAATGGAAGCCCTAGTCAAAGCAGGAGTCCCAGTCTAAGTGGAAGCTCTAGTCCAAGTGGAAGCTCTAGTCCAAGTGGAAGCCCCAGTCCAAGTGGAAGCCCCAGTCCAAGTGGAAGCCCCAGTCCAAGTGGAAGCCCCAGTCCAAGTGGAAGCCCCAGTCCAAGTGGAAGCCCCAGTCCAAGCAAGAGCCCCAGTCCTCAAGTCCAATCTTCATCGAAGAGTGGCCTCTCCGCTGCAGAAATGGGCGAGATGCTAAGTCGACTCAATGTTTTTCGTGCACAGAATGGCCTCAATGCACTCACTGTTGACAACCGGCTAGTGGCATCATCTGCCCTACACTCTAAAGACCAAGCGGTTCAGTGCAGAATGACACACGCGAGCTCAGATGGCTCGACACTGGACAAACGCATCGGAGAACAAGGCTACCGATTCGCGACCGTGACGGAAAACGTAGCAGCCGGCCAGGAGACTGTGGTAGAAGTGATGACGGGGTGGAAAAATTCACCGAGACATCGCGCGAACCTTTTGAATAATGCTGTGGTAAACGTTGGCTTTGCCAAGGCGGTAAACACTAACTGCAACAGCTTTTCGACATACTGGACGCAGGACTTTGGTCGTCAAGATTAAAGTGACTAAGAGGCTCAACATACGACGTCGTCTTTACAAGTAATCTTTACTAATTGTAGTAATGCAATTACCATTTGAAAGAAAACGATGCATGATTGCTACATAATGAGCAAACTTAATGGAATACATGTGATGTAACTGGTACCTAGTCCTTATAATCACACTGATCGAGCGTTGGCTTTCCAGTCCACAAAAAAAACGCGATGGCAACGATGTTACAAAATCATAAGACAAAAAAAATGGATTGCAATTCCGCAATTTTGGAGCTATGTATTCTTGCTACTAAGAAATTCCAACATTATTTTTCTTGGCATTGGTAAGCTAATAAATTTATAGGGTGCATTCATTTTTATTTAGGAAGGCGTTATCCATCCACCACCCAAACGTTACCTAACCCCCCCCCCCTTTACATAAATAGTGCTTTCTAATGGATCAGACATGTATTTTATTTTTCCATGTGCACACAAAAACCATAGATATTTTACGTTTTCTCACTCAATCAGTAAAAATGTCTATGGTATCAGACATCAGCATTTTTGCTCAATATCCGTTATCCTAATGACTATTTTTAGATAAAATACACTATTTAATTTATCTTGGCAACACTAACTAAGTTAATTTGACATCTGAGTCTAAAGACTAGTCCTATGTATTATCCACACTGCATCTCAACTAAAATAGAACGGGCTATAAAAGCTGAAGTCCCAGTTCAACCAGATGGACGTCAAATATTTTTTGCTTTGCAGGGCCTGGACAGGATCATGAACAAATTGTATACGCAAAGCTATAGTGACTCATATTCGAACGCCCTGTTCTTGGTCTAGTGAATATCAGATTCTACAGATCTGCAACTGTTTCTGCTTTGTGATCTGAGTATGGTCCATCACTCAGTGATTAGTTGTTGCCTTGAGTCTAAAAGTGGTGGCCGTAGGGGTTATGTAGCCAGCCATCTCGTAGATTCACTTCATCAGTGAGCGGATGCAAGCGCATCATTCATTTATCGTTTAAATAGCTAGTCCATCCATGAATCTCAATTGATATTCAGTCTGGTAGAAGGAACAAAGATTCATAAGCAGCATATCTTGCTACTTTACGATCATTTCGCCAGATTCGCCGCATGATGCCTGTCTAAGTGGCTACTCCAGACGACCTCTCATCAGCATTGGCGAAGATGACGGAACCTGAGCTTGCTCAGCGCGTCAAGGTCGTTCCTGTTCTCATGATGTTGTGTGCGGACAATGAGACTGCTGGTAGAAAAAAAGGCTTGCTGAAACAAAACTTAGCAAAGCATTGCGACGCGCAACGTCGACGTCTACAGGTTCTTTGAAAGCAAACTCGCTCATGATAGTGCTGAACGCATTCAAATTTAAAGCAGTTGATTGTTCGGCCCTGCTGTGAACGGAGAAGTACGTGCTATCGCCAAACTCGATGGCCGACAAGAAAAGAAGCCTTTGACGTGTGGTGGCCATCATCTCGTCCTGTAGCAGCCCTAAGCCGATGGATGCTAAAGATGACGAGGCTAAGGCTCGCTGCAAAGCAGCGGAAGTATCTGAAAACGCTTTGAACAACGATGCCTCTACACAAAAGTATTGTTTACTTGCTTTAAGCTTGTATCGAAGAGACTTTATGAATCGACGTCTTCCTCGGACACTTCACTATGGCAGCATTGCTTGCTCCACTACATTTTATCGAACGGGTCTTTAAAAAAGACGTCTTTCACAGGTTCGCTTATAGGCTTCATAAAGGTGCTTGCTACTACACTTTAGTGTTACAATTCGACTATCATTCACTTGACTGGGTTGTAGGTAGGTAGCTAGTTGCACGCATGTACCATGTGTAAGCAGTTTCTTCCTGTTTGATGCTGATCCGCCACATTTCCAGTCAAAAAACTCAGCAAAACTCGCTACATTCCTACTGTATTTGCATGAGGGACTTTCAGTAGCCAGTCGACCTGTCATGGAAACAGTGTCAACTCGTACTAGCAGCTGGTTTCGAGCAAGCTCTTTGCCCTTCTGCTTGTGGTTATACAAACGTGTACTCGTGATTGTCTGTCTGAAATCGATGGGAATCGGCTCTTTCTCTCACTTTCCAATTCGTTGAGCTCCAAGCAGTCCGTATTCCGACATGATTGGCACTCGAATGATTTTACTGCGAGCTGCTATCGTTGCAATGACTTTGCACTCTTTCCCGGTTGTCGGGGTTCGCACGCAGGTTCACTATAAGTGGCAGAGCAACTGCGACTACGTTGGTGGCGATTTAAAGGCGGTAGGAGGCATTTCCAGCACATGCGGCCATCTGTGCGTCATTGAAGAAAAATGCACTCACTGGTCGTGGACAGACGTGAACGGCGGGACCTGCTGGCTCAAGCAGAGCAAAGCGGCCTCTATCTCCAAGAGCGCTGGTCAAGGCTTTTGCGGATACATTACTGACCGTGTCACCACCTCCGATTCGACCCAGAACCATGCACAGAACAACCCTGCTCAAATCGACTCAAGCCCCATTCAATACCCTACTATCATTGATCAAAACCCCGTTCCAAAGACTGATCTTCCCATGAGCTGGACATTCTCGAACGAAAAGACTATAGAGACGCCTGCCCCCGCTCAAATCGAGCTAAACCTCGCTCCGATCGAGCTAAACCCTCTCCATTACCCTACCATCATTGAGCAAAACCCTGTTCAAAAGGCTGATCTTCCCTTGAGCTGGACATTCTCGAACGAAAAGGCTACAGAGACGCCTGAGGTTAAACCTGCTCAGATCCCCGTACAAGTCGAGCAAAGTCCCGTGCAAGACATTCCTCCTCCCATTGAGCAGAATCCCGTGCAAGACACTCCTCCCGTTGAGCAAAAACCCGTGCAAAAGGCTGATCCTCCTACAGTATCGCCTGCTCCACCATGCGACAACGGCCTGACAACTACCGACAATGCGAAAATGCTGTCCTCTCTCAACTCGTATCGCGCTGATAACGGGCTGGCTGCATTAGCTATCGATAATCGACTCGCGGCTGCTGCCTTGGTGCATTCACAGTACCAGGCCAAGTACTGCGTCATGCAACACGAGGGCACAGATGGCTCTACCCCTGGGGACCGGATGAAGAGTCAGAACTACGTTTGGTCGTATTGTGCAGAGAACGTGGCTGCCGGTCAGGCGAATGTGTCGGAAGTAATGACGTCGTGGTGGAACTCGGAGCACCATCGTGAGAACATTCTCAGGGTCACCGTGACGCACGTTGGCTTTGCACTCGTTTCAAACGAAGCTTGTGAGTACAAACGCTTTTGGACGCAGGACTTTGGCGCCGAGCAAACTGCATAAAGTGATGGTGCTAGGTAAGCGAGAAGATGGCGATGTGTTGGCTGTTGTTTCTTACAGTATAGTTGCGAAAGGACTATGTAAGGCTTTGTCTAAAAATCTACGATGTTGGTGCAGTTCATGAACAAAACCAAAGGTACATGTGTATTTCTACAGTTTCCAGTTACGGACGGATAGAGTCACAAGACGGAAGAAGATCAGCTTCATGAGGCACCAGAGTAATGTCGTCCATTGTCGGATATGCAAAAAAAAGAAGAGAAAGGCTGGACCGATGTATCGTCGCGCATCTTGAGCTAATGCTTTCTGGACCACAAGGCAAAGTGAGACGCACGTGAACGTTCCACTTTCCCGTATACTTGTAAAACGTCAGTGTATCTCGTGGACGCATTGTCGGAATGCCATCTCTAGCTGTTGTATTGTGTGCAGTATTGTCTAGTTTTTTTCTCTCTGAAAGTCGTGACGTCCGCTACATGTCGTCGTATCACTCGACTTCCGTTTCCTCACTCGCATCAAACTTGTTCCATTAACTGGTTGGTGCCATACGTCGTCAAAGACTCTTCTGGAGCGAATGGAACGTAATCGTGCATGTAAATTGAAGAATAGACCTCACGACACAAAAGCCGCGTCGTGACGCACGAAAGTTTGGCCACATGTGGCATGGCGACGAACCCACTGACCAACAAGACAGTGGCTACCATCATGATAACAGTGAGATGACACCAGCTCTCACAAAAGTATTCAGCTCGAAAACGAGGTGACATGAGTGCATGCATAGGCATGGAAAGTGGAATGACCACGACCATGGCACTGAGCACACCGACACCTAATTTTGCCGTGCTGAAGTACAGCAGCACGGCAAGTGATGATCGAGTTCCACTATCTCCGTAGTGTGGAACGTGACCGTACAATTTGATTTCCATAGGCTCGACAAAGTTATGCAGTGCGATGTCGAGTCGTATGAGCACTGGGGCCAGATACAAGAGGCCCTGGAATAGGACGACACCCAAACAACAGAGCGTCAATGAGCCAAGCGAAAACGCGACACCAAAGAGAATTGCAATGAAGCCTGCACTTGCAAGGAGATAATTCAGTACTAGAAACGTCAACACTTTGATCGCTTGTACGATGACTGTCTTTGCATCAACCGATAGCGTGTCATCCATGACGATGAAAGTTTACTGACGCAGTTGGTTGAATAATGCGACACTGCGAGCGAAGAACTGCCCTTTTGTCCTTTCTGGTAGTGGATATCGTTAACACTTGGGCCGACTTAAGTCGACACGCACGTTCTTTTACAAGCGAGTCGTTCCACCATTTGATCGACTTGTCGTACGTTGCATAGACCGGCTAGTGTTTCATCCACCAAGTGGTCGATTAGCGTCACCATACGTACGTTCGATCGTTATCAGGAAAAGCGACGTCGTTACGCAACTTCACGTCCAACATTGCGAGCCACTGACAACAAAACGCCAGCCGACATATCGACAACAGCCCGAGACGACGTCCACATCACTGCGATCACTGTTCTTCTCTGCAACTTCTTCACATGTTGATAACATTGGGCTGGATAGTGCTGCCATGTCGCCATGGTAGTCAAGAGGTCGATTCGGAGTCTTAGGCAATCCTGCAAACGGTTGATCCTCACAGAGCTACAGAATAACTCGTCGAGGTGCCAAACGATTCAGTCGAAGAGCTTCCGAAGACGCTGACTGACATGGACAAGTTGTCGTGGACATGCGAGGTCTCAACGCAACAGGCACAGACTGTTGCCAACGCGTCGCTGGATGGCCAGGACCTTATAAGTATTGCCCATTGATAAAGTGTATCGTCGACTCGTAGGCGCGATGTGCGTCTCGTGCTAGGGTGGACGGACACCAACGACGAATGACCAAGAACATTGTCCGCGACGATATGTCGTCAAGTACGTCTGCTAAATGCATGCCAAATGGTTTAAATAATTGTATGACCAGACAATTCAAAGTACATCATGAACTTGCACGACAGGAACTACCGCCATAATCGCTGGCTACCTTCAACGTATCAGCGCTAGCGCAATCCAAGAAAGAGGCTTCCCTTCAACAACCGAAGAACGCAAGCAAATGACAAAAAAATCAATATCCAGCCGAGTACAGTTGACATACATGTCAATATATATAAAACGAGCTGATCGCTTACCACTTGTTGCGTTTTCTTGTTCATTGGTCGCTTCTTCGGCGATTCTCGTCACAATAGGACGTCTGAACCACGTCTGCAGCCACCAGAATGGCTTGAAGAAGCTGTGACGCGATTTCTTTTACAAGAATCATGCTGTTCTCGTCTTGAGCCAGCTCATACACGATTGGCCGCAAATTGTACTCGACAAGAAATTGAATCGGTGACGTGTGCGACTCAAAGAGGCTCTTGAGCATTTTAAGCAAATTCTTGCGTACAATCGCCTTCGGAATAAGCCGAAGTCGTTTTAGGATTTCCATGACAAACATGCCACTACGTCCAAGCGCCTGGTTGAGCCTCACTGAGCGACTCATTATCTCCAACAGCGGCTCCAATACGTTTTCAAATTCTGTGTCCATAGCGTTGTGGAAGCACACCACAATCTTCATCAGGTTTTCAGGAACCAGTAGAACGTTCTCCATTTTCACGGTGTCGTGCACAAGCCAAACGCTGATAGACTTGACGGCATCAATCTGCCAGTACTTATCCTCCAGCAATTCCAAAAAGAGCGTCGCACTGTTATATATCCATAGATGAGCTCGTGCAGTCGGAGACGCATGAGCCAGATCGCATAGGATTGGGAGTGCAAATTGCTTGAGTGGGCTACAATTCTGGACTACCTTGATAAGAGACGGGATCACACCAGCCTGTGCTGCGTGAGTCTGACGATTACGATTAATCCGACAGAGATAGAACATGGACTGCAGCACAATGTTTTCGACCTCTTTCCGCTTTACATCTGAGATCGATGGGCCTTCTCCCTCTTGCTCATTTAGTAGATGGACAAGTGTCGGAATTGCACCAGCTCGATCCAATTTCTCCAACGTCGTAGGCTCCATGCTCAGATTACGAATGCACTTCAGTAATTTCAGCATAGCTGAAACAAAGTCATCTGAATGGCGTATCAGAGGTAGTGCCTGCCGATCTTTTAGGTGCTGCTTACCCCAATTAAGAAGCTGCATCCCCGGATGGATCGCTTCCAGAAGTCCTTTCAGGACAGCACCATCACACATGTGTTCTTTCACCACAGCGTCACCTTGAGAAAACAGTACAAAAATGTCACACGTCTTGTGAAACTCCCTCATTGTCCACTCTGCCACGGATCCACCCTTAGTAACGGCTGCATTTCTTTTTGTAGATTTCTTCGCACTACCGCCACTTTCTGGCCCGCGCGTATCGTTTGTTGACACCACCACAGCAATCTCGGAAAAGACAACCACGAACTTCTTTAACAACCCTGCTTTCACAAACAGTCGGCAAATGTCATTTTTTGGAATGGTCTGAATACTAAAGACGCTGGATATTCCATCCAAAGCTATCCGAAGCAGATCCATATCGTTACCAAGATTGGATGGGTTTTTTTCAAGTGTCAAGAAGTCCACCAACACAGGCAATCCGCCACATGCGATAAACATTTGTAATGTCAACGAGCTTGTTTTGCAACACTGGCGCACAAACTTGGCTGCTTCCATCCGAACAGCTTTGAAAAACTCTGTGTCCTCTTGACTCTGGATGCGGAACCCTTTACTTCTTTCGCCCGATATATTGTGTGGGTTGTGTTGCTTTGTGAGTTTGATAATCACCGGTACTAAGCCAACGAGGGCCAAGTTCTCCTGAAACTTTTTGTTACCCTCGACAATCTACAGACACATAAACCTATAGTTAGTTACAGTAATAGAAACTGCGTGAAGTGAACGGTCATACAATATTGATAACCCTGAGCACAGCGTGCAATACGTCCATCTTCTTCATTTCCAACGCTTCCATGATATTAGGTACAACGCCAGGTTGTGACATCAAATCTCGTCGAAGCGTCACGTTTTGATTGAACACCTCTTCCTGCACAATAAGAATCAAAATCATATCATTAGCGAAATCGAATCTTACGTCATTACTTCATCGAACTCCGTAACTCACCAAGTCATTACAGGCATCTAAAATAACTTGATCTTCCATACTAGGGTCCAATAACGATAGCAGCTCAACCACTCGAGCAGTTGCCTTTTGGTTCGCGTCACGAGCAGTCGAATAATCAAAGTCCAACTCGTCGTCAAACAAATTCTCTTGCGCACTTTCCTCTGGAGACGAGCCATTACGAGTGCCACCGACGCGTAGCACCACGTCAGACGGCTGGCCCTTTGCAAAGTCAATGTCTCTGTTCAACCCGTCTTTCTCCTCAAAACCATTAATCGGTTTTATGGCCGGAACGACAGTAGCGGGTATAGCATTTATCTCCATTGCACGCTTTTGCTTCGCAGCCGCTTGTAAAAGCTGCTTCTCATCGATATCGTCAAAAGTGAGGTCTTCTTCGGAATCTTCAACAAATCGCTGGAGCTTTGCTATGCGGCTTTGAGCAGTAATCAGCGACGACCGATCCCACGAGTTCATCGTAGGCTTATCGTTCTTGCTCTGATCCGAACTACTACCACTGCTACTGTGACCTAGCTTTAATGCTGTCGGTCTCACCGACATAACCGCAACTTCGGAATCTTCGTCGTCCCATACATCGTCATCGAACAATGCATTAGCGTCTTCTATAGATAACTGAAACTGTGGCTTTGTCGGCGCAGTTTCCACTGATCGCTTAGGCTTGCTGTCTTTCGTCTTACTGTCGTTCTTAATCATGGACGGTCTGTCGTTTGAACCCACACCAAACTCATCATCCCAATCCTCCGCATCTTCATCCGACTGTTCGTTCATGACCCTGAGAAAACGTGAGTTCTTGTCCGTTGCTGTTGGTGTGATGTCTGTAGTAGTCGATCTTTTCTCGTATAATTTAATAGTATTTAACACTGCGTCGCGATCGTTGGATAAAGTGACGCTCTCAGCAACGAGCTGCGTGCTTTGTTCCACCTTGTTCTTTGGAATTTGTGCAATCCACGGATGAGCAAGAAGTTCATCTGCAGATGCTCGAAGTCGAGGCTCTTTCATAAAACACTTCATGATGAAGTCGTGTAAGGCCTGTGGCATCGATTATACAAAAACCGAGAGCAAAAATAAGTTACACATACGAAAACAGGTTAGCTCACAGTCTTTACCGGTGACATGCGCTGCGGAAGCGGTGGATGGTCTTCTTGTACAATGCGAAATAGCGCAGCCATGGGTGCCAAGTCGAAATAAGGCGGCTTGGTCGTCAATAGCTCGATGATTGTGCAACCGACGCTCCAGATGTCCGACGCAGAGGACCAACCTGCCATCTCAATTACCTCGGGGGCCACTAAAAAGCAGCACGAAATCAACACTAAAGCATTAGCAATGCCCAAAACAAGTAGCCATAATGACGCCACAGCATCGAGCTTACTCCAATATGGCGACCCTACAACAGAATTTGCCTTCTGTGTCTCATTTAATCGAATAGCAACACCAAAATCTGCGAGCTTCACTAGTCCCTCTTTTGTTGTCAGAATATTCGCTCCTTTGACGTCACGATGGAGCACACCTTGTTCATGCAAATAGGCAAGTCCTCGCAGGACTTGTGTAATGTACATGGCCACCAGCGTCTCCGACAGTGATCCAAATTTTTTGACAAATTGTGCCAATGAACCGTTCTCCATGTACTCCAATACAATGTACAAGTAGCCTTCCATCTTGATGGTGTCATGATATTTTACAATATTGTCGTGCTTTAATTTACGAAGTAAACTAATTTCCGTCTGTAAAAAAAAACCAGCATCACCCCAGAATCAACCTATAAGACTCAATAACCTCTCAAAATAAATAACCTCTCAAAACATATCACCTCAATTGACAACAATTCATCCTTGTCAATATCTCGTAATGAGACTTGTTTAATGGCCACAGACCGTCCATTCCGGAGATCCAGTGCTCCGTAGACAACCCCAAACCCCCCTCGTCCAATCTCTACCCCAAGTTGCTAGAAAAAAACTCCAATATTAGCGTCAAAAACATACCACCCACGCGCAACTTAAGCCCAAATACATGTACACGTACATAATGCGCGCCCACGACTCGCACGTGCTCTTCCTTCTTTCCTCCACGACTAGACGCGATACTGCGACTACTGATTAATCGAGACGATTGCTGATGATTCCGTATAGATGATATAGCACTGCTGCTGCTGTTGCTGTTGTTGTTGTTGTTGTTGTTGCCATTGCCAGGACTGCCACTTGAAGGCACGTGGATACTATTGCTGTTCATGGGAAACGCATACTTTAAGTGATAGTGATCGCTTTAGTGACATCACATTGGTTTAGTGACGTACAAAAATAATGGGCGAATAAGGGTTCTAATTATTGTCTGTTGATACAAAAATATTTGTGGATAATATTATTTTTATACTGGCAGGTCGATCATTTATAGCAAAAATATTATTTCCACAAAGGACTGCTACTTCAAAACATTCGTTAAGTAACAGTCCTAAAAGTTTGCGATATGTACTACAACACTTGTAAAATTTTCGTAGCATTGCGTCAATTGTTGTCACTATTGCAATCTCTGAATGACATGACAACCCTGACGGCATCGCGTTAAACATAGCTCTCGCCTACTCAGCCCCCAGCAATAGCGACTTGACGGTCTGTATTAGCTTCACAACGGAAGTGTTTATAAAAGAGATACGAGCCGATAATTGCTTTTTCGATCGCATGAACAGGAATCCTTTAAACTTGACAAATGTAACGCTTCGTTCAGTTTTTAATCGGTCATAGATGCTGACGTGTCATTATCAATTTGTAGCTCCGACACATGGCCGATGTATATAACGTCTACGTCCACGCAACTATCGGCGAAAAACACAAGTAGATGAGAAATAAACACCGCTAGTGCCGCGCTAGTTAAAGTTCGGAGTCAATGAAGTGGTTACAAGCTACAGTATCTTTGGGACCTATTCTTTGCATTAGATTACTACATTTCATTATGGGAACAATTCGTCAACAGTCTCATTTGATTAAAACTAGCAAATTGCACACTCGTAATTGGGTCAGAATTTGAGAGGCAGTGCGTATACTAGCTAATCTGCGCCGCGTTTACGATCAGAATGTCTATTCAGCATCGATTTTGCTCTCTCTATCATATGGATGAACCTACTACGGACCAAAACCCAGCATAGTTGGCCACACATTGCCCTAATTCCAATCGCTGACTTCCTTTCAAACGACCTTCCTTCGTCCATCTCATTGGTGTAAATTCGATAGTCGAATAAAATGAGTCCTATGAGATGCACAGAAATAGTCTGCATGCTGAAAATCCGTGACTACAGTATAGAATCCATATGTTCAAACAATGACATACAGTATACAAAGTGCTGCTTTTCTAAATCAATGTACACAACTTCTAAACATCTAAATGTCAAAACAAAAGTACCCCCTGTCATTATGGGTAAGAAAAGTAGTCGTTACATATCGCAACTTCTCCATAGCTTCACACCAATCAAAAACAGACCTACCCCCAATCAAAGCACTTATTTTTTTTGTTAAGAATGAAGCCATTCCATTCAAACGTTTTTTATCATCACGTCCACCGTCACGTCGTCCCTCCTCCCACTACCAAAATGCACAAACGTCGCTCTAGTCCCAATATGAACTCTTCTAATCATCCCCCACCCAATTCATCTCCTTCTCTCCTCCTCCTCCTCCTCCTCCTCCTCCTCCTCCTCTTCCTCCATCTAAACCCAATGGATTTACAAAATTCATAACCCGTGCTGTAGCTGGACTTGCAATGCTTTTTGGGTTAATTCCGATTCTATATGGTGGTCATATGTACGCTTGGGGTCTTGTGGTTGTTCTCCAAACGCTTCTTTTTCGTGAACTCGTAAACGTTCGGTATCGAGCTGCAGCTGAGAAGAATATTCCATGGTTTCGTTCAGTCCAGTGGATGTGGTTTCTTGTTGCCTTGTTTTACAATTATGGGGATTCCTTTGGGGCATTTATTGAAAGCAGTAAAATTCGATTTGTACCACCGGTTATTGTGCATTATCTACGATATCATACATGGGTATCATTTAGTTTATATGCACTTTTATTTGTCATGTCGGTTCTAAGTCTGAAAAAAGGTGAGATAGTAGTGGAGTGAGTCGTTGATATTTAATGGGAATGGGACGGGATTGAGTATTTACTTGTTGTTTATGTGATGGGGGTTTAACTTTTATTTTTGATACTGTTGTGGATAATATGGAGTAGGATATTACAAGTATCAAATGGGTACGTTCGTACGATGATGAAGACATTTTTTACATAAGAAAAACTGATAATGAGGGTTCTTGTCCTACTTGTTTTGTACTACAGGACAATATACGTGGACTATTGTGACTTTAGGACTGATTGTTTTTCAGATGAAATACGTCGTGACGAATATCTTTAATGGTATGATGATGTTGATGAAGAGGATTCAAGTCTCGATTTGTTTATGAATTGACATTTGATTGGAAATGACTGTAGGCCTGTTCTGGTTCTTCTTTCCTGTTTCGTTGGTGATTTGCAACGATTGCTGTGCCTTTTTCTGTGGAAAACTCTTTGGCCGCAAATTTATCAAGACACCGTTCCTGCGGTTGTCTCCAAACAAAACGTGGGAGGGATTTATCGGTGCTCTTGTGTGTACGGTCGTGTACGCCTTCTTCTCTAGTGCTTTTCTCTCGCAGGTATGTTTTTGATGTGGTATGTTGACGACGACGTGTTGCTCTTCAGTGCTGATTAATTGGTTTGTGATTGCTACTTCTTAGTTTTCGTGGCTGACTTGTCCAGTGGAGAGCTTTGAGGTAGGACGTATGCACTTTTACAGCAAAAGGTTAGGTAGCTGATACTCTGATTGACATGACTTTTGTGTGCTACAGTTCAAGCTGATCCCTGACCCGCTTACATGCACTCCTCGTGACATCTTCCTCCCGCACCTATACGACGTTCCGGTCTTTGTCGCGCGTATCATAGGCCAGAGTCAGATTCAGCTACATCCGATCCAGGTATGTAAAGCTGCTATGAATGTGGTTGAAAGTCAACGTGGTCGCTAACAACACAATGGTCTTGTTTAACAACATGCAGCTCCATTCGTTTTGGTTTGCAATCTTTGCATCACTTGTGTCACCCTTTGGAGGTTTCTACGCGTCGGCAATCAAGCGCACATACAACTTGAAAGACTTTGACTCGGTCATTCCAGGCCACGGTGGTGTCATGGACCGGATGGACTGCCAGTTAATCACCAATTGCTTCACCACGGTTTACTTTAACACTTTTATTTGGTACGTACGATATAATCTGCAATGACAATGGGATAGATGGTTTACGAATCTATTTGTTGTGCTGCAGTTCGCAGACTCCATCCGTGACGATGATTTTGAACCTCGTGGCAAAGCTGACAATCGAGCAAAAGCAAGATGTGCTTCAGGCTATTCAAGAGATGCTTGAAGGTTGAGATCGACCGTTGACGCAGCAATCGTTTACTCGATTGTTTAGAAAGAAGAGCCCCTCTACCCAACCGGGACGCATCAAAAAGACCATATAGTCATGCATGCATGCAAGCCTTAAGTATAGTTTTGATCAAGCGAAACGGGTCGTTGTTAGCCATTGATCACTTTTCTTCCAAGATGACCACAGACGACTGCTTTTGTCTGCGTGTGCGAAACCTTCCGACTGTTCTTTCTAATGAAGCCATTACATCCTTCTTCACTCATTACGGCGCGATTCGTGTCCGTGTTTTACAGCATCGAGTACGTAGCATCAAGTCTGGAGACTTCAAACCTGTCAATCAATGGTCATGTATGTGTCCATGTTCATGCTTTTATGGGAGTAGAATGCTGCTGCATCAAGTGGAAAGGAACCAGGTGCAATGACATGTCAACAAGCACAAAAAGTAATTGCCACATTTGCAACACGTGAAGCCCAGCAGAATGCTCGACAACGTCTTCATTTGCTGGAAATTGCAGGTCATCACTTGCAAGTGGAAGTCGTTGGGGAGAAAGCTGCAACTACGTCAAGTGAGAGGAAGCCAGAGACTGTGGAGAGTCATGATACAGTGTCTTTGCAGAGTCAACTTCCTCCACTACCGAAAGGTTTGCCTCCACCACTTCCACGGACAGGAATTCCTATGCAGAAAAACCTCTACGCTCCGGTACCTCTGGCTCCGCATCTAGGGTGAATCTGTTGCAAAACGATCGAGAAGGGATAATGACTTGCGTGTACTAACTGGTCATTCTTGATTGCATGGACAGCTTGAATTATGCGCCTTCACCCTTGCTCGAGTACAAGTATCCTAAAGCATCCGAGAGTATTGTGCGAAACATTGCAAATGGTTTGTACTCTCGATGAGGGCCTTGGAAGGTGTATGACTGTGCTGTGCTGTGCTGTACTGAAGGAAGGTGTTGTTGCTGTGGCTTGGATTATCTAGCGCTGATTGCATTACCTCGCTTCTACACCCAAGTTCTTCATCTTATGAACAAGATGAATTTACCACCACCATTCGAGGAAGACGCGATACCAGGAAGGTTTTCCATTAAGCAAAGCATGACTCAGCAAAAGTGCGGAAGCGACCATTTTCAAAACAAACATGTGAAGCGCCGCAGGACCGAGGAAAGTTTGTTGACACAGATCATCGAAGAAGAAGAAGAAGAGGCATCCGATCATGACGATGCAAACGATGCAAACGCGTCAACTATTGACGCTTACTCACCACTACAAGCACAGCAACAGAGTAAAGATGTCAGCAATGGAACAGACAGGAATCCAAAGGTAGATCAAAACTCAAACACCTCGTCGCGTCAAGACCCGATTGATCTTACCGGCAAACTTTTCACGCATCGGAACAAATGCTCGTCGATCAAGAAGAGCGCTACACTCCACACAGCATTTCAACTTGACCTTGATAACGGCAACAATGGTAACGTATCTCGACCAATTCGTCCAGGTGTGATTTCAGAGAATGAGGTGAATCGACTACGGCTTTCTCGTGAAGGTACTGCGTAGTGATACCTACAATGCCTCGTCGTGGATACTAACTTGTTATCATCTGTGTAACAGAGCTGATGAAGGTACCGCAGATGAAGTCGTATGTCCGTGGCTTTCCATCAAGCACTATCGTAGTGAACAACATTTCACATACAATGGATGAGAAAGACTTACGCTCGGTTTTCGGCTATGTTTTACCACTGGACATGAATCTCGAGTACGTTTCATTGATCTTGCATCCCTGTTCTGTGTGAAAAGAGCTTTGACGCTGTGAGTTGTTGACTTAGTTTGATAAAAATGAAGCGTCGGCCAGCAAAGGGTTCTGTTTTGATCTCTTACCCTGATGAAGTGTTGGCTATAGCAGCAGTGAATGCGCTGCATGGCGTACAGCTTGAAGGCAAACCACTGATGATAGTACGAAAGCAAGAGAAAACAACCGTGAAGGTTTCTGTCTTCTAACGTCATTTCGTGTGTATCTCATGGAATCCAGGGTTTCAACACTACCTGTGAAGAATCTTCAGACGCATCCGTTGTTATTGCACGTTGGACGCTGCAGGATCTTGAACAGAAGCGGTTGCTCGAAAACCAACTTGCTTCAGAGAAAGCCATGAAAAAGTATGAACGTGGGGAAGCTTCAGACACACTTTACGTGAAGAATCTTGCTCAAACAGTGGAGTTGGCCGACCTTTTTGCTGTCTTTGGAGCTGTTCTGCCACCTGAATCGGGGCCAGAGTACGATGCAATTGCTCGTGATGACAAGAATCAATCAGTCTAACCATTCTTGTTGTTTCGACGCTGCTACAGTGACCTGAATATCCGCCATTTCACTGTAGGCCGAATGAAGTGTCAGGCCTTCGTAAAATACACCACAGTTCAGCTTGCATCAAAAGCCTTACATCAAGTGCATGGTGTAGTGCTGAAAGATAAACCGCTCATTGTGGTGCGTCGACGTCTACTTTTCGTTATGAAGCCCTGCTTGTACTCACATATTGTTTCATGTGTTCCAGTGCTTTCGTAAATCGCAGTCAGACACGAATCAATCACTTCTCTAAGTCCTGCTTGTTCATTTCAATAACGCCAACTCTCCATGGCGCACCATACGAATTACAATCAAGGAAGCTCGCGCAAGTTCGCTTCACTGATGCTGTTGATCACCCAGAGATAATTTACAATAATCGCCGAAGATACCGCTTTCATTTCTGGCTGCGCTTTTAGTTGCTTTGTCTGCTGACGCAGAGCAACTGGATTGATCTTATCTGACACGACGATAAGCTTCCGCGCGCGCTTGTCACGCATGTATGTCTCGTCAGGGATGAGTGCGATCAGCTCTCCGCCACCCATGCATATCAAAGTTTTTAAATCCGTTGCAGACGGCATGGGTGGTAAAAACTCGCCAATGATGTGAAAGCAGAAATCTGCAAAAAGCATCGTGCCAACAGTTGAACGATCAACCTAGATGGAGAAAAACAACACACATGTTAAACGCAGAACTTGCCAGAATACGTGCTTTGAAGTACAGAATAAAGCAAACAATCATACCTCTGGTGAAGATAGTTGTAGAAGCTTTTCTCGTGTTAGCCGCGATCGCTTAACGGCGTCGTGAATTTTTGTTCCCTTCCAATGACCATCGGCTTCATAGTTTACTTCCTTGACATAGCCGCCGTGCTCGGCACAAGCTGGAACGAATGTATCACGCACAGTTACGTTTACAGAGCAATTAGTCATATACACCTCGAAACGGTGATAACACTTCTTACCTTGAAGCCACTCTTCGCTCACAATCCATCGACCACAAACAAGAGCCTGGAGGTATTTCAGTGATCGAATCTTAACCCATCGACCTGACTTCGGGCCGCCAAACAGTCCACGATTTTCATTTTGATGGCTCTGCGGGAAGGGTGTAGAATCAGAATCGTCTATTAAAGGGCCCTCATTCTCGGCATCATCCTTGCTTACGCATTCCACAATCAAGTGGGTCACGTCATTGGACCAGTACTGAACAACTTCAGCTCCAAGCAGATTTGCCCACTCTTCGATCTGTTGCATTCGCCGGTCCTTAAATCCCGAGCAAAGAAATACCATATCCGAGCGTTTTCTCTTGGTTTTTGACTTAGCTTTCATACTGTCTGTAGACCCTGTCGTTTTTGTAGCCAGGCGATCCGGCGTATTCATTTTGTCGGAAACACGTTGACGTTGACGCTTTTTAGCGGATCGACTTGGCGTCGAATCTGAAATCAATTCCTCTGCAGGTCGACGGATAAATGTTCCTGGCACCCTATTATCCTTGCCTCCAATGACAAATTTAACTGCGTAAAACCCGTCTCCATGAAACTTTGTAATACGCGCTGCACCGCCTTGTTTATTTATACCCACCCACTGCCGCTCAATTACTTCTACCACATCTCCGACTTGAAAGACTTCGCTTTCGACATGAGATAGTGGCTGCATTTGACTATCAACATCTAATGACAAAGTTGTTGTTACTCCATTAGTACATGCAATATTTCCGTTCGAAACAGCCACTTTCTTCAGCGTTTTACTCACTGCAGCATCTAGTTTGATGCCATTAGTAGCAGACCGTCGTCGAGAACGTGGTGTCGGTGTCTGAAGCATCAATTGTCCTGCTTTTCCATTTCCAATAGGAGCTTGACTTGCAGTAGACTGCAGTTGTCGACTCTGATCTATCTCCACTTGAGTTTCATCAATTACCACAACTTCTCCATCTGTACTTGACCGTCTCCGTGTTAACATTTTCTCTTTCTGCTCTTCCTGTTTTACTAGTTCCACTTCAGTGTCAACGACAACATCACCCACTGCAACGACGTTTTTCAATTCTGCGTCTTTGAATTGCGTTCCATTCTCAATAGTACACAAAGTTCCATTATTTCCATTCATTCCATCAAGTTTTGACCGAGACAGCGTCCTACCGTCAAAAATTGCAGGAGAAAGCAATGAATCCATTTTCTCCATTGATCTCCTTGGACTCGAAACCTTTTCTTGCTTCAGTTTCATATTCTTGTTCACCTGAGAGTGTCCATTATCCATCCAAACGTCCATTAATGTCGAATTTGTGGTCCTTAAGTTGCGTTTCCCACGTCGTGGTAACGTATGTTGCTCCAATGAATCAGCAACGTTAGGACCCGCAACTTTACTCGTCTTGCTCTCCTCTACCGCCCTCTCGTCCTCTGTTTTCATTGCTGGTGCAGCACAAAGTATCTCTGTCGCTCGAAGAAGCTCTCGTACTGTCGTATCATAACGTAGTCGTCTCTTTTTGGCCGGGGTCTTGCAAATTGGACACAATGCCTTCAGTTCCAATGCTCGATGGATACATTCCTCACAAAAACAATGATTACAGGGTAAAGACACAGGACTATCATAAGCACAGAGACAAATGGCACATAATAATTGCGCAGAGAAGTTCTCTACTGCACGCTGTAAGCGCGTAAGAGTCCACGGCGTCCGGTCCATCGTCATACCGAATGGTGGACTTTAAGTTGCACGTAATGAAAATGGAATTTTAAATGACGCACCCTTCGTTATTTTTCAAGCAACTTCTGAAAATAAATTACGCACCTTGTGGTCATTTATAATTCCAAAATGTCTCTGGACGAATCCTCGGTCCTCATGGACCGTGCTTTAGTGACCATGTGTCAAGATTTACCCGAGTCTTTGGGACTTTATAATACGGACAAGGATCAGTTCTCACTTGGAGCTCTTCGTAGTGTCCCATTATTGGAACATGTGCGTCCATCTACACGGAAATTCGTGTTAATTCGTGATTGGATGCGTGCATTTGGACCGGGAGAAGATCAACCGCTTCATAAAGAGATTACGATTGAATTATTAAAGGAGACAATTGAACAAGAACGTAAAGAACGGGAAAAGGAATTACAGAGTGAAGAAGCGATGCAGAAAAGGGTAAAAAGAGATGAGAAGAAGAAGAAGAAGGAGAAGGAGAAGAAGAAGAAGGAAAAGGAGATTTTGGAGAAGAAGGAGAAGAAGAGAAATTGTATGGAAGAAAAGAAAACTAGAGGTAGAAAACGTCGTCATGAAGTTGATAGTGATGACAGTGAAGTGATGATTGACGAGTCGAGCAGTTCAAGTGATGAGTCGTTGTCAGAGACGTCGTCGTCATCGAGTGATTCGGATACGACTCGTCGAGTCAAGAAACGGACAAAAACATCGGGGAATTTACCACCAATTGAAATGATATTGAGCTCAGATGAGGATGAAGAACCAAACGATATGTTTGATACGGACGATCCCGATGTGTATGAGGTGGAAAAGATTCTAAGAAAGAAAAAAGGAGAGACGTACGGTGAACAAGATTTGTATGAAGTCAAGTGGGAAGGATACGAAGAGACGACGTGGGAACCAGCGAGTAATATTTCCAAGGACTTGATTGATGAGTTTGAGGGTCAACCAGTACGAGAGGATGTGTACACGGTAGAAGAAATCATTGATCGTCGCAATAAGCGAGACGCCAAGACGAGACTCAAGACACACCAATACAAGGTCAAGTGGGTCGGATACGATGATCTCACGTGGGAGCCCGCAGAGAATCTGCCGCACAACTTGCGACGAAAGTTTGACCAACAGTATGAAAGTCGGAAACGCCGATGATTCGGAGGAGAGAACGAGGGTCATCCTGAGGATGGTCCGGAATGACGTGAAGACGAATTTACGTGGAAAATAGCATTTTTTTGAAGTAATTTGAAGCTGGTCTTCTCGCAATCGTTCGAGTAGGCCGCGATATTCGTTTCAAGATCAAACCTAGTGCATACCATTTGGTGTCGGTAACGTCGACGTTGACACCTTATTATACTTTGTTGTGAGGTTTCATACATTCACGGCCGATCATTCACTGACTGATCATTGAATTCGTTCCGATTTTATCAAAACATGCGTAAACTGATAACACGAACTCACTGTTGTCGTTCAATTCAGACACTGGCAACTTCAGCTTTTGCTGTGGTCCAATCTTATACATGTTGTGACCATACTTTCGAGCTTATTCTCTTGAGCTCACCTCGAGTAGATTATGTTAACGCTCCTCAGCAGCGTCCTCCTCTTGACATTCGCATGAATATTTCTACCTCCTCTTCCTCGCTTTGAACACCTCATAGTCCCAACCAAAGTCGTTAAACTTGTTTAGCTGTACGTCGATCCTTTCTCAAAACGCAATTGACCCGCAAGCATCGGACAAAACTGCCGTCATAACCACCACGCGAGTCCCATAGATGCACACGCCTCGGTCTTCAAGCCCTGCTTCAGCTGTAGTCTCTACAAAGTTGTCATGTGCCATGACCGTACTTGAGACTGAGACAAAGTCGCCCTCTTCTTCTCTTCGAGGGCTAAGACTCAATCTTGAAGAGGCCATAGGCAAACTCGCCCGTATAGCTGTCGCCTGAACCTAAGGGAAAACACTCCTTCGCCGTGATGCTTGCTATCATACACTCCTTGAGGTCACCACGCCATTGGATTCATCGTCACCGATTCGCCATGAGCCCACGATGTAGATCACGCTATCTCTTGCCTTCACCACAGGCATGTCCTCTCTCACCCGTTGACCTGCAAATTGCACCAAGAAATAGAGATCCGAACTGCGTCCAAGCACACTTGATCCGGCGGATCCATTCATTCATCTCTTACTCCTAAAGCATGCACAATAGTATTGGACACATGTGCCGTCAGCCTTCTCTCTCTCACTTTTCAACACATCGTCTTAGATGCTGCCTTTCTGGATGGGCGTCATTGGAAGCGAGCCTGGTTTGCGTGTCCCTAAGCGCTTCTTGACCTTGCTGGCAGCGACCTCTGGGTCTGGACGCAGCGAGAATACTGCGCGCGAGCTCTTGAGGTACTTGTTGCGTCCGTTATCTTCACGGATCAGACTCTCTAAGATAACGTGTGGCGATACCTGCCGTCGCGAAGCACGACGCTGGGTCTTCAAACGTGCCAAATAGCGTCTTGTACTCGGCTGCTTGCGCTGAAGACGACTGCCAGCTTCATCTTCTGCTAATCCGTCGCTAGTCATGCTACTCATCGAGCTGTTGTTCCGCGATTGCTTCACTAATGGAGCTCCACGCGCAGCCGGCGTCTTAGTATCTACGCCTTGTTGCCACGCCTTACCGCATGACTCGTGGAAGGTTTGGCCAGACATGACAAGTACCATGGATGTGTGCAAGTGCCATTTTTCCGTGCCAGGAGCTCCAGATTGACCCATCCCAAAAGGTGGTTTGGACAGCGGCACGTGACAGTAGCCGCACACATTTGAAGGCGTGGCGTAACAGCGGGACTTGGCTCGCTTCAGCGTCGTGATCTGATCGAACAGATCCACGCTAATAAGCCCGTTTGCGGTCTGATAGATGTTCTGTTCGTAGTTGTACGTGTCCAACATACCGAAGATTGTTGGCCGGAAATCACCAAAGGCACCACGGCCGTGTTCGTTTGTAATCTTGAACAGAATTGACTTGAGTGACACTGAAGACGCCATACGTTCAAGAATGAAACGAATCATTTCGTTTAGTGCCACTTGGAACGCAGTCATGGCACCATGACCGCTGTTTCCACCGCCAGAGTGTGTTCTAGTGACAGGTACGTTGCGAGACGAGCTCTTAGAGCTGAGACTGCGCTTCACTGAGTTCTGAATCCGCAGCAATTTGTCCAGCAGCGTGAACCAAAGCTTTTCTGCCTGCTCATCACGGTTACGCAACGAGTTACGCTGACACATTGTCAAAGCCACCTCCAACGTCTTCATGGCATCCTTGCCTTCCTGCACACTGTCAATGATTCGGTCTGACGATTGGTGTCTGGCGCCACTGGGGACGTTGGCGTTACTTGCAGCGCCTGCTAGCACATCAGAAGTGCCAGTTGACGACGAAGAAACAGCGGAGACGTTGTATCCACGCAAAGCAGGCTTAAGAATCTTGAGCTTTTGTTCCAAGCTTTGCAGGATAAGCGTGAGTGCGCCAGTAACGTCACCCGTGCGCTCAAGCAAATACGCTTCGGCGTCTGTGATGGCGAACTCTTTGCAGAGGCGTAAGCACGCGTCGACCTTGTAGCTGTCGTGAGACTCTAGATACGGAAACACGCCAGCAGGTTCGAATTCGCACAGAAGGCGCACGAAACGCTCCTGCACAGCAGGGTCGTCGGCAATGCGCAGTTTTGAGCGATCCAGCAGGTCTTTCAGGACATCAGCTTCATCACTTGCTGTGCTGCCACTTGTGGTTGATGCGGCCATGAGCACCTGCTTGAGGTACAGGAATTCGAGTTTGGCGCCCTCCTTACCCATTGAAAGAAATTTCTGGATAACCTTGTTGTTCAAATTTGGAAATTGACCCAGAATCAGCGTCACGAACGCGTATCCGTCTGTCTTCATAAGTGCAGGTGCATGGTTAAGCATAGCTTCTTCGATAAACTTGCGGCGGCGACGGGTAGGCTCGCCGTCATTACTGTTGCGAATTTCTATTTCTTCGCCGTCTACTGCCTGATCGGTCTCCATACGGATATAGCTGAAAGCATTCATTTGATACTCATGGTCCTCATCAGCCAGATAGGATGCAATAGCATTGCTGATATCCCCAATGTCCTTATACAGCAGCACAGCAGCGCGATTCATTTTTTCTCGAATGACACTAGCCAGCAAAGCTTCGTGGTTGTAAGTTGCCTTATTTAGCTTTGTCAACAGACGCACGAGCATTGCCTCTCGGCCCTCCTTATCGAAACCCTCTTCTTGCGAAGTTTCGACCGTGACTGCTGAGGAGCCCTTGGATAACAGTGACGCTGGACCGAGAGCCAGAAAGTTCATCAGTGAATCCATCATCGATGCGCCGCCAGCAGAACCAGCATCACCAATAGCCTCAGCACGTGCATCAGCGTATTCCTGCGGCTCGATAGAACCGCCACTGAGAAGCCGAGCCTCGAACATGAAGAAATGGGCATGTTCTACCGAGCTAAATATGCTCTTCGGTCCAAAAATAACCTCTGCGAGCGAAAGCACAATCGAAAGACGGCTAGGACACTTGGTCATCTCAGCATTACGGGCTGAGTCATATCGGCTTGTAGGGAGACCCAAACCGTCCTTCTTTTCACCTTCAAATTCAACGCTAGGCGTGTCAAACATACGTCCCATGATGTTAAAAAGCTCGCGAGCATCGAGGTCAATAAGCGTCTCAAGTCGTGGATACGGTCGTGGGTTTAATGACCCCGCCACAAGGCCTTCGAATAAGTGAAAGCAAATCTGCGAACGCACCTTTCCTAGCTTTAGAGGTGAGATTTGCTCGTGTTTCGGGAATGTGCGACCACTCAATGCGTACGAAATGTATAACAGCAGCTTGTATCCGAGCAAACGCCGGCGACGCGGACCACTCAGTGCCTCGTCTTCAGCTTTCTCTCGCGCTGACAATGCTGCAGGCTTTGCAATTGAGCTTGTAGAGCTGCCTGCCCGGCTCGTGCCGCCAAATGCTGATGCCAGATTGCTCACTCGGGTTCCAGATGGTGCCCGAGTTGCTCTAGAGGTTGTCTTTGATGCAGGTTTTGACTCAGTCGTCTTTGCGTCCGAACAAGCCTCCAACAGAACATCAATGGGCGTCGTATAGTCGTCCATTCCTTCGTTGTAAATGTATATGAGAGCTGAATATAGCTCGTGATCGTGACAGAGCTTCAGGATTGTATCCAGATCCAATTCAGCCACATTCAGGTGAAGCAGGCACTGCTCCACTTGAGCAAGCTTACCTTGGGTACTAAAGTGTCTGACGAACTCCTCCATGGCCACAGGAGAAAGGTTTCGCAACTTCTCAGAAAGGATATACGGCTCCAACAGTTCTATCAACACACTCAGCTTGTTAGCGTCTTTGAAGCGTGTGTAGATCTCGCCAAAAAGCAGGTCAGTACGGCCGATTAGAGCACAGAACTCGATGCACACGCCTGCTAGCATCTGGTAATGACTCTTAGCCAAATCTAGCTTCATTCCAATTTTGTTGAGACTTAATTCACCTCCTGCTGCAGAAGTGGAGCCCGGTGCATTGGCGATGGCAAGACGCACGTACTCCATAAGCAGGTCTGCTACACGCTCAGCCACACTGATAGGCACAAAATTCTTTGTTACCTCACCGCTGCGTGCCTTCTGAAGGGTTTCTTCGAGCTTCTTAGCGATTTCTGGCGGGTACGGCACCTCACCACAGACCCAACGTACTTCGTCGGCACTCTCTTCATGCCGAAACACATCCTCTTTTTCACCAGTACGCTGGTTGGTCTGACACATGTGTAAAATGTCTACAAGGCATTGATCATTCTGTTTGTCACGAAAAAAAACAGGCGGGAATCGGTCTCTTGCTGCACGATCTGCCGCGGCAATTTTTAGTCCCTCATAGTGATCCAGAGCAAGTGCTAGTGCCTCTAACCACTCCCCATCATCAACCAACAAATCAATACGTTGTGTCCACGGTAATACACGAGCTGTCTGCAATTCCTTAAGACCAAGCAAGTACAAAATGTTGTAGCAGCCCCGGAAACTGTTCGAAAAACTACGAGCATTTTTACCACGATAGGATGCGAAGACCAGTTCTAGCGATGACACATCTACGATCTCCAGCTCTTGGCGAGACATGACATCATACACGCATATTTCGTCATGCGAGTTTAAATACACCACAACTTGGTCTCCAAGCCACTGGACAGCCATAACAGCACTCGACGATTTGATCTGGTCATGCTCATCGAAGGTAGGAAAGCCATGGCGCACGTGCGAATGATTCTTACCACCAGGAAAAACAACCTCCAAAAACTGCACACGGTTGCCCCAGCCACGCGCAAGCACAGGTGCCAGAGCTCGAGAGCTGCCTGGAAAAGAAATCCACGCAAACGCTAACGTCGGCAACACCGGATCATCTGGTGCAATGTCATCAGGTCGTACCCAGCGGTAAATTACACGAACTTCAGGTTCGATGGCGATAATAAACGTCACAGTCTCCGTACTCAAAGCAGCAAGGCAATACTGGTCTGTTAGAGATGAAATTTTGGCATTACCGGCAGACTGCGGCAGCACGGAAATCGACAGGATTTTGCCCGCCGAACCGTCGTAAAGTGGATCCACATCCACAACGTACACCATTCCCATCATTTTGGAGAAATTGAGCTTGTTCACCACACCTTTCGTGTCTACTGAGACCAGCACAGGCTTCTGGTCTTTTAGAAAGCGTAAGCTCACAACTGGATTCTCATGCGCGTCCGACACCGCTTTGAGGGACGTGCCCTTGATCATGTCCCAGAGCACAATGCGTCCACTTTGGTAACCACAAACCAAGTAGTCACTACCAGGAGACACATCCACAGCTGTGACAGGTCCATCTCCATCTGCATCGTTTGTATTTCCCAGCACTTGTCGTATATTCTGAAAATGGTCAAAGATAATGACAAGTCCCTTGGACGTACCAATAGCAATAAACTTCGAGTGAATAGCTACTACCGTTGGTGATCCAGGACCGTACTCTTTAAACTCAATATTCTTCCTAAGCTGTCGACTGATGGCTTCCATTGGTTCCACCTTGACAACTCCAGTTGATTTTTTCTCTGCTGTAGTAACTGCATCTCCTGCTCCTTCTGCAATTTTCTTTTTTCTTGAATTTTTCTTTAAATTGATAAGTCCTTTTCGTCGCGATTGAAGAGCTTTGGATCGAGCATGAGCACGTAATCTTCTCTTTACTTGCAAAGGAGAGATGAGCTCGACCCCTACACAGCTCAATAGCTGCTTCTCTCTTGCTTCTGCAATTTGCAATGGAGTACGAAAGTGTGTCTCTGTCTTATCAGGAACTGCAGACGTCGTCTTGGGCGCTGGGACCACGTCCATGCCTGGTCCTGGCTCAATTTTAAGTGTAAAAGTAGCAGGTGCAAAGAATAGATCGTCTCCATCTTCTTGAGTGTCTTTAGTACTGTCTTTGTCTTCGATGTTCTTTGAAGCAAGCTCCTCTTCTCGTAAGATCTCTTCTAGTGTAATGCTTGATAGATCCAATTCTCCTAAATCCTCTTCATCGCTTTCCAGTAGTAAACTATCCACATTGCTCATGGCCACTAGATAAACAAAGCACTTGGCTTTCAGATGAGACTACTTGAGCACGTGTAGGTGCTCTAGTTGTCGAGATAAAAGCGTCCAAGTGCAACCTCTTGCGCAACTTAACGTCTTTGTCCGCAAGTTTTCTTGTTACAGAAGCCCCCCTTATTGGGGGTCCTTGTATAGGGAGTGATGGATTTCTTATAGAGGGATAAAAAATGTAGCTAATGTAATGTAGCCATCATGGTACTGTAATGTAGCCATCATGGACTTTATTCTATCGGCTACAGCTCCTCATGGCCTTCATTCTGTTCAATCTTTGCTTCATTCTGCTGCTGCCTTTTACTAATAAAGTGCTTAACCTGATCAATTGCATCCAGCAATTCCTTTTCTTCCTTTCCATCACACGCAGCAGGGGTCTCGAATTGAATCTCATACTCACACATTTCACGCTCCTCTACGGACACCACACGGTTCCTTGTACTGCATAAGAGCTTCACCCGTGTCTGACGCTCCTGTCCATTTGCACAAGGCTCACCATAATTATAGCTCTGTACACGTGCAAAGCTGACTGGTTCTTGCCATCCGTTCCAGATACCCAGCCCGATGGGGCGTGGGATCTCTTCTTTCTCTTCGTTTTCATCCGTCACAGTAATTCCGCCCTTGGTTTGACGTTCCTCTTTCGCCCACTGAGGATACGATGGTTCAGCCTGTGATATGTTCTGAAATGGGCACAGTACCATCTCATAGATGCGAGGGATCACGTTCGGGGTACCTCCTTTCAGCTCCTTCTCGTTCACCATGTACGAGAAACACTGGCCCACAAGCTCCACAAAAGCAAGTTTCCAGTTTGCATCCGAGAAAGTCCCCGGATCAACGACGCGGCTCTGTATATATGCCATATTTTGCTTAATGCGCAGCACATTGTATGACTGCTCCAATTGTCCCCTTAGCTCTGGATCATGTTGCTCCCGACGTTGCAAGTCTTCGAACGCATAATGATCAGCCTTGTAAGCTTCAACAAGACGCTCAAAATTTTCCTTCAGCTGCTCCACCTTGGCCACAGCATCAGCCAAGTACGCTTTACGATTTTTCTGTCCATTTTGCACCACCTTCAGTCTCTCTTGAAGCTCCTTTAATCTCCTCTGCCATTCCGTCTCGCATGTGTCAACACACATTCCCTCAACTTCATCACTGCCATCACAGCAGTCACACACTCTGTCGTCTATAAAGATCAGCGACACCATCTTGTCATCTGCTTTGCATTTCATTTGTCGACCAAGTGGGGATCTCTCTGAGCTCAGCAGCACATAAGAACACGCCGACGTGTTGAGCTCGTCACTCCCGTCTTTACAGTCGCAGTAATTATCATTCACACGCTCTGGTGGCAATAAATCCACGCAGTTTTCCACTTCAATAATGGCTGTATTACCGTGCTTTTGCTGCTCTACAAGCCCAAAAACAGCGTCATCATCCATGAAATCCCAGTCCTCGTCCTCGTCTTCGTCTTCATCAATTCCTTCATCCATTCCAAGGTGTTTAATATCAGCTGAAGCCACCAAATTGCTTGTTACCATGTCAAACAGTACTAGCATGCACAAATTAGTCACAATGGCGGTCATGACGAACAGCAGCAGCGAATGCCTGGCCATCCGCGACGTCATTATGTCGATATACAAATGACTCTCCCCGCTGATTGGAGGAAAATCGAAGATAAAAGTGAAAACCCTTCAACGTCATACTTTTCGTTTCATCAAGGATAAAGGATTCAAACGTTATTATTAATAAAAACATACTATTAAAAAGCGGTTAAAACAAACCTCTTACAAAAGCAAAGTACTCGAGTCGGAGCTGATCATTTTGGCTGAAGACGACGAGATAAAACGACTTTGTTGACCTGAAAGTAGCGACGTGATTGAAGTCGGTCTTTCTTCTCCGTCGCTCAGCTCAATCAGTTCGTCTTCAATGCTTGAGTACGAGATTTCGTGACTTTGTTTGTCCTTTTCTTCGAGAAGATCTCGTCCACCAATTTCCCACTGATCCTCATCAGATGTAGACACCCACTCAGTAAGCTGTTGGTCTCCATTTGGTAGATCAACACAAGGCAAACCGAGTACATGTTGAGTCACTGTAGCCACTTGAATCGTTCCAATGCGGAACATCTTTTCTACCATTCGACCCATTAGCAATACCACTAGTTTAGCGTACGTGAAGATGATTTCCAGTCCCATAAAGACACAAGCTACTTCAATGTTCGTTAAATGTTGAGAGTTTAAATGACAAAAGCTGGGACCCGCCTTTAACAAGAACATTCCGAAAGTGTAATTGACGACACTGTTGGGGGATTCGAGTTGCTAGGGCACTAGACATTGTAGTGAGAGCAGCCTTTAGCCATGAAAGTAACATCGAGAGTAGCAGCACTAGTGATAGTGACATTCAAGCAAAGGCATTGAGCCGAGCTCAACAGATAGGGAGAGTCGGGAGGCATATCATTGATAGCACTGAGAGTGCTCATAAAATTCTGCCTTCGAAAGCATTAAATGCTCGAGCTTCAGCATCTCTTTTAAAGCAAACGCTTCCTCTGCATTGAAGCAAAAGAAGATGTACATCTTTCTTTCAAACAAGTATCATCTTTGAATAAGCGACATTGTCGAATAAGCATCATCTCTGAACAAACATCGGATGTCTAAGAAACTCCAGCTCTTCGTCAAACAATGAAGTCACGATAGGACAAACGAGAGCGCTAAATATTCTCATTACACGTTAATCATGTCGGAAATGCTAGACAATGCCGCCTTGTGCTTTTTACGCTCGAGCAGCATCACAACTGTAGTCTTTCTGCTCTTGTCCACACGTTCGCGCTCGGTCAACGGTGTGTCAAACGAAAACGTCAGCGTCGCCTCCTGCTCAAGAAACTCGTCCTCAAAGTTGTGGAAAAATCTTGCCGTCTGCTCATACGTCGTCTTGCTCTTCTTGCTCTTTGTGGATCCACTGCTGCCACTCTTCTCTTCTGAACAGGTAGCTAGAATAATAAAGTAGTCCATCTGAAAACTGTTGCGCAGTTCCTGCGTGTCCTCGTTCTCAATTGCCCACTCGATATCTTCGTGCAAAGCCGAATGCAGTGCCGGTACCAATTGATACGGCAGATTCACCATGCGCTCGTTGAGCACAAGGCCCACATTCTTCGTGTTAAGAATCTGCTGTAGCTTTGGCAAGTCGGAGTTCGGGCACTTCTTGGTCACGTACTGTACGACCTGTTGCATACTCGTCTCCTTTTCAAAGATTTTTAGGTTCAGAGCAGTAATAAAACCATATACGTCGTCTTCTCCTTCCACACACACCATAGTACCAGCGGTGACTTGGCCCACGATGGCATTGGCTAGACCAGAGACGTCGAACGGCTGCGAGGGCGGCAAATAGGCCAATAAGAACTGCTTGACGCTGTGAAAATGGGCCTCACGCGGGTCTGAAAAGAGAAAGTCGATGCTCACATTGTTCTCTGTAGATACAACAACCTCTCCACCGTCCATGTCGTCATCGGAACCATCATCGTCCTGTGTGGCATTGGATGCTGCATCAAACGTGAGATCGTCGTCGCTGTCATCGCTGCTGTCGTTGTCCGAATTGTCTATCATCATTCCAACTGTATGTTCATTGTTCTGGCCAGTTGTAGGGTCCTCAGACGCCTTGTTGGAGCCTCGAGAACGCTTCTTCTGAGGTGGCATGGCGTCTTACGTTTAATGGTGCAAGAAGTACTGTACTTACCAGCCAGCCATTTCTAAAATGACTACCTGGAAGTATGAATTGTTATCGTTAGGAATGCCGTATGTCGGTCATTACTGTAAATTGACAATAGAATGGACAGCTCCTTTATTCCACCACCGTTCCCGTTTCCAGAGGCTTGGCCGAGAGTGTTTGCAGAGCAACAGCAGCATCAAGAGAGAAAATGGTTGACGTCACCCATGATGTATAGTCATGTACAATGGCAGACGCCAGGTATATCAGAATCTTATCATTCATTTGACCAAGCGATCCCTTCAGTTGTGACTACATGCAGTGATGTGCAACAAGACATATGTATCAATGATACAGAAGATGAAGAAGATGCATACGAGTATGGCTACATTCTCAGCAATGAGTGGCGGGAACGTTTTCAGTCGTCGGTTCGATTGGAGCAACAAGTTAAGAGCAAGACAAAGAAGAAGACGAAGAAGAAGAAGCTCCAGAAGAAGAAGATGAAAGGACAGGCACTAAACGAGGAGACCGTCGGTGCATTCAATGCCAATCGATCGAGTCACTTGCAAGAGGAAATCCAAGCGGCCAATACTCGCGAACTTGCACGAAAGTGGAAACTGCAACATAACGCTCAAGTATCAACAACAACAACAACTATCAAAACCCCGCAGGTTGAAGCGTTGGAAACGTCATTAAATATGCGTTTTAACGACTTTTGCGACGCTTTTCAGCCCGTGGTGTGGCCACACGATTCTTTCTAACAGCTGTTTTTGCTAGCAAGTCAGCTGTTTTTGACCGGTATAACCGGTTTTATTCATGTAGATTGATAGAGGGAGTCATAAGAGAGAATTGGATTAAACATGAACCTCGGACAGATGAAGAACGATTCTGTGAATGGCTCGGCGCAGTCCATTCCTTCCATTAAACGAACACTAAGTGGAGGTACAACTAGTAGTGATAGTCACGGTCATGCGGGTGGTCTGGCCATTCATTTGGGTGTCGGTATGAATAATATGAACTCAATCCCGTCGGTATTACACGCGACGTCCAATACGAATCCACCGCAGATGCTGCGTGCCGTAACGTCTTCGGGCGTCTACAACCGTCCGTCGGCTAATACGTCGCTTCGTGGTGGCAGTAGCAGCCTTTCTACGGGCGCGAACGTCGTTGCTACGACTGCCACCCGTAACGTCTCCCAGTCGCCTATGATGCAAGACTGGAGAATGTATCTGACTATTGAGGAGCGTCAGGCCGTTCGCTCCAAGATTCGTGATGCCTACACCAGTCGCTGCTCCACATATGAAGATTTGCTGCAAGTGGTGAGGCTTGTAAAAGAGTAGTGAGGCGTCGGTTGGATATGTTGTCCAACCTGTTTGTGTTGTTGTCATTGTTGTTGCAGGCTTGTGCTATTGAAGAGGAGCTGCTGCACATCTCGGCACCATCACGTCTGGACTATTTCAAGAGCGGCTTTGAGTTTGAGAACCGTGTGAAACTCAAGAAGGACCAGTTGCAGGGTCAATTGGCGGCTTTGGACGCCAAGCGGCGGTCATCGAGTGGTCAGCAACAGCAACAGGGAAACACTGGCAGTGGCAGCAAAACAGTAGGATCGTCAAAGAAGCAGAGGAACTAGTATCCGGAAGATTCCGCAAGGTGCCTTGCATTACTCAGCAGCGTTTCTGCAGCTTCAGTGAAGACAAGTGAGCCAGGGTACGTGTGCGGATGAAAAGGGATCTTCCGTATATTTCTTTGCGCTATGGCACAGGCTACAAGGGTAGATATGATGTGCTGTATGTAGTCCTCATTGATAAGGCTACTTACTGAGTTCGGGGTCAGCGTAGAACCTCCAGCTTAACGCAGCAAGGAACCGATGAAGAGGAACAGAGGGAAGAGATTGCATTGTAAATGTGATGAGTGTATATTTTGGCTGTCCTAGATCGCGTGGTGCATTATTATATGTATGTCAGGTCTTCCGTCTAGTATCTGCGCAAAAAGAAGTGCTTCAGCACCTCCAAGTTGAGCCGAAACATGCTACGTCGCTGTAGCTCTGGAGCGAAGGCGTTGAAGTTGGCTGTTTCTAGCTCTTTCAAATATAACGAAGAGCTTACCAGCGGTAAGAATGCCCTTCGCGACGCGCTTGGTACTTCTTTCCGCAGCGACCGAGCTTGGTGGACGTGCTCGACAGCTCGGCAAGCAACGTCAAACACTACCGGCGCCACCTTCTCACCCTTTTTGGGGTCTTCCACGGCTGCCAGCAGGTCTTCAGAGGTTACACCATGCTACTCACGACAGAATAGACAATACAAACCAACGGAAGCATTAGGTTTTTGGGACCAAAATCCATGCTATGTTTTTTGTCCGTACCTTGCTCATGAGGTCCTCAGGAAGATAAGACTGTTGTCGTGCGCTGTGATACGCCGTACCTCGTAGAAGTGTCGCGAGACCAATTGCCACACCGGCGTGTTCCGCTACTTGGTCTGCCGTGTCGTCGCGGACACCGAGGCATTCTAGCGTGAGATACAGCAGTGAGGAGGCCGTCTGCTCTGCGTAGACCTCCAACTCTTGCAAGTTCTGCACCTCATTACGATCTAGATCCTGGTCACGTGCGTCCAGTAGTCGCTCGAACCACCGCCGAGTCAAGTCGTGCTCCTGGACAGCCTTGTCCAGCCCTCGCAGCAACAGCGTTGATTGCTCTGGTCGCTCCGTACCGGTCGATCTTTCATACAGATTATAAATGCGTTCTCGCCACCATTGTAGACGGATCTTGCCTGTGATGTGGTTGCTGTGTACCGAGTCCTTAATAGTTGCAATCTCAGCATTGAAAGCACGCTACAAGTCGCATATACAAAGAATGCTGCCGAATAAGTCGATACGTCCATCTTTCTGCGTACAATACCATATGCTCAATATAACGTACAATAGCAAAGAAAGATGGACGTGTCTTCACTGGTAGCAAGAGACCGCACATGTATCCATCGTAGTCCAGTGTCCTTGGCAGTCAAGAAAATCAAATGTCAATTTTTGAGGAATTAAAAGATTTCATCGATCTTTGAGAATGCCGGGTCGCTTTCTTCTCACCTGACCATCTCTCGCAGCTCTAACTCTTTCTTTTTATGTACTTCACGCATTGTACTAAGCGACCTGCGTGGAATTATGACCGCTGGACGCCGCCGCAGAGAGCCCTGCATGATGCTTCGAGCTGATGACGAAACCATCGAAATGACTACGGTGTAATTCATGAGGTAGTCCACACAATAATGTGGACCATTCAATTATAACCAATTACAAAAGTAGCATCGGTGGTGATCTGCATCATTGGTCTGTGATCATTCGGCGCATCTTGTTCGTTACCGACGCCATCGTCTAGCATTGTATTGTCCTGTCTGTCTTTCTGTCTGTCCAGATTCTACTATGACCATGAACTTGCAAAAGAAACGCGCAGCCACTGAATTTACAGGTGACCTAAAGCGCCACACAGCGCAAAAAACCAATGGCGAGGAGGACCTGGTGTTTGAGGACCCGTTTGGAGACGATATGGAGGATGAAGAGATGATTGAGAATGACAGTGACGAGGATGTTGTAGACGACAAGGAATTGTCCAATAAGGATGTAGACATGGACGAGAATGAGCAGGCTGACAAGCAAGTGAAGAAGGTTTTCGTGCCTGGTGTAGACAAGCTGCAGGACGACGAAGTGCTGGACTACGATAGCAGTGCTTATGACATGTACTATGCCATGACGGCTGAATGGCCTTCGCTTAGTATTGATGTTGTACGCGATACCCTCGGTGCTGTACGCTCGCGTTTCCCGATGACGGTGTTCATGGTGGCTGGTACACAGGCGACCAATTTAGATGACAACCAGATCACAGTCATGAAGATGTCAGAGCTGCACAAGACCAAGCGCGATGATGACTCGGACTTGGAAGATGAAGATTTGGAAGACGAGGATGAGACGGAGGGAGACCCGGTGCTTGAGTCTCGCTCCATTCCTCACCCCGGCGGTGTGAACCGTATTCGCTGCATGCCGCAGTCCTCCAATATTGTAGCTACCTGGTCGGATCGCAAAAAGGTGCACCTTTGGGATATTGCTAAACAGCTTGAGTCACTGAACGGCAAGGCGGGTGCTCCACTGCCGACAAAGCAGGCACCCGTGTACACGTTCTCGGGACACGCTGATGAGGGTTTTGCCATGGACTGGTCTCCTGTACAGACTGGTCGTCTCGTAACGGGCGATTGCAGCAAGTATATCTACCTCTGGGCCAACTCGAATAGTGCATGGAGCGTCGACAAGGTGCCGTTCACGGGCCACACAAGCTCGGTAGAAGACCTACAGTGGAGCCCGACGGAGGCATCAGTGTTTGCTTCATGCTCGTCCGACCGTACTGTGCGTATTTGGGACACCCGTCGAAAGGCCGGTAGTATGCTGTATGTTGCTGCTCATGACGACGACGTGAACGTGATTACATGGAATCGTAACGTCGCTTACTTGTTGGCGTCTGGTTCGGACGATGGATCGTTTAAGATTTGGGACTTGCGCAACTTTAAGGCCGACAATCCGGTGGCGCACTTTCGGTACCACACGGCACCCGTTACATCTATTGAATGGCATCCAACCGATGAGTCAGTGCTGGCTGTATCAGGTGCAGACAATCAGATCTCGGTTTGGGATATGTCTGTGGAAGAGGACGCTGAAGCTGCTGTGCCTGTTGAAGGAGAGAAGGGCGAGGCAAAGCTGGATCTTCCGCCGCAGCTGCTGTTTATCCACCAGGGCCAAACCGACATTAAGGAACTGCATTTTCACCCGCAGTGCCCAGGTGTGCTCATGAGTACGGCAGGCGACGGCTTTAACGTCTTTAAACCTGCTAATATTTCGTAATTAAGACCCACCCACACTGTCATTTAAGATACTTTATACTGTATCTGGACACAATAACGAGTGTGCACATTTATTCATCATTTTGATAATTCCTTGCTTTTTCGACGTAATTTTACCCCTTTTTACAAAGCCTCTCATAGTTGATAGAGCGGCTTCATCTTCCGACTCTTTAAATAAAGCGACACACCACATTCGTTTCCACCATGACGCGCCTCTTTAGCCTTTTTCTGTCTGTAGCGCTGATCAGTCACGTGCAAGCCGAACCTTTAGCCGTGTTTCGAGACGACCACATGAGGCACGAGACCTACTACGCGCTCGCAGATCGCGGCTGTGCCTTGTGTCGTAATGAAGAGAACTGTTCGCTTGCTGTGCACAACCAGTCGAGTGGCGTGTTCTGTAGTGACCTATTGCCTACGTTCCAACCGTGTTGCTGTTCGTTCCGCAACGAATGCATAACCACAATCTTTTCAGACTCGTGCGAATGCTTTAATGGCATGAGAGAGGATGAGATCATGACAGTGAGGTTTTACTTGTTTGTAGGGTTGTCAGTCATCGCTTGGGGACTTCTTCTCTACGACAAAATGTGTGCAGGCCCTTACAAAGTCATGAACAGCAATCACCAACTTCTGGCGAGTTCTCCATCACAAGCAAGACCGAGAGGTGAAGACAGTGTGGTAAATACAGTAGACAACGACTCGATGGATGAAGAGATTCGAACTGTAGATGGCACTATGGCTGTTGAAGTCGCAGAGGAACTGCATGAGATAGACCGTGACAATACTCCAATACGACCTCAATTCTCTTGTTTAACTGGTGAGGCAACAGAGGGTGCTGATGTTGAAGTTGTAGACCACGGAACGCAGGCCGACGGTAAGAGGTTAAATTGATATTCTTTGTCCATTGATACTGTCTAATTTATTATAATGTGTGTCTAGTATAAGTGGTTCCGCAGCTTAACATTATGTTACAATGAGTTTTTGAAGAAGTCACTTGAGCGGAATGTCTTTCAGTTCAGTTGGGGACTCGTTTGGCCTAATGCTAACTTCCTGGACGACATCGACAGTAGCAGTGATTACCAGAACTTGATCAGATACTTCTTCTGTTGATTCTTCTTTATCCTTTTCTTGCTGCAGAGAGTCTGCATCTGAGATCGCGTCGAAGGTGATAGGAGGTCTAGAGGTTGGTATCGGAGATTCTAACACCAGGAGCGGTAAATTGTCTTCAATCTCCCCATCTGTTTGAGATTCCCGCCGCCGCTTACCAAAGCGCTGTCGGAAGCGGAGTAATTTTGTGTCCGTAGCTTTGCTGTAAGTGACCATTTGATTCCGTCTGAAGTCACTAAAACACTCCACCCACTTATCCACATACACTGCGAACACCAAGAGCGCAAGATACGCCGACAAATGGATGAGGATCTCCGTGAGTACCGACATTTGGCTATCCATTGGGTCATGAGATGCTGATGTAAAGCTATCTCGAACTAACTTCTCTGTATCGTCTGCTACTTCTTCAATAGCAGTAAGTCTCTCGTGGCGTAAAGCAAATGGCCATCCTCCACCGCACTCGCACGTTTGCGCTGTGCTTGTCGCTCGACATTCTGTGTAGTACGCACAGCAGCACGGCTGCTTCTTTGTCACAGTAGCATGAATATCTCCACAAAAGACTCCGGATGACGTGTCATTCATAGCCATGGAGCAAGCTCCACTATCTCGACAAAGCGAACAGCCGGCAGCGACACTGCCAATGCTTGGAACACTGACGCGACGGGAGTTAGTATGCGCTTTTTTCATGGGTTCCTGCACAAGATGGGCGCTAGTGGCCGATATACAGATAAGCAGCACCGCTACGGAGTGCTGGAGCATCAACGTCACGCTACTGAGCTCTTCAGCGACGTATTTATGTTGATAAGGATTTTAACCAATCAGAATAAGCTAGTCGGAAAGTAGTCGGTCCGTGTATACTTAATACTGTCGATTTTGTCCAGACGCATCAGTATCTGGTCCGATACTACTGTACATAAACATCCCAATTCAACGGGATCATACGGCTTTAAGAAAGGTCTCTATGTAAACTAGGGCTTTAGCTCAACGCGGGTCGGTGTGCAGAATAGTTCGATCCATTATCGACGTCCCCCGCACTTTGGATATTCTGCCGACTGCTTCTCTTTCAAGTTGCGCACTACGCAACTGCCTCCTGTAGGCTACGCAAATAGGAGAAAACCTTTTCCCCCTTCTATTTTAAGTCCATTATGACGAACACTTTCCGCCCAAAGTAAGAGAGTCAGTTTTTTGGCTTCCTGGAGGGTCTCGTCTGTAAGCGTTGTGATTTGGGAAGTGACATAGAATGGACGAGAACCAGAGATACATCATCACAAAACGTCAGTTGTAGCTACGGACAGAGACGAGACTTTTTTGAAAACGTATGGAAACAAAGAAGTTACGTCATCAACAGATGTATACAATGAAAAGTATACCAATCCATTAATCCATCACTTTATATTCACCATTGAATAAACTAGAGAAAAATAACAATGGTGTCTACAAGGCGACAGATGACATTGTTGTCTCTACTTGCACTACAGGTCGGTATTCAGCCATTATTACTAAGTTTGTATGCAAGTGAAACACGTGACGTTCGTCTCCGTGTGGGTGTTGTGGAGTTTCTAAAGCTTTTGCTGGCGCTAGTGCCACTTTGTCTCACGAAAGGAGAGGGCAGTCTCCTGAATCAGCTTAAGACGTGGAAATTACGCATTGCAATGGCCACAACGGTCTTTCCTGCACTTATCTACGTGGTACAGAATCTTTTGAATCATTCGGCAGTGGTGGCACTGGATGGTGTGACGTTTAACGTGCTGAACCAGACTAAGATCATCTGGACTGCATTGCTCGTGTATCTTCTACTGGGCAAGCGGCAATCTCCAATGCAGATAATGGCTTTAGGAATTCTGTGTATCGCTGCTGTGCTCATGACGACATCGTCTACAGAGGTGAAGGACGAGGAAACGCAGCCAGATGCAGACGCTGTGGTGTTTACAGGCATGTATGAAGCTTTACTGGCCGCGGTGCTGTCGGCATTGGGTGGGAGTATCATCCAAAGAGCTTTGCAACAACAGAAACGCAATCAGTACATGGTGACGGTAGAACTGAGTGTTTTGGGAGAGACGATACTTGGAGTGCTGGCTGTCGTGCAGAACGGACTAATGCGTTCTGATGAAGACAGCGACTTGCAGGACAGCATGTGGGAAGGATGGAGTGCGATGACGTTGGTTGCACTTGTGTGCCAAGCTTTGGGTGGAGTTTTGGTAGGATTTGTGATTCGAGATTGTGGAAATGTTGAGAAGAGTTTCGCTGTCGTGGGAGGAATGGGACTGACAGCTTTATTCGAGACATATTTCAATGGAAAACCCTTTGGGCATAATGCGTTTATGGCTATGGCACTAGTGGCTGTCAGTACGGCGTTGTATGCATTTAACCCAGCTACAGCAGCGTCTCTACATGACAAAAAGCTTGTACCCAGTGTGTCGAATGAAGTAGGCATTGCTCCTGCGGCTACAGCTAGGTCCTTTTTGAGTACAAGACATTCGAAGAAGAAGAAGACAAGTACAGACGCAAGCGAGATCGAGCCGTTCCTGGCATCGCCTGCTGTTATTACAGTTAGTAGTAATAGTGTCTACAGCAGCAGCACTTTTCGACAGGACATGCGACGTCCATTGTGCCAGCCGCAGCCCCCTGCCGAGATACAAAAAGTTCAACGTTTGCTGGAGACGATGGTGTAAACCAACTACTATATCTAATATATCACTAGTCCCCTTGTATTTCCAAGCTTGTCAACTTCTCGCCAGCTCTGCTCGGCTTATACATCCATTCTTCAAGTTTAGCTAAGCTGGATAGCCTGCTGCATCGACTGCGTAAGCGTCTCACTACTAAAGCTTTCCAGTTCTTTTCTTGTCCACAGTGCACCAACATGCCCGTCTGGACGCACGAGAGCAGCAGCTTTCGTATCCATAAATTTCGCCCATGCCTGGTTGCTTTCGTCTCCGACGACTTGCCACGAGAATACTGAGCCAAACGCCGAGGATTTCTGAGCTTCCACGACCTCAGCACTGGAACGCAGTACGACGAGAGAGACGTGCCTCGCCATTATTTGTGAAAAAGACGATGAGCAAGAATCAATCACTCGTGCAGCATCACGCTCATCAACGACCAAAACAAACTGCACATTGCACTTATCTTCAGCAATCTTCCCGTTCTGAAGAGTAACAAGTCGCACCATGTCATGCGTGGACACCCTCGCATCGTCGCAAGTACACCAAAAGTGAGGGAACCTCTCACCAACGCGGAAAGCTGGAGAATAAATGATGTCATTGCCATCGCTGATTTCAGTACGAAATTCTGCAGACCGGTCCAGTGCTGGGTCTTCCATGAGCTGCTTGGCACGAGAAGCCCAGCAAGGCGCGTCATAGGAAAACCCAATATCAAAGTGGTAAAACATCATGCCAATCGTTTTACGGCGCGCCACGATATCCTCTACACTGGCACGCATGCGGCTAGCCAAGGCACTTCCTGGTCCACCTGTATCCTTCGCTTCATCCAAAAATCCCAAAGGCATTTTACCTACACTCATAATCCCCTGCGCTATTTTACGCTGAGCGCGCAACGGAAGAAATTGCATTGGCTCTGAGTTGATGACCTTCGCTAGCGTCTGGGCGTTGTCATACGATATGTTTAGTGCATTTGGAACCTTCATGGTTCGAACCACGTTCCTCAGACTGAACTGCGTATTTATTTTCGCAACAGGCTGGCGCTCGCGCCCATAAGACCTCAGTATCGCTTGAGTGTCAACGCCATTAGCAGGATCATTCTTCATCTGAATCGCAAGCGCCAGCTTCCAAGCTAGATTGTGCGCGTCCTGCAGTCCTGTGTTCATACCGAATCCACCTGCCGGTGGAAATTGGTGCGCCGCATCACCGACGAGGAAGACACGCTGCTTGCCGGCATCGTACTGTTCTGCTACACGAGCTCCCATTCGCCACTGTCCAGTCGATAGAATATCGATGTCTTCGTCGCCAACCTCGACGTTTCTAGGTAGGATATGACGGATAATTTCCTTGCATTGTGCAATCGAGAAGTCCCAGGCAATTGACTCCTGCGGCGGAAAGAACGGAATCTGAAAAACCCACTCACCTTGGTTGAGGTCATGGGCAATCAAGACACCGACGACATTTTTATTAAACTATCAAACACATTGGAATCAAGTACCGGTTAGCTACGCGAAGTCTCGACAAGTACAAAGTTTCTTACCACAAAGTACAGCATAGCCGGATTCTCGCTCGCAGCATCCGACAGCGCCTTGCTTGTAAAGTGCACGTTTGCAATACTTTGCATATTGCTTGTTCCAGCCATGTTAATGCCACAAAAGTGGCGCACAAGGCTGTGTGCACCATCCGCTCCCACAACAAAGTCGTAAGACGCTTGCTCGACCGTGTCAGTATCCCTGTAAAGCCGAACACGAAACACGCATTCTATAATCAGCCTTTGTACCACGTAGAAAGTATACTTATGCGTGAAATTACAAGTGGCGCAGCGTAACTTGTGATTGCTGCGTAACGGAATTGTCCGCTGGCAATGTAAGTCTCTCAAGCTCAACTCCACGCTCAATCTGCACATCGTTTTCCGCCAAAAACGTATCTAACAGCGTCTCAAAGCGATTCTGAGGGAAGTGAAGGAACTGCGTCGGTGACAATGCCGCCAGTGACTTGCGTAGACTATCACCATGTGCCGTTGCCTGCTCAATATTATCGCGTGGAATGGCTGTGTAGCAATAAAAATCACTCAGTATGCGCTAGTAGCCAGTATTCAATCTCTCAATCCTTTCTTACAAGGGCCCAACTGGTCAATACGTGCAATTTCTCGAGCTTTGCCTACTCCAGTGCAATAAACGTAATCACGCCACTGTGCATTCATTGCATTCAAAGCTCAGTAAACAGACATGTAAACCCTCTTCAATCACTTAAGACTTACTAAGATACTTGGTTCTGCTAATGCCAACAAACGATCGTGAAATTCTGGCATTATAGCGTTAAGAATTTCCATTGTGCGTAGGTTAATAAAATGTGCCTGTGGGTGAGACGTGGGGATGCGTTGACGTTCCACTAAACGCGTGGGAACTTTGTAGAGTTTCTCAAGCATAAAGGCAGTTGCTAACCCCACAGGTCCAGCACCCACCACCAACACACGAGGCTTCTTTAATAACGACATTTGTGACCTCAACGGCATCATGTACGTACGCTACGTACAAAATAGACAAGTAGATGAATATGATGTGGTGTACATTAATCTGCAGGATAAAAGATTCATTTTTGCAGAGTGATTGTCACTTCAACAATGACGCTGTTCCGCGCATTGCCGCTATCTAATGATGAGGGATTTACAGCATCATTTGCTACAAATGGCGAGAGAATTCTCATTGGAGAGCACGTGGATTACGAACGGTACGCGGTGCTGCCCATGGCCATGATCAGAGTATCTACGTGGCGTTTAACATAGCAAATGTAATACAAAAGTAAAGATAATAAGTCTGGCAAGCGCTAAGCCACAGTACAATGCTGTTTCATTGTGTATGGACGGGTTAAAATGCAGCAAAATATGAAAAAACTCGACCAGGAAGAAGCTGGATGGGTTCTGTGGGGTGTTATGGGTTCAAAAAGGTCGTCCGGAGCTGTTTCTTGGTGACGAGACTGAGCTGCAGATGTTTGTGGATGAAAGACATGCCGGATGGGTGCGACCTGTTCAGTTCCAGTGCGTTGGTTGTAACGGTTGCTTTATCCACATTCAGAGCACACAAACAGTCAGAACAGAAGCTACTGAGTCGAATGGAGCTAGCGGAATTGTGTCGACGGGCAGAACATTATGTGGTTACTATGGGAGGTGGAAGGGATCAGGCAGTGGTATGTTTGGCACATCGTGGTGTTACTCTGCATCTTGATTTCTCAAGCGTCTCGGTAAAAAGTTACCCAGTCAACGTACTTGGTGCTTCTGCTGCTGGACTTACATTCGTTGTAGCAAATAGCTTGGTAGTGGCCGAGAAGCAGTTAACAACAAACGTGTTGTTAATGTGCCTTTGCTGTAAATTGATTGCAAAAGAAGCAGGCATTGAGGACGACGACTGGAGAAATGTACGACTCCATTGGATGTATGATGCTACTATGTGTTCATATTGATAATGCAAAGTGAAAACAGATAATGCGTCTGGTGGACGTTCACATGACATGGGACAGGAGAGCGTGCGCACTTTTGACACATTACAGAAAATTGCATTAGCTTCCTGTTCTTGGCAAGAATACTTATTTGTCAAGCTGGAAGCTGAGTTCGGTGAGCCGATTGCGGGATTACATATCGGTTCTTCACTGAAACCGGCCATGAAGGTTTGAATGTGCTGTCAATCATGTGTAAAGTATTCTCGACGACTTTGCTGACATGCCTTACACGCAGGAAGTAATAGCTTCCGCCTCATCATTCAAGCTGCAGCAGAGAGCTATGCACATGTGGGGTGAGGTCGAACGTGTTAAGCAGTTTCAAACAATATGCGCTTCACTGACAAGAGAAGTTCAATCACTGTCTGACCAAAAGATCGGGCAGTCATCATCCATACGCACACAATTGAAATGTCTTGGAAAGTCATGATGTTAAGTCATTTATGCTACCAGACTTGGTACGAGTGTAGTTGCTCGGAACTCGATGCGTACGCTGGTGCTTTGGGAGCACACCTTACTGGTGCTGGAAGGGGAGGTTGTATCGTAGCACTTGTCCAGCGTACTGAGGTGTCCAGTTTTATAAGAAAATGTACAGTCCAACTACTACATCAAGCATGGTATCACGTCAGCTGAAGCATCTGATGCCATGTTTAAGTCAACTCCAGTACCTGATGCAGACATTTTCACACTTGGGTTTATGTAAATAGGCTTTTGTAAATTTCACCAAGGCTGTAATGAACGAAGTTTTTCCAGATATACATCTTTGGCCTGAAGCTCCACGTCAATAAGCGCAAGCTGTGAGGACCAGAAACTTCATGTTAGCTTGACGTAGGTTGTGGCAAACCATGCGAAATTTCTGCATATAAACATACCTCGGCCTTTCGATTTGCCTTCTCCGCAAGAGTCATCGAAAACTGCAGTATTGTAAAGTCGCGCTTCATACCGAATAAGGCCTCTCGCCGCTCAGCAATCTCTTGCTCGTACTGTTCGATCTCTTTTTGCATCTACAACATTATTAAATTGTCATCACAACAGACAAAACGCTCTCGATAAGTCCGTTCGTACCTCGATATTGGCAGCAAAGCGATCGATATCTAACATGGCTCTAAAGTACGTATCGCTTTTCTGCAAAAGCGCAGCAACAAGCAGGATTAGTTTCGAGAAAGCAAATGATTCACAGCGAAATGACAAGACTGACGTGTATCTTTTCAAAAGCCTTCTTGACGACAGGACGAATCTGAACCCAGCATGTGGAGACTAATGCAGCTGTCTTGCATGGAATCACTCCGATCTCGACAACATCCTGCAGTTCATTACAGTACACATGTTACAGGTGTAAATATAAGCGACTTGAATACATCCCCTCTGACATACCTTTGGTCGCAAAAATAACAGTTGTTGATCTATCAAATCCAGAAACTTTTGTTCACCATCCTTGCGGTAGTGAAATGGCAGAAGTGCATTCACCGGGCTCACACAGTCGCGGGGCGCCTTGTCTTTCGGGCCAAGAAGTTGTTGTGGGAGAGCTTCCACCACATATTGGCACCACATCTCCCAGTGTTTCTAAGCACTTCCAGGCCTCCAGCGTGGTCAAAACTTTTGACGTGTCACATAAGTTGTTCATACCCTCTGAATCTTTTGAGCCCGATGCTTTGAATGTATCGCTTGTGGCGATTTTATAAGGGAGCTGAAGGCTTCCATCCAAGTGCAATGATGCCAGCAGCACAACTTCTATGTCTTGTACAAAGTCGTTGCACACCTTGTGAATCATCGCTAGCCGCTCTTCAGGGAGCGTCACGGCATTTGCGTTGTTTTCCTTTAGACGCCGACAAATCATGTCAATATCGCTCCACCAATTCCCAGTTGTCTTCACAATAGCCTCAATCTCTGCATCATGTTTACTGTCTGTCGTATTTATATCACCTTGGCTATCGACACTTGCTGTCAAGGCAGGATGCAAATCCAAACGTAAGTTGTACGATTTCTGAAACAAACACATCACAATATTTGTTAATGTCTGCTTTGCACGAAAAACAAAGTTCAATCTTGTGTACCGCTATCTCGCGTAGCTTTTCCTCTGCGGATGTATCATCCACTAGACCATTAGCGGGACGCAGCAATATACCAACAAAATTCTGGGTGTCGTCCAAAGCAGCAGTGCTCAGCCCAATCTGATGCCGTGTCCGTAGCCACTGTGCCTTGGAAGGTGTTACTGTTGCGGTTGTTGAAAGTACCACGTGAGCTAAGCCTTCGCTCGAGACTTGATGTGTCCAGCAAAGCCACCTTTCAGCGTCCCGGTCATTAAGCAGATTAAAGTCCCGCAAAAAAAACACCAGATGGACAGTTGCTTGACTGGTTTGGGGATTCGCCGACGCGTTTACGTCGTTTTCGTCATTATAATCCTTACTCTGCTGGTCACAGTGTTGCAAGTCTCGTAGCGCAACTAGTAGCGCATCCATCATGACACCTTCTGCTTCAGCTTTCACCCCACCACGAGGATGAAAATCCACTGGAAGATTTCCACGAAAATAACTTTTTAACGCCGCGTATCGAATTGCAATTCTGTGAGCTGCACGTCCCAGTGCTGAAGTTGGTGCAGTGAGTCTCTTGAGAGTATCACAAGTTCGTTCTTCGTAAGACCCCAGCACCTTTGCACCTCCTAAAAGTCTGTTTCAAACACCGGAATTTAATCATTCGTTAGTAGCTCAATCCATCAGATTGTTACAAACACTCAAACCACGTACTTGTTTGTAACAATTACAGGATCATCACCAGCTGAGATTGATAGCAAATATGGGAACTTTGGTGGTGCATTACCCAGCCAAGCAGACGCTCCCGTTGGTTTTGAATCTGATTCGTCACTTGTTTTCTCACTTTCGAAGGTGTCGCGCCATTGCTGAAGCCGCTGCTTTGCATAAAAACCTGTATTCCTGTCATGATATTGCTGAGCTACTTCTCCGACTGCTAAACCTGTTAAAGACGTTAGCGCCGCCACATTCACACCGAGAGATCGAGCATTGCGCAGCATTTCACGACTTTCATCGAGTATTCTAATGGAAGAGGTTTTACAGTATGCGATTAAAGAATATATTAAATATAAAAGGTTCTATGATGAATGGTGTCAGTGTGTTTGATCTTACTCATTACTGATTCAGTTTTGAATTAGATATGTATTAGATACAGTGTCTGTATCAGACTTGATAGATAGAAGCACGTTTGGAGTGGCGTGTGATGTTTTTCATACTGGGTGGACTTTGGTCTACTTAGAGTGAATTCCTCGTTTCTGATGAATCCGCTGAATAAGCGGCCTCAATGAGACCAACCTAAGACTAAAACGACTGATGCTCTCCATTATTATCAAACACATTGACAAAGCAGTTACCATTTAGCTGTTGCGTTTTCCAATGTACACTATTGATTTAGTAATAGTAATGCGCTATAAGAAAGGATACCAACGTGTAGTACTCAGACGACATTGTATCTATGTACGAGGTTTTCAACACCATCGTAGTGTGAGTTGTCGCTACCACCTCCTGCGTGGCTGATAAATATCATCGAATTTCAACATGAGATCAGCTCTAAGTTCAGATATTCCGCTCTCTAGTACTGGAGGTGGCGTATCCGACCGTTAGCACCGAGCACAAACTCAGCTTCATCTTCACTTGGTCGGGGATCTTCACTCGGTCTGACCTCTCCACGTCTACCATTGACATGCTTGACCTCGCGAAAGGGCGGTAGCATTGAGGCTCCTTCAACGGACGAAGGTCTGCTGTAGGTCGTAGACACATCAGATGAGACGCCCTCCATCTCGAAATCGTACTCGTCCAACGATGAAAGACGACGTCCGACTAGACCATCACCGTGTCGGTTTTCATTCGGAAGCCCAACGATAGGGAGACCCGATGACTCGTGGTTTGTTGGACTCAATTCCGCTGCAGTATTGCCTCGAGCGCTCAGCATACTAATGTTCTCTGGCCCAGCATATGGAGACGTGAACTTGTAAAACTGCTCGTTGTCTAGATGGTCATGGTACTCTTCGCTCATCCCGCTGCTGCTGCTACTGCGGGTGGAGAACCGGCCGCGGAAAAAGCTAGTAATGCGCTGGCCCAGGATAGAGCTGGGTCGGCGATCCAGATCCGATGTACCGTCACCATTTCGTACGGACGAAAAGATGCTGTTCGTGTACTCGGAACCCGATACCGACGCCATTGTGGCAAAATCATCCGAGTCCTTCGACATGTTGTCCATAATCGTGTTCAGAATCTCGGCAGCTTGTGGTGCTGAAGGACGATGAGCTGGGTCGTGTGCCCAACATTCCTCTATAAGCTGAGCAAAGCGCTGTGGGCAACATTGTCCAGGATTAATCGGCGGTCGCTGCTCCACAAGCACTTTCTTGCGGACCTCGAAATCAAACTTGGTGTCGCTGAAGGGAACAGCACCATCGGAGGCAATTTCCCACAACACCATACCGAACGAGTACATATCCGTTGCACGACTATACCTACAGTTGTGCGGGTCCTGCAAAATCTCTGGGGCATTCCAGCGCCATGTGCCGGCAAACGACGTAAGTTCACCTGACATACTGGGATTCTGCTCTGGAAAGCTCACAGTACGCTCGCTATACCGCACGCGGTTGACGAAATTGGACACCTTGGAAATCCCAAAATCTGCCAGCTTAGCTTGCCACGTCTCGGTGACCAGAATGTTTGATGCCTTGAGATCACGGTGGATGTACGTCGGGTTGCGCGCGTGCAAGTAGGTGAGACCCTTCGAGACATGAAGGGCCAGCGCCACCTTGCGCCGCCAACCAAGTGGGAAGTGACGTTTAAGTACGTCTTTAAGACTACCCCGTGAGCAATACTCCGTCAGAATTCCCAATTTGCCTTCGAAATACCCGGCGCGCATGAACAACGTGATGTTTGGATGGCGCAGCCGAGAGCATAGCTTTGCCTCTTCGATAAACGCGTCCTCCGAGTTCTGAATAATCGTGCGATAAAGCTCCGCATCCGCCACATTTATCGTACCGCCATTGGGAAGCTTAATGACTTTCATAGCCACCTCAATGCCCAGCCAATGTGCCTTATACACGCTGCCAGCTGCTCCTTCAGCAATGAACGACACGTTCGATAACCCATTCAGCTCCTCTAGAGCTACTACCTCATTGCCCACGTACGTACTTTTCCTCGATTCCTTCACAGTATTGCTACTCGCAGCACTGCTTCCAAACACGCTCCGGTATGATGAAGCTAATACATTAGCAACACCATTGTTGCCGCTACCAGTCAATGGTCGTGTCCCCATGCGATCTCGCTGTCTGTCTCCGTATCGTGAGCTGTTGCTGCTAGACTGCAGCATCGTCTGGTTGTCACGTAGATCGCCTTCATCTCGAGGGAATCTAGCTTCTCCCACATGCCTCACGCCAAAGACGATAGCGTTGAACAATGGTACACTGCATAAACAGCAGCTCGCCACCTCATACGCGATATAACTGACTATGTCCTTGCCAAGAATATAGCATAGTATCATGGGAAGCTGCAGCACTTGTACCACTAAAAAGTAGTGCATAAGCTTCTCGTGCGCTACCCGTAGCGCCTGTTGCGCTTTCAGCTCCCATGTCTTCGTCGACGCCAAAGCAATAGGATGTAAGCTGTTTCCAAGTGACTCTTCCGTCGTCGCAGTGGCCAAGTTGTGAGCCACTTCCTCCCCCGTGTGTAGTTTTCTCCTCTGTAAAAACAATATAACGTTGGCTGTAATGATGCAGCCTACTGATAAGGTGTACACCGAGACGAACAAGTAGCGCAGACACTTGGCCAAAACGTCTGTAACATCGCTGCCCGTGACGCGTGCTTGGAGTCGCGCTGTGGACAGCAGGCCGCAGCCAAGTCCGATAGTCCAAATTATGAGCCAGCTTGTCCGGACGGGGAACTTCTTCATAGGCGGACTCGTGGTTTGGTAGTCATGCGTCCATTGATGCGTCCGTAGAACAAAGATCGCCAGCACGACGCCCCAGAGAAGTGATACCAGGAAACTTACGTGGTAGAGTGAGACGACACTGGCTCCAACAACTGTCCGCGCCTTGACTTTCGTGCCCATGACCATGTCCATGGATTGACTCACTGCCCCTGTTACAGAGAACAACCAGTCCGTCATAATGATCGCGTAGTAAAGCGCAAGGCCTGTCGCATGCGGCGTCGGTAGCGGTGGCTTCCTGCTACAACTGCACCCTCTGTCCCTTCTCCTACCTGGCTCCGGTATCCTCCTGAAGAGCACCACCGCCACTACAGACGAGATGACGGCTGCCATGGAGATCGTGACGAGACGCGCTATCCTTAACGCGTCCTCCATCGATGTCATTCTTATGAGTTTTGTTTACTTTAGTCTCAAGACTCACCGTTGTCGATCCGTGATGAATGAGCCCAAACAAGTTCCAGCTGGTTCTCATGTTCTGCCTTTACTCACGGGTACAGACGGTCTCTCTGACTCTTCTTATCTTGTACTACCTCATCCTTCTACCAATAGCTACATGTAAAGAAAAAACGTTACGACAAATGGAAAGTGCACATCAGAACAATGGCCTTGTATATGCCTAAATTTACACTAGAAATGGTCACGTGTTTGCATGCCTTGAGGCAATTGACACGTCTTGAAAGCAATCCCTAGTACGCATTCAGCCTGTCTCATGAACGAACTCGCAAAGTACCTTGGGTAGCCAAACAAACTCAATCCTACGGTCAATAGGCTGCTGTTCCACGAGGCTTTGACGGGAAATGTAGTACCCAAGAGCTGAGGAAACAGTTCTAGCTAGATTTCAACACTCGTCGAGTTCAGAGATACCCTGAAATTCAAGTACGAGAAGCGGAAGGTATCTCTTTCTAGCATTATAAGGATCCTCGCTTCAAGGAGGTTCAGGAGAAGGTGACATGGGATGCTATAAAGTGGTCATCGAAGATGGTCTACAAGTTTTTCTGACATGATTTGAGGCTCTTACGTGCTTTTTTTGAGTGTCCCCTGTCAAGCCCGTCGGGTTGAATTAGCAGAATGAGCTACATGGTATAGTTGACAAATGATTTGACAGCATCATTCCATGCTTTTTCCATCATAACTATCAAGTTGATGGATCGAATTCATTCCACAATCCGAGCCAAATGAATTCTGTTACGTGGTCATTGTATATTGAAACGCTGCTATCAGGTGCACAGAGTGTCAAACAAGTAGTGCAGAAACTCTGCACGGACAACAATTTGGCTATCGATGCCACCTCGTCTCAAACCAATGGTCAAGTCGTTACGCTCGTGCTACAGACGCTATTGGTCCAGCAGTTATCGTCCAACTACGTGGCGCCATTGATCGAGCAGCAGCTGAAGGAAGATGCGGCTGTCGCGTATACTCACCACCAGCAGCGTTGTGCCGCTGTTTCGCGTGTGGTTGAGGCCGCCATCAGCCAAAAGCTGCTGCGCGACGAGAGTCCACTCACTAACCTCTTCAATTGGAACGCATTCCAGCTACGTCTCGCTAATCTGCGCGCCGCCTTTCCCGAGCCAGAGTTTAATCACGCACTGGCCGTCAAGACGAATCCCACGCGGGGTCTGCTGCGTGGTGCACAAGTCAAAAATTTTGGCGCCGAGTGCGCGTCTGTAGCAGAAGCCAAGCACGCGCTGTCACTCGGGTTTGAACCGCGCAAAATTGTATACGACTCACCTTGCAAGACGCTGGGCGAGCTGCGGGAGATGCTGCTGGCTGGCGTGTACATTAATCTGGACAATGAAGAGGAAATTTGTAAGGTGAACAAGATTTTTGCAGAGCTGAAGGAGTTGGATGAGAAGTGGTCGGAGAAACATGCAGAACAGATTGGACTGCGGATCAATCCCGTAGTGGGTGGTGGAGCCATCGACGCTACCAGCACGGCCACTGTTACGAGCAAGTTTGGACTGCCACTGACAGCGGAGACGAAGCACCGACTACTGACGATCTTTAAGCAGAACCCGTGGCTGCAGGGCGTTCACGTACATGTCGGCTCGCAGGGTTGTTCTCTTGACTTGTTGGCAATGGGGGCCAAGAAAGCGGTGGCTTTTGCGCTGGAAGTTAATGCTCATGTCGGCAATAAACAGGTACGAGTGCTTGACATTGGTGGTGGTTTGCCAACGGTATACGACGGTGGAGAACGAGAAGCTTACGATTTCCAGGAGTACGCGGACGCAGTGCGTCAACAAGTGCCTGAGTTATTTACGAGCGGATTTTCATCCATCATCACGGAATTTGGTCGCAGTATCTTTGTGAAGCCTGGATTGACGGTGTCCAGGGTGGAGGCAGTCAAGAACTGGGCAGGTCAGCATATAGCTGTGGTGCATGTCGGCGCCGACCAATTCCCACGCACAGCGTATTTGCCGAAGCAATGGTCACACTGCATCTCTGTACTAGATAGCAACGGTCGTCCCAAGATGGATTCCAGCAGTACATATTTGCGTCAGGACATTGCTGGCCCGCTTTGCTTCTCCGGTGATTTCCTCGCCAAGCAGTTGCTGTTACCACCTATTCAGGTTGGAGACTTTGTGGTAATCCACGACACTGGAGGCTATACGATGTCTATGCACTCCAAGTACAATAGCCGACAAGTGTCGTCTAACTTCGCCTACTCAGCCAGTGACAGTGACGTCAAGTTTTCGATGCTGAAGGAGCGCGAGACGACGGAAGAAACACTGGCTTGCTGGGGCATCGACCGCGATGTCGAGTTGTAAGCTTAGGTAATTATTGATACACAAAGTGTCGATAGAGCGCAAGGAACAGGTGTCTCTATTTCTCATGTCAGATTCATGTTTGCAGCTCAGCTCTAGCTTGTCACTCATCAGCACAATCAATTGCACCGGTTTCTTCGTCGTGAGACTGTTGTCGCGAGTTAGTAGCCGCTTTCAAGCATGCTGCGTATATAGACCACCTGGCCGAACGCAATGCCCACGAGCACGATATTCGTGATCAGAGACATCCACTTTACCCGCGAGTTTGTGCTCTCCGCAGCTAGAGACAAGAAAACAAAAGCATGTAGGTCAGCACACGTTACTTCACAGGAACTGTACACTACACGATCACGCAAGATACATCAGCAATGATGACGTACTATCACGGCTCAGCCGTTCTCGGTGCTTAAGAAGCGAAATGTCACCACGGAGGGTGAAGACCGACTCTTGGAAGTAAGCCACTTCGTGCATAAGCTCCAACCCGACGTCTGTAAGGAACATCCATAAATTCGTTAGTTCTAGCTATTTCAAATGGTGCACTAAGCATGGATGTACCTTCAACGACGATCTGCGGGAAGTGGTCCTCAGAAGCCTGGTGAACGCCAAATACGACGGCTTCGCTATTACCATCTGCGTGGATCGAAAAGGCAATTGTCTCCTCATTTAGCTTGCTTTCGAAAATCTCAGTGATGTCATAAGCGACGTGACTACCAATCTCCGTCCTGGCGCTATCATACACGTGGTCACGGTAGCCTCCGGTCGCGTAGCTTCCAAGTGTCTCCCACGTAACAGGAGACTGAAGGCGATTGGGCAACAGCGCCAAAACAATGTCCACAAACTCCCCATTCGCGATACTGTCCACCGTCAGCAGCAGTTTAACACGGGTTTGATCATGAAAGATGCTGGGCGAGACACCGGACACGTCGAACTCCAAAATGCCCATTTTGGTAGCTTGTCCATCCACTGTCGCCACCTCCACGTGCGTGCCCGCTAGCACCGTGGGCGCATCCTTGCTAATTGTAGCCGCAGTATTGGGAATCAGTGTCAAGGTCCGAGAGCCAGTTGAAATGAAGTCAAAGGAGTAAAAGAGCGTGATCTTAGAGGACGCGCCTTTAAGCTTGCGAAAGCACAAGTGATACAGTCCGCTCTCGCGCACCGTGGCTGTACTAAAGTTAGTCTGCTGAGCCTTCCATGTCATCACCTCCCGTTGTGACGGGTTTTTCACCTGCAAAATGGTGTTTCAGAGCTACCAAGTAAGCGCTATGGACAGAGAGTACAGAAAGAGGAATGGATCATCTGCCGACGTACCACCACGTCGACTAGATCGTAGCTCTTGGGCTCAAGGATACCGAAACGATAAAGAACTCTGTTATTAGACGCACGGGCATCCACTTTCTCCAAAAAGCATTCCTGAGCAGAAAGTGAGATAAAAAATCATGCGTGATTGAGGAGGAGATTATATCCAAGTATAAAAATAAACAAACCTCCGACTGAGACGTCAACGTGAACTCGAAGCGCGACGCGTAGGTGAAATGAAACATGCAAATGCACAGTAGCAATGCCACCGCTAGAGACAAAAAGCTGTGCATGAGTGTATCTACTGGGCGGTTCTTATAGTGGACGGGGTAGCAAAATGGATCTCCTCGGGTTTAAATGATAATGTGTCTGAAAAGCAACTTTAGTTTGTTAGAGCAACTGTTCCGGAAAAAAGTGCTGCAAAATCGCTACGCACCTTCTTGCTAACCATCCCCCACCCCAAATTTGCTAAAATTTGATTGGTAAGAATGTTCAGCAACCCCATTTCTAAAAGTAGAAGTAGGAAAAGAAGAGAAGCGTTATTACCTTTTTGGCTACCACCAGTACACAATCGGATTGGGAAAATACCCCGTTTTCTTCATTTCTATGTTTCACCAACCGGTAAATCAAAGTTTTTGAAAGTATGCTGTTTAAAAGTCTGTTTCTCTATAGCCGAACTATCTAATTACGCGCAAAGCCGGTCCTCGATCGTTACTTCGTAAAGAGCATACACCTGTCTTTATCTCTAGCTCTTAGTATCATCGCGGCGGTAGTGATTTTACTTTGCTCACTTTCCATTTTTGGGTGATCTGCACACACACACCAAGCCTATTATTAATAGGAGACCAACGTACCGCAACGGACGACGATCTTTCTCCATTCTCAGGAGTTACGTAAACCCCACTCACCGCAATGGTCAAGTTCTTCACTCCCGGTGTGCTTTTGCTAGCCGCCTCTGCCGCTACAGCTGCCGCGTATGCCTCTCACCTACACTTCCACCCGAAGCCGTCTCGACCGTTACCTTCCAAGTCCAGCACGAAAAATCCGCACACGGCCCATCAGCGCAACATCGACGAGATCAACCGTCTAGACGGCTACGATGTCATCATCGTGTGTACGTCTACACCACACCAGGCACAATACTGGCAAGATCGCCTCATGGCTACGCGCGAATCAATCTCACCCAAGGATGCTAAGGTCATCGCTGTGTGTGAGGACTGGGACGGCGGCGCCGGCAACGGCCTCGGCACGCTCTACGCCTACAAGAAGGCGGTGACGGTTGGCAAGGAGCTATACGGCATCGACATCCCGGCGCTCCTCGCCGCTGGCAGCATCAGCGTTGCACTTTACCACACTGCTGGTAAGGGTACACGTCTTGCACCGCTACCTGGCAGCGAGAACAATAATAAGTCAGGTGTGAAGCTGCCGGCCATGGTGGAGGTCAAAGGCAAGTACGTACCCATGACGATCCTTGAAGCGGTGGTGAAGCAGACTGGAGTGTACGCTTCCAGTCGTCGTGGACGATTGTCTGTTTTCTGGGGCGACCAGGTGTTCATCCCGTCGGCTGAAGTCAAGTACCACGCTAAGCACCACATTGACATCCTTGCCGCGCTTGCTCCCATGCCCTCGGAGACGGAGTGGAAAGAGAAGGGCCTGGAGAAATATGGTCTGATCGTGGTGAACCAGCAGGATAATGCCGCACAGGTCGACAAGGTCACTCACGAGACTGCTGTTCGTTTGCTGTCTTCTTTCGGCGAGATGAAATCAGTGGGCACCAGTCTCGGATCGTTTAGCGTTGATGCTGACATGCTTCGAGCGTTGTTGAGCGAGTTTTCGAAGGAGCTGGCTGCTAAGTCTGGCAAGCTCGACAGTGACCCACACTTCTGGATGCCGCTGACGCTTGATCTCGACGCGTACACGGAGGTGATGACACAGAAAGGCGTCGATAAGGTGGAGTCGACTGCACACTACCAGCGTATGCAGACGATGATTGCTACCTTCAAGAAGACTCGGACGAAGGAACTTAAGCTTTTTGGCTGCATTGACGTTGGCAGCGATGTGTACTGGTGGGATTATGGTCAACTAAAACTTTATCTGAAGAACAACCGTCTTGTGACCAAGCCTGGCGTCGAGTCGGACTGCTTGCGCTCTTTCCTAGGCATCAGCAACAACATGGAGCACAGCAATGTCGGTGTGCATGCGATAATTAACGAGGCAACGGTCTTGAACAGTGAGATTGAGCTTGGTGACATCAAGCATAGCGTGCTTAGCGGTGTTTACGCGAAGGAGGTCAATGCGGATGGCTCGATTCTGATCAATGTGACTGCGCGCTCGATCACAGCGCTTAACTGCGTAGTGTACAATGTCACCTCGGATGAGGTCGATGGTCTCTGCCTTGAGGAAGGCAGCGTCGTCGTCGGCGTGTTACTGCCCAATGGCAAGAAGGTTGTGATGCGCTCGAGCATGAACGTGTGCGGTGGCCAGGCATGGAAGACTGTGCTGCAGGAAAACCAACACTCGTTCAAGAATATCTATGAGCTTAACGCGGACGCGAACGTGTCGAAGTTAGAGAAGTTGATTCAGGACGAACATATGAAGATGCGCGCGGTAGTGATGTCGTAAAGGTGCACGGTAGATAAACTCACCGATTGCCAATAGAAATTTCATTTCATTCATTATTTTTGTAAATTAGCGTTATAGGCAAGTATCAGAATAGGGTGCGCCATATCAGCTCATTTTTACATCGTACTTGATTAGAAATTCAAGTGGAAAAATAATAAATATACACCAGAAAATATAAATATACCATTGTAACACAATGACAAATTTTAGTGCCAAGCAAGAAATTGATCATTTGTGTATTATTCGCAAATTTCTTGGCTCAACAATGTAGTCCTGTCTCGAGTTTCGATACGAGCAAGTAATCATCGAACGGCTACTTGGTGTGTTTTTAATTCACTTCGCCAAAAAAGGTCAAGATTAATTGACTAGTGTGCCAATGCAATTCCAACACTCCCCCTCAATTGACACTATCAATTATGTGCACCCCATCTTGGTTTCTCCTGCTTGGCTATCTTTTTGCCATCCTTTCAGCGAGACAACCTCTTTTGTGCACGCGGCGGGAATTGAACTCGCGTCAGTTGGGCCCATAACCTGTTAAATAAGCAAGCTGGACGCAGAGGCGATCCTCGGACCGCTGGCGGTCGATACACTGCCGCCACTTTTGACCCACACATCACGTATTCAACATTCACCTATTAATTCTGAAATCCTATCGATTAATCCGGCTCATGAAGAAGCTCAAGTGCCACTTCCGACCTATAATTTTGTGGCACCGCGCACCCAACGGTCGCCAGCACCGACACAAGATTCAGGTTCATCTCCAGGACTAGCTCTATCTCAAATTTTCGCTCCAGACCCAAGTTCTCCATCGCCAGCTTCAAGTCCTTTCCTCGCACCTCCAGTGCTAGCGCCACATACGGTACCCCGGATCAAGGAAGTCAAGTGTGAGATGTTTATCGACAAGGATAAATGCCCTGGTCTTGGATGCGGCTTTGATCTTTATATGCGCAAGTTTCAACAAGCCATTCTAAGTGAAAGTCGACGTAACAACTCGACGTATACGGATGAATTACGTGAGACGTTTCTCGTCACCTTTCTTGACGGATCCGCCTCGGACTTTATTTTCAGTTCCTGGACGAGTTAATCGACTCACACAATCGCAATCCTTCGTGCCAAGAAGTATAAGCAGCTTTGCGTGAAGAGTTCCGGTGCAAGCTATCGCAAATCACGCCTGAGCGACTATCGAAACAAGCCTAAGAAACCAGAGCAAACATGGCGCGGGTACTACGCATGTCTGCGCTACGTTGGGAAAGAAATGGGCGGTGATAAAAACGCCCTTATCCTGGAGGCATTTTGAAAAATGTCTCTACCGATCCAGGGATCCAGCTTCAGCTCGCCAGCGTCGTCGACTAAAACGCTATCAACATCAACGACGAAATTGATAAAGCTTTTACGCTCTGACGAAGCTTTTGGGTGATGGCCGCAAGTCGAGTAGCCACAGCCAGCGTCCTACAAATGCAAAGGCAAATGTAAATAGAGCATCTGCAGCTTCAGTGACAGCAACAATGTAACGGGGTTACACGACGGTTGTAACATCATTCCGAGAGTCTAAGTTCCCTTGTATTGCATATAATGCATTATGATACTTCTCTTTAGAGAGGTATTAAGTATAAGCGTTAAAGATACGGTATTCGGTAATACCGTATCTTATCGATTAGGATTCGATAAATCGATAACGCTGTATTAAGTACATCATACACAGATGTTTAGACGATACGTCGTCCAATAGCAAAGTCTGCATATAATAATTACTATTATAGTAATTAATCTAGTGTAGTGTACTTAGAGTAGGACTATTCATAAAATCTTAAAGCATAAATAAAATCAGTTCTCCTTTGAGTTTAAGATCGCAAGTCGTTCTGACTTTTTCTCTTGTGCACTTCGTGCGTTGGTTCTCTGAACCTTAAGCTTATTGCTTGCTGACTAAGAGTCTCTTTCCTCGTTCCTTAGAACAGGGTGACTTTAAGTCGTTTAATTAGTTCCTTAGAACTAAGTGGCTTTTAGCCTTAACTCTATTTAGTTATCTAGAACTAAGAGGCTTCCAGCCTAAAGTCTTCCTCTGGATAAAGAGCTGTGCAGCTCCGCTACACTTGGTAGCACTTGTTGTAACGGGCTAAGGACCCGTTACCGTCTTACACTAAAAGGGCGTTGAGGAAGCGCTCTTAATTAACTCGTAAATATAACTCTGTTTTATTTTTGTTTTAGTTTTAATTCGCAGTAAGTGCGAATATGCTCCCTAGCTCATGGGAACCACTCAAATATGGAAGTCAATTTATTATTGGCTAATTATTGGGTCTGGCACCCCAATAATAAACCAATAATAAAATGACGCGCAGTATCCGCTAATCGGATACTGCCCTATGCCTACTTATGTAATTAGTATTAATCCTATAACTACTCATGTAATAGGTTGCCCCATTACATCACCCCCCTCTTTAAGTTGTGCTTACTACAACGTAAGCACATAACTTGAAAATGATTCTTTTCACAAAAGATGCAGCGACACGACCTCGAACCTGCTCAGTGACACGCAACTGAGCAGCATGACCCTGGCCGCGCGCGCAAGGATATATCTGACGACAACAACCGTAAGATCTGCATGGAGCAGACACTGCGAGTCACGGACGCACACTTGATCCCGTGGACGCTATACCGTTATATCAGCGCTAATCATCCAGAATTGGGAGAACTCATAACGAAACTCTTCATTCGCTATCATTCCGTTGGTGCAGTGGTTTACCACTGAGTTCTTGATCTTGATGTCGCTGGTTCGATCCCCACGTCCGCCATATTCGATTCGCTATGGCAACCCACATAGTCGCAAATGCCATCCAAGTTTTCTCGAGCCTCATAATAGATCTCAGAATCGCTCGGGGAGTCGTCGTCAAAGTTCTGTTGCTCGCGAGCATCACGGCTCGCGAGATTGGGGATGGAATCGGCAGCATCACTCGCAATAGCCGTCTTCCTACGCGACTCATAATCCTCGACCACGTCTAGTACATCTTGGAACAGCGTACTCGATGGCTCCCATGTATCGTCCGCCGGGGAATATCCCAACCAGCGAACCCTGTAATGCTTCTCGACACGCTTCTTCATGGGCGCCGAGTCATTACTCGGCGCATAAAACTTATGATCCTCGTGATCGACAATTCGGTCGACAATCCAGCGTCGCACACCCGATGCATCCACTAAGGGAGGAGGAGCATCACGACGGAAGACCTCTGGCGATGGGCACCGATTCTCGTAATCGGGCTCCTGTGCAGTCGAATAATGAGCTGCGTCTACTTCACGCTGAAGTCGAGGAATCGAAGAATGCCCTACTTGATGCTCGCGAGATGGTTGAAAGAGCTTGGATGCTGCGATTGAGTCTGCACGCGCTCGGGCAGGACTTGGTCCCAGTCGTCGTCAACGTCGTCGTCAAGGGATGTCGGATTTCGAGCCGCCGCAGAAGAGCGGGGAAGATTCGAAGGGAGATCCGCCGGCAGGTAAGCCTTGAGGCGCCCGACGTAGAACGTCGGGTGCAAACGCATAGATGTAGGTATGTCTAGCGTGTAAGCGTCACCATGCACCTTAACAACCCCAAATAAATATATATCTTGGCGCTAACTTATTAGCGCCCAAATTCGTCACTGAGGTGTTCGGTAGTCCACTTGTTAATAATAATAATACTCTGTCACCTTCTTGAAATGTCAACATATTCTTTCGTCCTCTTCTGTCTGCAGTCTCCTTTTGCTTGTCGACTGCCTCTTGTAATGCATCACGCACAAAACGCGTGATTCCTTGTCGTAATAGTAGGAATTCGGTTACTGCAGCCGACTTACAGGCGATGTATTCTCTTTTGGAGCAAAATTGGCAACGGAAGACGCGATGGAAAGCATCGCGTCAGGAGTCGATTTGCCGTTGTCCACGAAATTACCAGTATTAGGTGCATCGGCAGCAACCTTATGCGCATCGTAATCAATCATCAATAGTTTCGGCGCAATTCCATCCGTAGATACTCCCCCACCAAGCTTGGAAACAGGGTGTTCTGAAGCTGAGAGAGCAAGCAGCGCCGGAACGCGAGGATGCCTCGCGTTGTTAACGAAAAAGGGGGTCAACCCGGTTGACGCGTGGACAGCATTGTTGATTGCAAACTCTGCAAGGGGAAGAAATAAACTCTATCACGAGAACGTTGTTGCATAACTGCGCAAGACATCTTCGAGAACTCTGTTCACACGCTCCGTTTGCCCATCCGTCTCTGGATGGGCCGCCGTATACATAAGCAACCGCGTGACTAATAGCTGGAACAATTCGGCCCAGAAAGCCGAAGTGAAACGCGGGTCACGGTCCGAAAGAATAGATTCTGGCAAGCCGTGATGCCTAAAGATAAGATCAATGAAGATCTTCGCTGTCGTCCCTGCCGTAATGTGGGCGGAGACCGGAGAAAAATGCACCTTTTTGCTGAATCGATACACTAAAACCAATACGCCCGTGCGTTTCTGTTCATCCGGTGGAAGGCCAAAGATAAAATCCATGCTGACCGAGCGCCAGGCTTCCGTAGCAATCGGAAGCGGACGCAATGGGGCTTGTGAAGACGGCGCGGGCTTCACACGCTGACAGGTTTCACAGGAGCGCACCCATTTCTGGATGTACTTATACATTCGAGGCCAGAAAAATACGCGAGAAATAGCCGCAAACGTTTTCTCGCGACCCAGGTATCCGCCAGCTGGGCTGTCGGGAAACTCATGAACCAATCGGGCTCGAAGGTCGTCATCAGCAGGGATGACGACACGCGGGGAATTAAAGACATCCATCGTGTACGTCAGCAACGGACCGTCAAGCGCGTAACGCTTGATGTTGTCGCGTGTTGGTTTCGTCAACTTCGCGAGTAATTTTTCGCTCGGGTCCCTGAGATAGTTGATGATTCCTGCATAGAAGGAATCATTCGCGTAAGATTCAGCGATCTGAGTTCGGATCGAAAGCACGGGTGTCGATTTCACGCATTGATTCCCATTCCAATACAACACGCACAGATATCATCGTTGGCATCAGCATTCTCTGTTTGATGGCCTATGTCGCGCTGAGGATCGTAATCAGGACGACGAGAAAGCGCGTCAGCGAGAATGTTATTCTTGCCAGGCTTGTAATGCACCACAAAATTATACTCGGCGAAGAATGACAATCACCTTGCCATACGTTAGGACAGGTAAGGACGCTTGACCACGGCACGCAATGATGCGTGATCTGTGTAGATATAAAACATCTTTTCGCCGAGAAAATATACTCTAAACTTGATTACATAGCTAAAAGTTCCTAGTCGTGTACCGGATAATTTTTCTCGGCAGGTTTCATCTGTCGTGATTGATAACTCACGACGCGCTCTCGACCCTCGTCATCAAATTGCATGAGGGCACATCCTATAGCGAAATTGCTCGCGTCACACACGACGTGGAATGGCTTAGAGTCGTCAGGTAACATCAGCAATGGTGCCTCGGATAATACTTTCCATGACCAGACTGCATCTTTCTTGAGCAAAGTCGATATTGGCTGAATTAGCTTAGCATAATTCTTCGTATACTTATGCAATTAATTCGCCAGACCGATCCATTGACGTAATTCAGTTTGGTTTCTGGGCGTTGGCCAGGAACAGATCGATGAGATCTTCTCAGGATCAGCGCGGACACCTTCCTTGCTGACGTAGCAACCGAGTACTGGAATCTCGGGAGCGCAGAAGACACATTTCTTCAAATTCGCATACAATTTATTCTCGCGCATAACTTGAAACTCCTGCTTCAAGTGTCGAAGGTGTACCTCCGTAGCGCTGAGCTTTTCCTCAGCGCGACTGTGAACGAAAATGTCGTCAAAGTAGCTTGGTGCAAAATCGCGAAGTGGGCGAAGTACTTGTGTCACCATCCGATTAAACGTATTTGGAGCGCTCTTAAACCCTTGTAGCATGACTAACTACTCCCAAAGCATCCCGCTTGGGGTGCTGATCACAGTGAACGGAATGTCACTGTCCCTCATAAGGATCTGATAGAAGCCTTCTGTCAAATCTATGGCGCTGTAGATCTCCCGGACATGGTATTTAATACCATGTCTTTTCGAGGGATAGGCGTTTGAGCCGGGATCGTGGCGTCATTCAGCTTGTTGAAGGCGTGCACAATGCGCCAACCGCCGGTGGATTTATTCACACAGAAAGTCGGACTCGAATGTGGCAAGATACTCTCGCGGACATGGCCAGCCTTGCGGCGACCCTCGAAAAATTCATCAATAGCGATGACTTGGTCGCGTGGTAACGGCCACTGCCGTGTCACGCAATATTTCGATCCTGGCACGAGATCTATCTCGTGCCGCACACCACGATCCGCCGGAAGCTCAGCTGGAATTTTCTCCGGGAAAATATCGGCGTACTCACGGGCGATATCGTATACAGGGTTGCCTAAAGCACGAAGAGCATCACAAGACTGTGCCGCGAAGCGCTCTTCGCGCGCTGATTTAGGCTCGGCGCTCTTCGGGCGAGCCTCCAGAACGTCTTCACTGGCTGCTTCGGTGGCTGAAACGATGCACACTTGTTCGATGTCGCCGGCCTTGAGGTCATGAAGGAAGTCTTTCCATGTAAGGTCTGGCAGAGATGTGATATCTGCAGCAGTGCACGGTGGACTCGCTACCTCAATGTAGCGGCCACGATGTGGGGATCCCTCCACATATTCAAGCGCGCATACGGATTCCGTCACTACGGAATCAAATGCATCAGCATGTTGACGTGAATTGCGTCGTCTCGGTGATCGGCGTGCTCCTTTCTTGCGTTTTCTCTTGCGCCTCGAGCCCCTGCTCGAGACTGGCACGTCGCTATCACAAGAGGATGATGTACCCCCCTCTAGACGTGGGAGCTCTGTCTCCACCACGTCGGTCTCATGCGGATCCGTAGTCCGCCCATTCTCGTCAATCAAAAGCGGGAGCTCGTCTTCGACCGCTTCACTTGTATGCGGGAGCCCCTGCTCGATCGCCTCGAAATTGATCGGGAGCCTCTGCTCGTCCGATGTGCTTGTATGCGGGAGCCCCTGCTCGACCGCCTCAAAATTGATCGGGAGCCTCTGCTCGTCCGATTTGCTAGTATGCGGGAGCCCCTGCTCGACCGCCTCGCTGTGAATCGGGAACCCCGGTTAGACCGATGTGTGTGTGTGCGGGAACCGCTGTTCAACCGCCTCGCTGTGAATCGGGAACCCCTGTTCGACCGATGTCTGTGTCTGCGGGAACCGCTGTTCGACCGCTTCGTTCTGTGGCTCCATCAGTGTAACGGAACATACTGCGCACAGAGGGCCATCGCTCTCTCTGTGTTGACTACTAGTCGTGGCGAGTTCGTTCACGACCCTGACGTGAGGCCAATCGGATGAAGCGACCAACAAATGAGTAAACACTTCACTGACGTCATAACCGCTTCTTCGTTTGACGGACCGAAAAAGCCAATCTATCTTCGGCTGATACCGTGACAGCCACGGTATCCCAAGTATGCAATCAAATGCATAGTTCATCTCGTACACCAAAAATTCGTCGTTGCTCTGGAAACCGTCGAAAGTGTACGGTAAAACCACTGTTTTTCGCGGGACACGTTTTGGTTGTCCATCGGCAAGTTTGACAACGATGTCACCTGGACTTTCTCAAACCATGACAGTCGACGGGAGAAGGGAAAACAGGTTGCACGGAAGAAGTTGTTGGAAGCGCCAGAATCCAACAACGTTCCGAGTGGTCGCTTCACTCCAGCGACGATGAGACTGATGATAATCAGTCTCGAATCATCGCGCATGGTGGTGGCATTGAAGTGAGTATGAATCACTTTAAGGCTAGTAGCCCGAGCTGCCACCTGAGTACTCGGGGCTTCATTTATGCCAGTAGGGCGCCCCGCGCCTACTGGAACCGCTCGTTTTTTGGCGGGACCACCGACGACACAGCGTCTCCTCGTGAGACAGCTGTGTTCATCGTCACCGGCGCAGGTGCACGACAGACAGCCGCACGATGGCCTGTTTTACCACAGCGAAAACACTTCATCGTGTTAGGATTACGAATGTCGCGGCCTAATGATTCGCCGCGACCACGAGAGGACTCAATTGCATCAATTTCCATTGGCTCTGGGCCAGACGTCCGGGAATGTTGTGACGCTGCGTGCAGGTACGACGACGCGACAGTGTAATCCTCACGAAGCGCGAGGGCAAATGCCTCCTCGAGGGACTTTGGCTCAGCACGTGTGAGGCAGTAACGCTTCATGCCCTCTTGCATACCAAAAATAAAGACATGGACTTGTGAAGCCATGTCAATTGGCTGCGTGGTAATGCACGAAGCAAGATGACGTGTCTTCTGCACGTAGTCACGCATCGACAGCTTGCCCTGTCTGAGTAAAAAGACCTCTGCACGAAAGCGAGATTCATCTTGAGGAGGCTCGAAAGCCAGTCGTAAGTCACGCTGGATATCGTCCAGCGTAGGAAACGCTGACTCATCTACGACGAGCTTTCCGAGAGCCCATTCCTTGGCTTTGCCGGCAAGACGAGACAACAGGAAATTGACCTTGGCCGTCGGAGCGTTAATTAATCTTGACGCTATTGCAATATCCACCTCGCGAAACCAGCGATTGAGGGGGAGACGATCCGGACCATCACCGGAGTACGTTGACGTCTCCATCTTGATAGCGTCATGGTGCGAAGTGCGCGAGGGAGTCAATACTCGCCGATTCGCTTCGGCGAGCTCGCGCACCATAAAGTCTTGAACGGCGGCACGTTGATCATCAGGCGTTGCGGTGCTCAGCAGCGACGTCACAATAGTTTCACCAGACACCGCCGCGAGGCGATGTAGTGCCTGCTCCAGCGAGGTGCTACCAGGTGTAACGGGCTAAGGACCCGTTACCGTCTTACACTAAAAGGGCGTTGAGGAAGCGCTCTTAATTAACTCGTAAATATAACTCTGTTTTATTTTTGTTTTAGTTTTAATTCGCAGTAAGTGCGAATATGTTCCCTAGCTCATGGGAACCACTCAATATGGAAGTCAATTTATTATTGGCTAATTATTGGGTCTGGCACCCCAATAATAAACCAATAATAAAATGACGTGCAGTATCCGCTAATCGGATACTGCCCTATGCCTACTTATGTAATTATGTATTAATCCTATAACTACTCATGTAATAGGTTGCCCCATGTACACTTGTAGTCAATCCTACACCTGAGTCTTTAAAGACTGACCCTCTGTGAGGATGGAGAATCAAAATCACCTCTTGAAGCGCAACGACTCGCCTTCAATAAACTATCTGCGTTCGTCGGGCCCGATCATATCGAGGCCCTTTTGGCCCAAGGTCCCGAGGTTCTAAATGCTCGTCTTAAGGCCTTGATGCGTTATGAAGAAACGCTCTTCGGGCAGGTCCATGACCAGGCAGCGTCAGCTGCGCCTACACATTACATCCCGGTACCTGTGCCCTATACAGAGCCAAAGGCTCGCCCACTTGTTTTAAACGTAAAGACCTTTGAGGGGAAGGAGGGAGAAAATCGTCTCCTCTGGATACGAGAAGTTGAAATGGTAATGGATGCAGCCATGCTTGTATCAGATAAGCAACGAGTGGGCTTGGCCATTTCGAAGCTCGGTGAAAGAGCTAGAGAATGGAGTCTAACGAGCGATGTCTCTGTAAATGCTGCATTCCCCACATGGGAAATGCTTAAAAAGCAATTAACTTGCGTGTTTGCACCGCCTAGTCAGGCTTATGTGTGCGCTCACGCTTCTTAGCTACCCGACAGGGTAAGAAAGAATTGTCGGACTATGTCCAAGAGTTGAGAACTCTCATTGCTGCTATGCAGCAAGATCCTCTGGCAGAGGAAGTCCGAGTAACCATTTTTATGGAAGGACTTCGCACTGGGGTCGCCAGGACGGAAGTTTTCCGTGTCCAGCTTTCTACTTTCGAAGAGGCAGTGATCATAGCGTGTAACGCTGAATGTAAATTAAAATCTGCTCGCTATGGTCTGCCATGCTATAATTTAAATGCCTCTAACAGGGCGCAACCCATAAACCTCAGCAATGCTGAAGAAGCTGAGCTTCAAGCTGTTAGGCAGCAAGATAACATCCGTAGATGTTGCATGTGCGGAAGCAATAGGCATCTCCGCCTTATCTGTACGTTGCGAAAGCAACGTTCAAATCGGCAGAGCCGAAACCCCGCTACTAGCGAAAAGGCGAGCACGGCAGGGGAAAACGTCAGCTCCCAGTAGGGCGCGGGGCGCCCTACTGGGAAAGAACTAAGCTCTGTTGAACCTCTAGGAGGTAAAGATAAGCAGGGCTTAGCCCCAGGTGGTTCTGTAGATGCTTCATGGAACACGATTACAAGCCAGGCTTGTTGGTTGTGTCGGCAACCGTTAAATTTTTTTGAGAAACAATGGTCAATTTTAATTGACTCAGGGGCGTCGAATAATTATGTCCGACGTCGTTCCCTTGGAGGAAATCAGCTGTATTCTGAGGCGCTAAGAACGCAAGAGGGTGGCAGTATAACAGTACGTCTCGCAACAGGTGTACGTGTCACCGTTCCTTAAGTTCCATTGAACTTAGGTATAAAGTTCTTAGACTTCAATAGTGTTGAACACTGCCTTGTCCTAGATTTGGACTCGAGATATGATCTCATTATTGGTATCGCTTGGATTGAACGCCCTGAGCCATGGATTGATTGGAGATCTAAAACCTTAGGCACAACGCGCAATGTTCCTAGCGAAGCTTTGGAGAGTCAAGAACCCACCTTCGCTAGGAAACAGAAGCGCTATTGGCGCGAGCCATTAAGTGATTCAGTTAGCGTGCTGGAAATTGCAGTGTCTGAGTTGATAAACTTCAATTTCAACGACAATAGTGTCGAGCAGAGCTCAATGACACCTAGTGAAACGGCACATTCTCCGTTGAGTGATACTCATAGTAAGATTGAGATACTGGATGTCAATAATGACATCGGCTCTCGTATAGAAGCAAGTTAAGGTCGATGACCTTGTTTGTGATATTGGCTGTACATGCGATTCACTGGATGTCGGTAATGACATCGGCTCTTGTATAGATTAAGTAAAGGTTGATGAACTTGTTAGTGATATTGGCTGTAAATGCGATTCACTGGATGTCGGTAATGACATCGGATCTCGTATAGAGCAAGTTAAGGTCGATGACCTTGGTAGTGAAGTCACTGGTAATAGCGACTCACTAGATGTCGGTAATGACATCGGCTCTTGTATAGAGCAAGTCAAGGTCGAGGAATCTATCGACCTTGGGGATGATGGTATCCCAAGTACTTTAGAACGTACGGTATCGTCAATGAGACGGCAGCGTCACCAGATGGCAGCTGTGAGACGCAAAGCGTCTGTTATATCGCGTAGTAATGTCAGTGACCAGTTGTATACCCTGGTCAACGGAGTGGCAGGTGATGTAGATGGTCAGGTTGATCTTGAGTCCCTCCCATAATTAAATGCTCTCTTAGAGCTAGACGAAATGTCTGTGGATGAATTTCATCAAGCCTTGAAGGCAGGTGAATTATCCGATATGGTGGTCATTCGACCTAACCTCGAGCTGAACTCATCCTCGCTTGTCGATGAGACAGTCCTCGAAGATACAAAGGCGGCACTTAGTGCACGTAGTGGAGCACCTATTCTGAAGAACCCTTCAGATCCCCACTATCATTTAGCTAAGGAATTCCGGGACGTCGTGTGTCGCGATCCACCGTCAGTTCTACCGCCTGATAGGGGTGTACGTCATGAGATTGACTTGGTTCCTGGAACCATATACTGCGTCACACGGCAGTGGCCTTTACCCAAAGAACAGTGTGACGTCATTGACGAGTTCTTTCGTGTAAAGCACGTGGCGGGTATGGTGCACGAGAGCAAATCTCCGCACTCGACACCCACTTTCTGAGTTAAGAAACCGAATGGTAAGTGGCGTATCGTTCATGCTTATAATAAGCTCAATGCCGCCACTATACCTGCACAGACGCCGATAATCAGAATAGACGTTCTTCAGAACAATATGGTCGGGTGTACCATGTAAAGTGATCTCGACTTAGTCGATGGTTATTACCAATTGCTTATGCGAGCTAGTGATATCTCGCTAATGCTGTAAGTACTCCGAGCGGTATGCTCTGGGAGTGCTCTAGGGGCTATCGAATGCTCCGGCTACGTTTAACCGTTTGGTGACGCAATTGTTTCGACCCCATCGAAATTATGCACAGACGTACTTTGATGACATTTTGTCCATAGTCGTGCTGAACATAAGCGGTCCGATACCGAGAAACATATTTTTCATTTACGAGCTGTGCTCGAGTGCATGCGCATTAATAAGCTATGTGCTAATGCACATAAGTGCGTCTTCGGGGCCGAAGAAATTCCCTTTTTAGGGTGCTTCATTGGGAAGCGAGGCCTAAGAGCGGATCCCGCCAAGGTCAAAGCCATAGTTTATTGGCCTGTTCCAAAGTCTCAGAAGGACTTGCGTAAATGGCTTGGTCTTTCCAATTGCTTACACAAGTACAGCGAGAATTACGCTGATATGGCTCGGCCATTATCCAATCTCCTTAAAAAGGATGTGGAATGGTGTTGGCATGCCGAACATGAGGATGCTTTTCAAGCGGTGAAGGCTAGCCTTCTTCATGCTCCTATTTTAGCTTTTCCAGACCCTGACCGACCGTTTAGCGTCGTCTGTGACGCGTCGGATTTTGCCTTTGGCAGTGCCCTGTTACAAACAGATGATGAAGGTCGTGAGCGTGTAATCGCTTGTGAAATCTCGCCAGCTGAAAGCTGCAGAAAGAACTATCCAGTTCATGACAAAGAGCTACTTGCAATGAAGTATGCTCTGGTCAAATTCAGAGTTCATCTGCTGGGCTCAAAGCCTTTTGTGATCGATACCGATCATGCGTCTTTAGGCACTGCGACTCAATCGCCGCATCTCTCGCAGAGAATGTCCCGATGGCTGTCATTCTTTGCCGAATATAATTTCGAGGTGAAATATAAGCAGGGTGAGCAAAATGCTTTGGCTGATGCGTTGTCACGCAGACCTGACTATGAGCTTGCTCATGTTACGACGTTGTCGTCTTCTATCATTGATCTCATTATACAGTGATCATTTTTAGCATACGCCGATCGGCAGTGATGAGTTTAAAGACTCGGACATTAAATTGTCGTCACGATTACGTGCGAGCTTCCATCGATATTCTATCGATCAGGGGCTGTTGTACTATTGTACAGATGTGGGGGATCCTCCGCGTATGGTGGTTCCTCATGACGAGGATTTGAAGTATCGTATCCTCTATGAGGTACATGAAACCGCCATCGGTGGTCATTTGGGTCGTAAAAAGATCTATGGGGCGGTATGCCAAAGTATTGGTGGCCCAAATTATATAAATGGGTGAGCACGTATGTGCGTACGTGTGAAACGTGTGAACGGGTGAAACCCTCGCCCCATTTGGCGGCGCCGCTGGCTAATTTGCCTATTGCCACTGGGTGCTGGGAGTCCATTAGTATGGACTTTTTGTTTGGGCCTACCGAAAGATTCGCATGGCAATGCAGGTATTGTGGTCTTTGTTGACCGTTCGAGCAAGATGGATCACTTAGCGGCTGTGCCAGACTCGATCGAGGGTGAGGGTACAGCGGAGCTGTTTATTGATCGTGTGTTTCTCTAACATGGCTTGCCAGTGGCAATTGTTTCTCACCGTGATCCTCGTTTTACGAGTAAATTTTGGAAGTCCGTCTTCCAGGTGCTGGGCACCCGTTTGGACATGTCCACAGCGGATCATCCGCAGACCGATGGTTAAACCGAACGCGTAAAGCGTGTTGTTGAAGATAACTTCCGCAGCGTATGTGCTGAAACGCCTAAGCGATGGAGCTCTATGCTCCCTGTAGTTAAGTTTGCACTCAATAACTCTGTACACGCCTCTACCGGCTACACTCCGTTCTATGTACACACCCACGCGTTCCGTTAACGCTACCACCGAGTGTTTCAGGGCTTGGTGGGGAGAGATTGCCGATCGGCTTGCTGATGTCAGCCCAAATACTGTTAAAAAACAGGTGAATACGTTTCTCGCAACGCGACTAAATGTCTTACGACATGTGGAAGATGCAATGGCTGATAGTCAAGACAAACAAAAAGAATATGCGGATGCTAAAGGAAGAAGTTGAATTGATGATTATGAGGTCGGAGACCAAGTATTAATTGATGCTAAAAACCTACCTACCAATGTAGTATCTGCTGTCTTTAAGACAAAGTTGCGTACGCGCTTTATCGATCCCTTTACGGTCGATGCCAAGAAAGGCCTAGCGTATACGCTTAATTTTCCGCGCAAATTGCGTACACATCCCGTGTTCTATGTTGGCATGCTCAAAGCATATTGGGATCCGTCCCAAGTAAACACTAAGGCGCTCGCGCCGAGCCCATCGGCATTGCCGCGGGACGGATCATCTGCACCAAAAGGTCAAGCTGACCCTGCAATCGGGTTCGGCTCTATTCCAGCGACTCGAGGCAGGAAATCATCGACTGTACAGTATCACGGAGAGAGCGCACCTCTTGAAGAAGCTCGGCATGAGCGTGTGCCGGTACACCGGACTCCTCTGGCTTTGCTTGATGGACAGAGAAACCTTCAGTTCCATGTTGAACGTCTACTGCAGAAGCGTCGCCACCAAGTATCTGGTGAAGTGGCGGGGATATCCCGAGTCGTGGAACTCATGGGAGTTCGAGGTTCCCCATAGGCAGGATTGTCCATACGCCGTGGACGTATTTAAGCGTCGTGCGCAGGGCCAATCTGTTGGTGATGACGTTTCTCACCAGTAGTGGTGAGGGTAGGCGAGTTAGTGGCCTCGGCCTGTCGTGAACTCGTGGCTACAGGTGAAGCCGAAACATTGAGGTGCTGGGTAGCAGACGCATAATGCGTTCGTTAGGATTTCAATTTCCCCGGGCCTTCAATTTAGCGTAATCGTAACGCATTTTTCGTTCGAGACGAATATCTACCACATCGGCACTTGCCCGTAGGGCCCACATTCTGCTTAAACGTCGCGCATAATGCGCTTATCGGCTAAAAGACGTGTCTTCTTCTTCCTCGGTTTCTCCCGCGAACAGAAGGATGGGAACACCCTTTATAGGAGGAGCTGGTGCACCGCGCACTTGCCTGTTGAGGCGTGCCAAGTAGTTGGCTTTGCGTAGTGATATGAGGTTCCAGATAGCGTTGTCGAAGAGCCGTTCGCGTAGCAACATCCTCGGGCGAAATGGCCTCAGGCCCAATGGCCCAGCCAGAAAGGGAATGTCCCGATGCCTCCTTAAGGCGTTCTTCCATTGTAGGTGGTTTGAACCTTACTTTCGGTGGTCCTGAAGCCTCACCATATTCTTTGTCCGGCTTGGCGCCTTCAGCATCGGTCGATGGTCTGCTGCTGCTACCCGTCGAGTGGGTTATTAACCGTCACTGTTGACGATACGTCAGGCGGGTCACGTAACGCTGTTAGCGCATCTGTAGTACCGCGTTCAGGGAACGGATTCGATGTCATCTTCACATGCAGGGGTAGTTAAAGGGGACCCATCGGGTCCCACAAACACGGTGTCACTTTTGTAATTAACCGCTTCGTTAAGGTCGCCTTCGATGAGGTCCCTTAGAGTCTGTGACTCATTGCCAGGAGGCGTCATGTTATGCGCCGTGAACAAACCGTAAGTTTTTAACGTTCGCTAAAGCACTACCTCTAAGAAAAAGATGTCGAATGACATTCTATGGGAACGTCAGTATGGTGGGGGAGGGTGTAACGGGGTTACACGACGGTTGTAACATCATTCCGAGAGTCTACGATTGAAGTTTTCTTTTATTGCATATAATGTATTTTGATGCTTCTCTTTAGAGAGGTAATAAGTATAAGCGTTAAAGATACGGTATTACCGAATACCGTATCTTTAACGCTTATACTTAATACCTCTAAAAGATAAAGCTGTACTAAGTACATCATACACAGATGTTTAGACGATACGTCGTCCAATAGCAAAGTCTGCATATAATAATTACTATTATAGTAATTAATCTAGTGTAGTGTACTTAGAGTAGGACTATTCATAAAATCTTAAAGCATAAATAAAATCAGTTCTCCTTTTGAGTTTAAGATCGCAAGTCATACTGACTTGTTCTCTTGTGCACTTCGTGCGTTGGTTCTCTGAACCTCTAAGCTTCTCAGCTTCTAGCTTGCTCTTGCACTCTGTGCGTTGGTTCTCTGAACCTTAAGCTTATTGCTTGCTGACTAAGAGTCTCTTTCCTCGTTCCTTAGAACAGGGTGACTTTAAGTCGTTTAATTAGTTCCTTAGAACTAAGTGGCTTTTAGCCTTAACTCTATTTAGTTCTCTAGAACTAAGAGGCTTCCAGCCTTAAGTCTTTCTCTGGCTAAAGAGCTGTGCAGCCCCGCTACACTTTTTCTTGGATGCTGACTTCTTGTTTAAAGGTTTGTGCAGCATCCTATGCCTCCGCGCGTGCCTTGGGTACTCTTTCGCTCCTTGTAACCGAAGATGTTACCTTTCCGTTCTTCAATTTTTGATTTAGCAGTGACGATCACCTCTCAATGTAGCTCTGTGGTGTACTTTGTCACATTAGAGCTGAATAAGACTTTGCGTCATGATTCCTCATAGCACGTTAGTGCTGGAAGACTTCGCAGCATTCGATCGAACATCTGCAAGTCATTCAAGCGCGAGACTAAATCCGCAAGTTGATTTGTAATATTAAAAAGCTTGTGCAAATGGTCTCGCACGCTGTCCTTTTCACGCAGTTGAGTCCTGTGTAGCTTGCCTTGTAAGCGATACACCTTCTGCGCGGTCATAGCAGGATTTGGCTTGCCTTCATATATCGATACGTGTAATGGGCTACATTACACATATAGTATTAACACAAATAAACAATTACATATGTAGGCAGGTGCTGGGCCCGAATAGCGGGCACAGCGTGGTAATTTATTATTGGTTTATTATTGGGGTCTAAAGTCCCCAATATGGACCAATGATAAATCAACCTGAAATTGTGTGGTTCCCGAAAGGCGGGAACACTGTCGTATTTATTACGACTAAAATCTTCGTAATTAGTACGAATTAAAACCAAAATAAAAATCAGAGTTAAATATACTTAATACCTAATACTTGGGCTTGAGTCTTCCTCGAGCGCACGTGTAAGCTAGTGACGGTACGTTCTAGCCCCGTTACACCTGGTAGCACTTTGTAGTCCATCCTATGCCCGAGTTTGGGATGAGCGAATCGTCGTACTTTGACGCTCCAGATTTATTTCTGGAGCACGCGACCTTCCCCCATCTTACTGGTATTGAGTGGGATGCCCTTAATCGATATCGGGAGAGGCATTCGTCGCGTCGCTGATGAGATCAGCGACCCCTGACGCGCAACGTATCGCCATACATGAGTTTATGGCACGCGAGCTCGCCGAATCCAACCGGCGAGGCTTAATTCCCTCGCGCCCTTCACGTAATGAGGCCGTGAAGATGGAAACCTCCTCCTACTCTGGAGAAGGTAAGGACCGGTTGTCGCTGAATCGGTGGTTCCGAGAAGTTGATATCGCCATCGCCTCGAGACTTCTTGAGGCTCCCCAGGCGAAGGTCAACTTTCTTCTTTCCCGCCTCACCGGGAAGGCCAAGGAGTGGGCCCTTGGTAAGCTCGTTGTGGACGAGCACGCATTCCCCACCTTGGATACCATCCAGGACGATCTCCGTCTTGCCTTCGAGCCACCACAAGAGGAGAAACTGGTGCGATCAAGATTCCTGTCGATGCGACAGGGTAAAATGGCGATGCGCGATTACGTACAGATGGCTAGGCATCTGGCGTCGTGTATTATCACGCACCCCATGGACATGTACACGCAGGTGAATGTCTTTGTGGATGGTATGCGTGAGGGGCAGACCCGCTTATCGCTGGAGCGCGCCGAGCCTGCCACATTGGAGGAGGCATTTGCCATCGCACTCCGTGAAGACTTTAGGGTCACAAAGGCATATGCCAAACCCTCGGTCGTCAGCGTTCCCCGGCCTTCTGGTCCAGAACCTATGGAGATCGACGTTATTGAGTCGTCGGGTGACCGGCGACGTGTCTTTCATCATAAAGGTGACGCTCGCACCGGGCGTCAAATGGTTTGATTTCGTTGTCGCAAGCCAGGACATCGCGCGGTAGAGTGCCGTGCGCCAGCTCCAATATCGGTGCAAGTAGTGGACGCCCATCATGAGGGTGCTGTACCGGCCGCACGTCCAAAAAACGGTCGGGACCAGTAGGTGCAGGGCGCCCTACTGGTTGGAACGGAGGTCCGGGTCCCCCGGTGGCAGCACAACCTTCCAGTCCTCCTGCGCTACGCGCACGGTTAAATGCCACCACTACGAGTGGTGATTCACGTCTAATTGTTGTCAGTTTAAATGTCGCCGGCGTCCGGCGACCTCTGCGAGCACTCCTGGACTCAGGAGCAACAAACAATTTCTTTCGTGAATCTTGTTTGTCGATGCTGCCTCCCAGCATTCAGGTCCGTGAGGGACCTGGCCAAGTCGTCGTCAAGTTGGCTGACGGGAAACTACACCGCGTACCGCGGCGCGAAGTGTCGTCGCCGTATACGTTTGATGGCTTTCGCAGTAATGATGATTTCTTGGTGATCGCAATGAATTATGCATTCGATTGCATACTGGGCATGGCTGGCACGTTATAAGCCCCAGATCGACTGGTTAGCCAGATCAGTGAGACGTCGACGCAAGTTCGATGTCAGTGAAGTGTTTACCCATCTCTTGGTATCTCCAAGTGACTGGCCGAACGTCACAGTCGTGGATCGTGATTCCACGACGTTGGCGGTGCACAGAGCGAGCGATGGCCCTCTCTGCACTGCTTGTGCTGTTCTTCGAGACACAAGTGACAGTGACTCCTCGCTACGGAGCGAAGAGGGCGACGAGGACGACGCGGTCGAACAGGGGTTCCCGCGCGTCATTAATGCGGTTGAACAGGGGTTCCCGCACGAGAGTGCAGTGGTTGAACCGGGGTTCCCATCTGCACCTATTGTGGTCGAGCAGGGGCTCCCACAAGGGCATTGTGACGACGAGCAAGAGCTCGCCAGCGAGTGTGACGTGGACGGACAGGAGTCCCCACGCGAGAGCATGATGGTCGAACCGGGGTTCCCATCATCACCCACTGTGGTCGAACCGAGGTTCCCACATGGGCATATTGTGGTCGAGCAGGGGCTCCCACACGAGTACAACGTGGACGGACAGGAGTCCCCACGCGAGAGCATGATGGTCGAACTGGGGTTCCCATCATCACCCACTGTGGTCGAACCGAGGTTCCCACATGGGCATACTGTGGTTGAGCAGGGGCTCCCACACGGGTTTACGGCGGCCGAGCAGGAGCTCCCGCATTAAGTGTCGACGGTCGAGTTTGGGATACTCCCGTCCAGTGTTTCCGGCATCTTGAATGACGACATCCAGTGCCTAGAGGGGGGTGATGGTTTATCACCTGACTGCGGTTCGCCAGCTTCGAGTAGTGACTCGAAGCACGATGGGGACAACAGCACCGAGAATTTAGCGTTGGAATGTGTCCACGCTATCGTGTACGTGGAAGGAAGTCCACAAAGGTGCCAATATATCGAGGTCGAGAGTCCTCCTCGTCATGCGTCTTCCATTACAAGTCTTCCAGGGCTTTCCTGGAAACATTTTCTACGTGACCTTAAGGGAGGCACTGTGGAACAAGTGTGTCTAATCACCAACGAGGTGGTTACCTTGGCAAACGAGGAGCATATGGCGCGTCCTCAAAGCGCTGAGCCGAAGTCTGCGCGTGAAGAAAGGTTTGCATCACAGTCATGGGAGGCCCTGCGAGATTCTGGTAACCCCGTCTACGACATTGCTCGTGAATATGCAGACGTTTTCCCGGACAAGATCCCGGCTGAACTTCCTGCGGACCGTGGTGTTCGGCACGAGATTGATCTCGTGCCAGGGTCGAAGTATTGTGTGACACGGCAGTGGCCGTTGCCTCGAGATCAAGTCGAAGCTATTGACGCATTCTTCGAAGGTCGCCGCAAAGCGGGTCATGTGCGGGAGAGTATCTCACCACATTCGAGTCCAACCTTCTGCGTGAAGAAGGCTACGGGAGGCTGGCGGATAGTGCATGCGTTTAATAAGTTGAATGATGCCACTATTCCTGCGCAAACGCCAATTCCCAGGAAGGACATGGTGCTGAATTCCATGTCAGGAAGTGTCATCTTCAGTGCCATCGACTTGACCGATGGATTTTACCAGATTTTGATGCGCACGAGCGATATCCTACTCACCGCGGTGAGCACCCCGAGTGTCATGTTATGGGAGTGGCTGGTAATGCCACAAGGGTTGAAAAACGCTCCGGCCACTTTCAATCGCATGGTGTCTCAAGTGTTGAGACCTCTTCGGAACTTTGCCCCAAGTTATTTTGACGACATTTTCGTCCATAGTCGCGCCGAGGGCAACCTCAACGATGTCCAAGTTCACCTTCAACACCTGAAGCAAGTGTTTCAAGTTATGCGGGACAACAAGTTGTACGCGAATCTCAAGAAGTGTGTCTTTTGTGCACCGGAGATTCCGGTGTTAGGTTGCTATGTGAGTAAATCGGGAGTTCGAGCTGATCCAGAGAAGGTGTCGTCCATCTGTTCTTGGCCCACGCCCAAGAACCCTACGGAGTTGCGCCAGTGGCTCGGCTTGGCTAATTATTTGCACAAGTGTACGAAGGATTATGCTGGTTCTATCCAGCCTTTGTCGTCACTCTTGAAGAAAGACGCCACGTGGTTGTGGCGTCCCGAGCACCAAGCAGCCTTCGAAGCAGTAAAGAAGAGCCTAGCGTCAGCGCCAGTTCTGGTCCTACCAGACGATTCCAAGCCGTTCCACGTGGTTTGCGACGCCAGTGATTTTTCAATCGGTTGTGCCCTCATGCAATTTGATGATGAGGGCCGTGAACGAGTCGTGAGTTACCAGTCGCGACAGATGAAGCCAGCTGAGAAGAACTATCCGGTTCACGACAAGGAGTTATTAGCGATGCGCTATGCACTCATCAAGTTTCGCGTGAATCTCCTTGGTGAACGTACGTTTGCTCTGTACACCGATCATGCATCGCTGCGCACAGCGATGAAGAGCCCACACCTGTCCCAACGGATGGCACGATGGCTCTCATTCTTCTTTGAGTACAACTTCGTCGTGCATTACAAGCCAGGCAAGACCAATATTCTCGCTGACGCCTTGTCACGACGTATCCTCGGACTGCTCTGAGTCGCCAGGCTACTGATGACGAGGACGATGATGACCGATGTGCAATGTGTGTATCGCTGAACTTAACTCGGGTTACACCCGAGCCGTGTTTATTTGATGAGATCGTCGCAGCGTACAAGGGTGACTCAGATTATGCAGACATTATCGAGTATCTGCGTGCTCCCAGCGATGCTGCACTGGGAGCATTATCCCGTACCAAGCGCGACCATATTCATCGATACAGTTTAGATGGCGATTTGCTTCTGTATAGCATCGACCAATTCGATTCTCCTCGCACGGTGATTGCCAATGACATGGATTTGCGTGCGAGAATCATTCACGAGTATCACGATGCTCCTGCTGGCGGCCATTTAGGTCGCGAAAAGACTTTCGCGTCTGTGTCTCGAGACTTCTTCTGGCCCCACATGTATAAGTGGGTACGCAACTGGATCCGAACGTGCGAAATATGCCAGCGTGTGAAGCCATCTCCATCGACACAGGCTCCCTTACGATCGTTGCCAATTGCAGCAGAGGCATGGAGATCAGTTTCGATGGACTTCATCTTCGGGCTTGCGCCCGATAGCCAAGCTCGCACGGGCATCTTGGTCTTTGTTGACAGATTCAGCAAGATGACACATCTCGTGCCTGTTCACGCTAAGGTCACCGCGGCAGAGACCGTGGCGCACTTCATCGACGCGGTGTTCCGTCATCATGGCCTTTCAGAAAACATTGTTTCGGACCGTGACCCGCGATTCACATCCGCATTTTGGACATCACTTTTCGAGCTCCTCGGGACAAAACTGCTGATGTCGACGGCAGCCCATCCGGAAACGGATGGGAAGACCGAGCGCGTGAACCGGGTCCTCGAAGATGTTCTTCGGAGTTATGCTACGTCATTTATAAGTTGGAGTGCATTTTTACCACTCGCTGAGTTCGCACTCAACAACGCCGTACACGCGTCAACAGGGTTGACGCCATTTTTTGTGAATTCGACTCGTCACCCTCGTGTTCCTGCTGTCCTGGCCGTGGGGCGACCCACAACACCTAGTGGCTCCACTCTGGGGGGGGCATATAAGTGATAAACAAGGATCGAGTGCAGCTCACGGTATTTTGAGCGCGAATGCAGTAACCCGATCCAAGGCAAAGACGGCCGCTTTGACGCCATCAGATGTGGCGTCCCCATTAGCTCGATGGACTGCGCAGACATTGATTGAACCGTCTTCGGGTAAGCGTTCACCTACTGCCATCTACGCGCCGATTGAGTCGGCGCGACCAATTGATGACATGGCTGTGTCGGAATTTATACTCCAACGTCAAGCCATCACCCGGTTTGTACGCGACGCACTACAATCTGTGGTAGACGAACAGAAGGAGAACGCTGACAAACATGGAAGAAAGAACATGAGCAAGTTTGAGAAAGGTGACCGTGTATTATTATCTACGGAAGGTTTAAGGGATTCTGCGGCCACTAATCTGGGCGCGAGTAAACTCGCGCCACGCTTCATCGGTCCATTCAAGGTTCTGAAGGTAATTGGCGACGCTTATACACTCGACGTTCCCTCTTCACTGCGACTCCACCCGACATTCTATGTCGGGCGGCTGAAGGAATATCGTCCGGCTACGCTTCACGGTTTGGCTCCGACGCCGGCTTCAGGGGTTCGTAAGTCGAACGGCCCTCCCGTCGTGCTCGACGCGCCGATGACATGGGGCGGGGTCTCGATCCCGTCTGAACCTGACCAAGCATCTGGCGCTCCAGAATCCTTATCCGTTCGAGCAGTTCACGGTTCGACTGCCGGGTCTCACTCGAAGTCTTCTCCGCCTGGGCAGCACGTTCACTGGCAGCCTCAGCCTCCAGCCGAGCATCGGCAGCTATGTTCACGGCCTGATCAACATCGTCCTGAGCAACCAGGACGCCAGCACTACCATCGCGAGGGCCCTCCTCCGCTTGTTGATGCGGAGGGACAGGTGCGCTGGATTGTAGACCGCATTGTGGGTCACGAGGACCCTCCACAACCAGCACTGCAGTCGGCTCACGAGAAGCGTGCGGTTCCATCCGTGCGTAGGTACCGAGTACGTTGGCTTGGATTCCCTCCCGAGCAGGATACATGGGAACCACGTTCCTCGCTCCTTCGTGACGTTCCAGATGTGGTTCTGTCGTATGAAGCCACGAAGTCGGACTATTCCAAGGCGGGCGAGCACGCGAACGCTCTCGTGACAAACGAGAGCGGTAAGGAGATTCACGTCGTCGGGAACGAGAACGATGACGCGAACGAGAACGATGTCGCGAACGAGAACGATGCCGTGAACGAGAACGATGTCGCGAATGAGAACGACGCCGTGAACGAGAACGTCGCAGTGAATGCATATCGCGATTGCGAGGCGAGAATCGCGAAGCAGGAAGCAGGACGGGCAAGCGAACGTGTCGCTGCCCTGCGCTGATGATCCCGCGGAGATTGACTCCGCTGTCGAGAGAGGTGCTGCCAGCGAGGCGCACCACGAATAATTGCGCTTCTCCATTCGCTCAGACTTCGCTCATACTTTGCAATCCAACTTCGTTCGCGATCACTAAGTGGACAGCGATGTGTCGTCGCCATTCGTCATGAGTTGGGCGTGGAGTCGAGTCACAAGATTGGCATCCTTCATTGACATGGACGAAGCAGAGACGGTCCTCATTCCAAGCATCCTCACACACTCTTTCGCGTAGCGCGCCGATGGAGTGATCAGCGCGAAGCTCCTCTCGCATGGCGAGCCATAATTGGAAGCTGCTACCATCCTCGAGCATCCGATTCCAACGTTGGATGAAGGCACACCAAGATCGTTGTAAAGCTTCATGCTCGATTCCATCAAGACCTTTCCCGCGCAGTTTTCGAAATCGGCGGAAGTAGTCCCGCATCATGTCCAGCGAGTCCGGAGCGTGAGCTTCGGACAAGTCGTACAGCGACCAAGGTATGAGCTTCCGCGCCATGATGCTGGTTGATGCATTCCCGCTGATGTATCTTGGGCGTTCTGCTGGATTGGGTGTTGCGTCTCCGGACATTGCTTGTTCGTTTGTGGGCGAAGGGTTTTCGACAGTTGAGCACTCACGGTTGGTGAGTGCTGTCATGAGAAGGGGGTGATGTAATGGGCTACATTACACATATAGTATTAACACAAATAAACAATTACATATGTAGACAGGTGCTGGGCCCGAATAGCGGGCACAGCGTGGTAATCTATTATTGGTTTATTATTGGGGCCTAAAAGTCCCCAATATGGACCAATGATAAATCAACCTGAAATTGTGTGGTTCCCGAAAGGCGGGAACACTGTCGTATTTATTACGACTAAAATCTTCGTAATTAGTACGAATTAAAACCAAAATAAAAATCAGAGTTAAATTTACTTAATACCTAATACTTTGGCTTGAGTCTTCCTCGAGCGCACGTGTAAGCTAGTGACGGTACGTTCTAGCCCCGTTACAATACGAGCTAGGACCATATCTCCGTGCCTGTCCCTTTCATCACTACTTGCATTGCAAATTTCATCGAAAGCGATCCTTGAATTGATATAATGATATTCACTTGCATTTTCTTGAATTCACATTTATTTTTTGCGCCCCATTTAACGTACAAAGTCTCCTTTCCGATAGCGATCTGATCTAATAATCTCTCCTCGAAAGCATTGATCATGGCATGCTGGTAAAAAGTCCAGTCGTCTCCGTTCCAGCGAACTGGAATCCCCGATGAATCGATTCGAAAGCCTTCATGTTTGCCTGTGTCGCTGTCAGAGTCTGACGATAGTGACATGTTTGTTCTTGGTGTTCTTGACGGTCCTGTAGCACCGCGTAGCCTGTGTGTAGTTGGACTCATAACTTCAACGTAATCAGCACTCAAACGCACTAGAACGCACTCACAAAAAACTTGTTAATCTTAAGGTATATTTCGGACTGACTGCAATGTGCCTGTACTGCACTAAAACCTTTATCAGATAATCACTTCTATGCTTATACCACAATCTTCTTCAACTTACTTTCCCTGTATCCAAAGTAGGTGCGGTTTCCAATAGTTTGCAATCCTGTCCAAAGTTCTGGTCTTCACTTATGGTGCTAAGGAATAGCGCGATGTTTCGTCTCGCCATCGACTGTGGAGAGTTTAATTTACTGGTCGTGCTTTCATCTACACGATACACGGGTGGCAGCGTAGCTCCAGTGGAGCCAGCACCGGGTGAGTCGAGAAGGTTGTCGCGATTGCTGATGAAACTATTGCGGGTAAAGAGATTAGTAATCTTGTGAGGGACAGGAACGTACGAGAATGCAACGCATTTCAAATCCTCAACGCGCCATTGGTTATACATATCAAGAATGGCGCGTTCTATATCTGGAGGAATCGATTTTGTATCTATCTCGGGAGAAATGGGTTTTAAAATCATCTTTGGAGAGATTGCGATCGCGATCAGGCCCAGCATCAAGTATGGATATTTGAGCGTCACTAGTGCGGCAAATTTCATGAAAATCAGCTTCCCGTAGATCATAAAGCACAGATGCATTAATTACGAAGCACAGAGTGCAAAAGTATGATGGGGCACCCTCCGACTATACTGATATCAGTATAGTAAATTTTTAATAATGATAGTGAAGGAAGGTGCCTGATAACCTTTCTTACACAAGAGTCAGAGGAAGCTTATCAACTAAACAAGTGCTAAGTTGAGAAGAAAACGAGAACTGTTTTAATATAGTTAGACTATTTTAAAAATAAAATTATTAATAACGTTGTCTTAACTATTTAAAGTACAACAATGTATGCTACCTTCGTGCCCTCCATTCATTGCGCGTGTCCATCGGCCGTTGGTCAGCGCTCTGGTTGATATAATGGCCCATATTAACCAATTAGAGAGCATCTCCAACTACAAGGGAAAGCGAGGACAATACTATGTCAAAAGATAATATTGTCAAATATTATTAGCTATGATAATATTTTTATTGACACTTCACATAAGTGTCTAAATTATGTAACGGCTCACCTTGTTACAAAAAGTGTAAGCTATGCTTATAATCAAGGAGCCATCGCACGAAGTGCACAAGAGAACAAGTCAGAACGACTTGCGATTTTAAACTCAAAAGGAGAACTGATTATATTTATGCATTAAGATTTTATGAATAGTCCTACCCTAAGTACCCTACACTAGATTAATTACTATAATAGTAATTATAGTATGCCATCGTTTGATTTTAGATATGGAATCATCCAATCATTAGTGTACGTTGTAGTATTGAGACCGATGCCAATAGTAAGAAGTATTACTGATACCGAAAGTATAAGGTATTACTAATACCAATAGTATAAGGTATTACTGAAAGCTTATTGCATCACTCATATATAATACCCCTTTTCAAAAGGATCGGTATTCAGAATGCGTAATATGCAATATAGAGCTTCAAGCGTAATGTGCTTTCGGTATGACGTCGTGTAACCCCTTTATAGTTTGGACAGCGGCTCAGGACGACACTTGACCAAGGACTTGAGCCTGCTCGAGACGCAGTCGACTGCCAAAACGGATGTTTTACTGCAGCTTCTTATGGGGGACCTCTTAGGATCACCAAACAAGTAGATGTGATGATCCGAGCCAAGCACTTGGTACTGTGAAGACCATCCGACTTCTCGGTGTCAATTTGGAGCGTAAAACATCATTTCCTTTTGCATAATAGTAAAGAAGGGATGCGATCTTAGTTACCCTGAAGGAAGGCGTGTATGGTCTGTCACCCTGGTGGTGCACCCATTATGTATGTTTATCGTATTAACGATGTGTTGATAGTGAAGGTTACGATGGTATTTTGATAGATGATTTTGTGGATTTGGATCATCAAAGGAGGTCGTCATGACGATCGTGATAGATGATGGATATGAACACAAAGCCCGGGTTGCCTCCTTATCCATGGATATTGCACGATCCTTTGTTGTGCACGAGCAAATTGATGCGTTCAAGCGATAGAAATACAGTACTGTATATACAAAAGTATCACAAGCAACGCCAACTTAATGTGCGCGTTGCTTATCATTGTATGAAATCGAAAAGTTTATGGTGTTTCTCGCATTTGTGACAAGCTTGACGAAAATGCATCAGGTTTCGTGGTAGGGATGAGCTCTTTAAGCTCCGCGACTCTATATCACCGACTAACAGCACTCGCTGAATCCTGGCGATTAGCAATAATTTGAGTCATCTAGATGAGGAGATTGTTTCTTTTTCATTCAAGTTTAGCCATCTTCTGTCGTAGTAGCAAGTCAGCGAAGTAGTGTCTGTCCATTAAAAAGACAGGAGACGACGGCAATATAGGCGCGTGCAAGGGAAGGAGACACTGTGCCAAGAGTGTCATTCTTAATTCCGACTTCAGACAAACAGAAAGAATTGGAACATGTCCAATAGCTTTGCACAACACGCAGCAGCACCTGTGGATCTCCGCGACCAAGAAGTCAAAGAAGAGATCAGATCCTGGGTAAGGTTTTCGTAAAATAACATATTATAGTACTCCCTTAACCGTTATTATTCTGTCCAAGCAGAAGCGGGAGACACGCTACTACCTGCTCAAGGACGTGAACTCGGCAATCGACTACGCGGCACATGAGCTGGAGCGCATCGACTTTATTTGGGGCCGCATCCGCTTGGACCGCGATGCATCGTCGCCGGCTATCAAAGCTGACATTCGTGTGGAGGTTCGTCTGAAGATCTGAAAGTACTGAGTTAGAGTCGTCATGACTTTTGTGATGTTAATGATAGGGCCACCTCGTGGTGTTTGGCCGGATAGAAATCAAGCTCACCAAATCCCAGCGCAATGCACCGATCATCAGCACGTATGAGAAAAGCTTTGACATATGAAGTTGACATTGCTCATTCCAATGGTGTACTGATATTCTAATGGCGCCCTCAGACTGCAGCAGTATTGTGTGTTGAATCAGATCCTCGAGTTCCACGGTATCGTGCAAAGCCAAATGGGGAGGCTGGCGATACTCAAGGAGTTCTTACATGTGCAGCGTCAAGATCTAATGAATGAACATTCTAGCAATGAGGACGTCGAGATGTACGTGGAGATCGTGCAGCACACGTTCCAGAGTCTAGATCGTATCTGCCAGGAGCTCCGCAATGCAGCAGATGTCCTGCGGCTACCCAGTTGTCGTCGGTTCCCGTACTGCTCCCATGTCGATCACGTGCGTGGTCATTAGCTAGTGACGAAGGTTTTGTAGATGAAGAACTAACGTGTTCTTTGTTCGACACAGAGCTTCAAGCCTGCACTTCCACACGAGGTCATTGTTGACTTCTCCGTTCATCGCGGCGAATTGGTACGCAGTTTCACCAATGTGACGAGCTCTGTAGATCTTGGTCGATAACCGGTTGCAATGTGCAATTTCTATAGCTGTTGGAGGCTTTCGGAATAAAGGCTACCCAAAAAGCGATTACGAATATCCCGGGTGGCTGTGCATCGAGGAAGGATGTTATCGGTTGTGTTTGGTGAGCAGTAAACTTTTACCATTTGTGAAGAGCACCACGTTTGAATGTATTAACACTCATTATTGGCAGTGCCTTGCGGGGCCAAAAAGTCGAGATAATGGAGTATGCACGAATTTCAGTGCCAATCCCGCAGCTGGAGGAAATACTGGTCCATCTCGACAAGCAGGTCGCATGGCTGGTACACGTTCGAGATAATGTCAGGGCACTACTCGACTGTCAAGACCAGTATATATGATTTGCTACATTGGACTTATATGGGAACCAAACTACCCGTCAGTAGATCACCAGTGGCTTTTGTCGTGTATAAACGTTTGGGCAGATTACGTTTGCTGCTTCTAACAAAATCTATGATGTCTTAGCACTATCTTTATCGAAGTGCTTTTAACGACTTGTCTGTCTACTGACAATCCATCCATTTTAACACTTTGCGCTGTCAATAACGCACTGCAACGCTCGTGATACGCTCAACGTGACGTGTGGTTGCGTACACCAATTAATCAACTCTAAGATACTGAAATGCCTTTCAGCACATATTGCTGCGTCCGTGCTGTCACGTAACGCTGGACGGTTTTTGACGATTTTGTCGTGCTATTACAATTCGCGTTTGTAATTTCACATGTTTGCGATACATGTTAAGACATAAGCACACCAAGTGTTTGTCGCAACGGCAATGAACATGATCACCAAAGCACATTCACTTCCAAAATTCTGGACAACACGTAGTTGCTGTCAAACATCTTTGACACCAATAATTCCACGGACGACGCCATATCCTCGCTAGTTACTCGCAACTTAGATCGCGTGTGAGTATTGTGAGTGATGCGGCTGTTGCTTTAGCACGCACATGTTATTCTTAGCAGCAATTTTAGATCCATGCGACTGAGTGAGACTCTTATGAAAAGCTGGCAAGGTGAAGAAGAAAAGCGACGAGTTACTTTTTTGTATGATACAGGGTTGATACAGTATATATCTACCTTGGGCTATGTAGGTCCTGAACTGTGACTGGAAACCACCTTGATGAAAGAGGAAGATATGTTCGTGCAAAGTACTCCTTATTTTTCACAGAGTCTTTGATTTGGTCGGCAAGGTGAACATCGACACCAGCAGTTCTCCTACTGCTTTCTTCCAGTATTTATGAAGTGCGAACCAAGCCACGCAAAAGTAGAGCACACGAGCTTCCAAAACGCGTTCTTCATGCAACATGAAATAATTCGCAACATACGCTACAACACCGATAGCACCACTAGTTCCAACAATCTGTAGTATGCTTCCGATGCCGCTCATTGACAAGTCAAGCACACGGTTCGTTCTGGCGTAGTTTTTCAAATAGCGCAGCACCAGTCCACTGGCATACAAATTGGCCGTGGAGATGGCAAGGAATCCGAGTGGATGAGCATTAGTGCTTGACTGCCATTCCATAACCAGTTTAGGGATCATGATAGCCTTTAACCAGCTAACACTCAAGCCTATGATTGTCTTGAGCAGAGGCATCGGAAATTGTAGACCATCGACGACGATTTCAACGAGGAAGTAAATGGGCACAACAAGTCTTATGGTATCTTCAAACTGCGGTGTGGCACCAAAAACCGGGCGGATAATGGCTGATCCCAATAAATTGGCAGCAATAGCAGCGAAGAGCGCTCGTACGTGGCGACTCGTTTCCTTACGAATTGACGGAGGACGACGAGATACCTCCGGTGGCGTCACGAAGTCAGTGAGTTGAGTTCGCGCAGCCAAACAGGCCCAAAAGATAAACGAGCGTTTAAGGAGCGACAAAAGCGCTGGCGAATGCACATAGGAATCACTCGTCGTAAACTCGAAGTAGACAGCGGCGACAGCTACGACGATCACTAGCAGATTCGGCAAAAAGCTGGAGCAGAATGAAAGCCACAGAGAAGCCGAGCTGGGAATGACAACATTCTTTTTTTTGGGCGAGGTACGTAAAGCACTTTCAGCTTTCGTTGTAGCACCAGTGAAATGGTGCTTGGCCATTGCGAACGGGAATGGAGACTGAAGGTCGGAAGTTCGAGTCGGAACAATATTTGCCACGTTGCATCAATAGAAATGACAAAAAAGTAATTACGTTATAACATATAAATTCGTTTAGACGACGAACAACGTTATATGTTGTGCGTCCTTCCAGTATATTATAAGCGACGAAAATTGTTAATATTATCCGATCGACCACCACATGAAATATACTGGAAGGACGCACAACTTTATATTCATTTACCACGTCGCATTTTTGTTTTGATTAATTAGCTGGGCTGAAAAACGGGTAGCATTCTAAACTCCTTATAGAAAGCGGGTATCGAAGCTCACAGATAAATGAGAAACTTGTGTGCTGATGCATGCACGACTTCTCAGACGGTCGGAAAGTTCTACCATTACTCTTTCTTTTAGCTGGTTCTTATATGAACGGGCGACTTGGACCCCATCCTGTTGTGATTTGTTCCCAAACTGACTCCGTTGGTACTTTTCAAGTCCGTTTACCGACGATAACACTTTATATCAATGGAGAGGGAAACGGCGAAGATCAGAAAGAACGAGTCGACAGACATAGGTGGCCAGGTGGTGTGGCGAAGCAAAAGATTGAATTTGGCAAAGTGTGATCGCATATCTTCGGTTAGTTCTCGGTTAATTCGAAATGGCCAATATTGATGATCGCGATCCCGCAGAAGAAGTTTCGAGACATTGCAAATGGGATGGAAAATCGTGAATGGTGGAGTTTGCAGTTCTATGTAGAGTTAACTATGGCCTAGAAACTACGCAATTGCGATCTCCGGTATTTCTCGATGGCGATCCGCGTGACGCGATCGCTAAGAAGGAGGATTGGTACATCCAAGTATGTGGAAGACGGTCTGGTGTAGATCACGTCGCTATGGAAGACTGGAATGAGGTGGACATGACATGTCATATAGATGTATCATTTCACATGATCCGAGGAATGGTGAAAAGGACAAGTCATGATCCAGCGGACCGCGATCCGATACTAATTATTAGTACAGCGATCCGATACAAAAATGGTATTAGATCCAAGCGAGGTAGCGATCCAGATCGCGGCGATATTGGAGTGAACCACATTAAAAGATCTGATTTTTCCGAAAGGGTGATACGTGGCAATAGATCCTGAGATACAGATAGGCAAGATCATAGGTTTTGGTATTTGATTGGTTAACATTAAACATAGTTCAATTTGCTTCTAAGTACACGTGTCGATTTCTCTATTCCGGGCAGGATATTTGGCCTCCCGACGCCGAGAATATCGACTACAAGTGCACCCTGGATTGGTTTGGTCAGGTGAAGGGATTCTCAACACAACAACTTAACTGCGATCCGACGCAGAAATAACAAGTAAGGACAAGGCAAGCAAGTGCAGTAGGGATCAAGTGGTCAGAAGGTTCTGCTCAAGTGGTCAGAAGATTCAAGCTTCGCTTTATTGGACTATTGGGATCTATTGGTACGATCAACAAACAAGTATTCGGTCGGTCTTGTGAGGATTTCCACAAGATCAACAAACCCCCTATCCCTTACCCAATTAGGATCAACATCGACTCAAGTCCACCAAGAAGAGAGCAAAAACCCGCCCTACCGACGGGTACACAACGTAAGGAAAACTTTATACACGGAATCGGGGTACCCCTTCCGTTAGTCGGTCGTCCGGGCACCAATGGAGAGTTGGAGTCGCATCAGCAATTTTGCGAATCCCACTCCACCACAGTGGCGTTTGCAGGTTAGCTGGAATCGCATACATAAAAGCTCAGTCAGTAAAGTGCAAAATGCAAGGAAAGTCGTCTGTAGCCAAAAAAAAGAGCTAAGCTATAGGGGAGCTACACAGCTCCTAGTCAGAGGAAGACTTTTAGTCTGAAAGCCTCAGTTTTAGAGAACTAAATAAATTTGCGGCTAAAAGTCACTTAGTGCTAAGGAGCTAATTAATGACTAAAAAGTTACCCTGTTCTGAGGAACTAGGAGGGACTTCTGGTCTACAAGCAATAGTTCTAGGCTCAGAACCAATGCACAACGTGCAAGAACAAGCTAGAAGCTTAAGGTTCAAAGAACTAACGCAAGAAGTGCACAAGAGAACGAGTCTTATCGAGACTTGCGATCTCAAACTCAAAATGAGAACTGATTTTTATTTAAGCATTAAGACTCTATGAATAGTTCTGCTCTAAGTACCCTACACTAGATTAATTATTATTATTATAGCAACTATAGTATGCCATTGCTTGTATCTGGATATGGAATCATTTAATCATCAGTGTATGTTGTACTTAGTACTACTGTATACGTATTGAAAACGATACCGAAAGTAAAAAGTATTACTGATACCGATAGTATAAGCTATTACTAATGCCTTATAGTATCACTCATATATAATACTTCTTTTCAAAAGGATCGGTATTACGAATGCATAATATGCAATATAGAGCTTCAACCGTAATGTATATTCGGTATGACGTCGTGTAACCCCGTTACATAAGCTAAGTAAAATATATCTCTGGGTGTCAAGATGTATATACAACAAAAGAAGATTGCATTTCATCAAAGAGAGATTGCAACCGGGTTATGCTCTCAAGCCTGACCAAGGCTTAAGCGTGACAATAAAACGGCGACGCATTTACGGGCATAGGCTGTAAGTTTTCGTGTGCAGAGAGAGGATCCGTTTGTGTCAGGAAGTACAAACGTAATCCTACTTGAGTGCAGTCAAATAAGGTAGAGCTGAACAAATATGGACGACCTGTAGGATGACATGGGCAATCCTGGGCGTACTACAAAGGGATGATGAAACTGACCTTTGAGGAGAAGGATTTATTAGATTATACTACAAGAAATTAGATTCGCGTAGGTAACGTAAGTACAAACGATGTAAAAACCTTTCGAGAAGCACAAATAACGATCAATCAGCTAATTCTTGCTTTACTATCGATGGAGTTGGGTCAGCGTATGATGACGAAATCAACTGACACTGAGATGTAGATATACTTGGAAAATTTTTACGAGGGAAAGACTTAAGCCTCAACGAAAAAAACCAAGAGGATTTCCTTTACAACAAGCTATGTAGACGGGCACTTCGTAATGAAGCAGCCACGCACTACGCGGGCACACCTTCAAGCAGCGCGAGAAAACGGTTATACCGCCTTACCTCCGCGTGCGGTGGTAGTGGTGTTGGTCGGCGCTAAAAAGCGCTGTACCAATCGTTGCCAGTCGCTTTAAAGCGAACCGCGCGACGAACTACTAAGACACGAGCTACACTTACGACACGCAAAAGCTTATACAGCTTCTCGTGCGCAGTATGCGATGTTTAGTCGATTCAAGACTGACTTCTATTCAATAGATTTAAACTAAATATAAGTTTAACTACTGATTGATTAATTATGCAAAGATTGGATACGCGTCTCTTTAAAAGCTTATCCTTACGTGCGAGCTTAAACTATATTTAAGCTCGCGGGTGACGTCTGTTTGAAGCGTCACCATGACGTTCAGTCCCAACTGGCGTCATCCTCGTTGATGTGAATCCATCCATGGGTATCACATTCACGAGGGGGAGTCACATTGATGTGCCACACCCAAGTGGCAGGCCTAAGGTACCTCGTATATAAGCCTTCCCATAAGTATTCTATACTTAAAGAACCGTGCAACTTTTAGACCGTTACAAGCTAAACGCGATGAAGTGCAAACCTAAGGTCGTCACGGTGCACGTGGAAAACATAATATTAATAATATTAATTAGTAGCTGTGAGCGCAGGTTTCCGGGACCCGATCTTTACACAGATGTTAAACCGATCGTTGCTCTTGAGTGTGCACTTTAATCGTCTGAGAGGCAAAGTTAATAGCGTAGACGACAAGGTAGACACTCCTGAAATATTTAAAGATTATATTTTGCTAATGGGTATGTTTGCAAGAGTAATTGGTAGCTTGGTGCCCATGATGTCATTAATAATGTGCAGGACGATGGAGGCAGTCTAACGTTCGAGAATTGGCATAAGTATATCGGTGCAAGATCACAAATCGGCGCCAGAAAGATAATATCAGCAGACAAAGTACCCCAAAGTACGACGTCACAGGCGGATGAGCAGCAAAGAAACTGCTTTAATTTTCAAAAGCCTGGAAACCGCATGCAAGACTCTTCTATAATGTAAGAGCCGAAAACGAGTGATCAAAAGGTGGCTGTAACGGGGTGATCCCTTGACATAATATTGACACTTATATGAAGTGTTAATAGACATATTATTATAACTAAATATATTCGACAACATTATATTTACTGTAATATTCTTCTTGCTTTCTGGTCGGATTGGGGTGACGCCCGCCCGGAAAGCTTGATCCAGCATGATGCTAGCTCAGACCTCCCGACTGGTGCTTCACGGCAACCTTCAGTCTTTGAAGGGTCTATCCCTCAATTCATCTCTTTCACCGCTAGCCAAGCCGGCAAAACGCAGCAGCCACGCACGAAGCATTCCAGGCATTTTTTCTTAGGTTGGTTTAATGTTCAATCCATCGTTTTTGTAATGAATCACCCTACGACTATACTGATAACAGTATAGTCTACCTTTACTGATTACAGTGAAAGCAGGTGCCATAAAACCTCTCTTACACAAGAGGCAGAGGAAGCTTTACTTCTAAACAACACGCTTAGAAGTAGAGGAAAAGAGAACTGTATTTAATATGATTAAAGTATCCGATAAAAGCTAAATCATTAATAACCTTGTCTTAACTATATTAAAGTACAACTATGTATGCTACCTTCGTGCCCTCCATTCATTGCGCATGTTTATCGGCAGTTGGTCAGCGCTCTGGTTGATATAATGGCCCATATCAACCAATTAGAGGGCATCTCCAACTTCAAGGAGAAGCGTGGACAAGATTATAACAAAATATATTATTGTCAGAAATTATTTGCTATAATATTTTTATTGACACTTCACATATGTAATGGGTCTACCTATTACATAAGTAGTTATATGATTAATACATAATTACATAAGTAGGCA